GGAGTATACGACTTTTGCTGCTGGGCCTGCTGCTCCTGCTGCTCGATGAGGCGGGCGTAGGCGGCGTGGTGTGCGCCAACTTTGCGGCGGGGCGGAGCGCGCTGCGGGGTCAGCGGCGCGTTTGGCTGCATCTCCTGCAGCGGCTGGGGCGGGTCGGAGGACGGCCGACGCTTCGTGAGCGGAACGGGCTTGAGCTGCGGCAGTCCGCTGTGCCCGTTGGAGGCCGAACTGCCGGTGCGCGCGTGTCCCGAGCCAAGCGGCGAGGGGCGGGAGAAGCGGCCCGTCACGCTCGGCGAGGCGGCAGACGTGCCAAACGTTGGCGTCGTAAGACGGGGGCCCGGGATACCGCTCGCTGCCTGGTCGAGGGATCGGCGGGGAGATCGGGGCGACGTCGGACTCAGCACACGCTCAACGGGCGACATTACGCGCTGTGAGGATTGGCTCGTGACGCTTGTTCGTCTCTGTGCGGCAGCAGCAGCGGCGGCGGCAGCTTCGCGTTCAGCGGTGACCTGTGCGTCGTCTGCGTCGACGAGGTCGTTGAGAAAGGTGGTTGCGGCGAGCTTGACGGGGCTGTTTTCAGTGTCGAGTTTGGCGACCAGAGTCGCGACGGCGTCGTAGTGATTCGACCGGAGGGGGAGAGGCACGCCCCCAAACTGGCGTTGCAGTGACGGGAGCAGGTGCACCGCGCGCCGGTTCGCCTGCCGTAACACGCTCGCGGGGATGGGCACGACGGTCGTGACCGGCTCGCCTGCGCCTGCCCCGATGCCTGCGAGTCCCATACCGATGCCTCCAGGTCCCATGGGTCCTAACCCGGGAGGACCCCTGGTGGTGGGACCTGGGAGGCCTGAGACTCGAGGAGTAGACGGGGGTTGGTCGACTAGGGCCATGAAAGGAAGTCAAAATCCGATAGAGTTTGGCGTGGAACCGGGCTTGGCCGGGGTGCAGAGGCTACTGGGGTGTGGTGGTGGCGGTGAATTGGTGGTAAGCGAGGGTGGAAGGTCGTGAAGTCGTGAGAAGTCGTGTAGCAGTTGTGTAAGAGAGAGTGAGGGTGATCAAGCAAGGTACAATGAGCAGTGTGTGTGTGTGTGTGTGTGATGAGGAGAGAGAGAGTATGTCAGTGAGAAAAGAAAGTCGAGAAGTGAAAGTGAGTGAGTGTTCCCGGGTAGGAATGCAGGGAAGGAGACTAGCACGTTGATGGGCACGGCTTGGACGGCACCATGCCCGGGATCGTTGGTCCCTGCAAAAGGTGGACAGAAGGCCAGTGCGTTGACGCCATCGCGAATCGTCCATAGGTGCTACTCTCATCATGCACTCTCTCATGTCATGCAGACGTGGTGTATGTCGCTGCCGGCATTGGATAAGTAGTATTCTACATGAGTCAATGACAGTGTCGATGGCGAGGAGAGAGGAGAGACGTTTTGGGTCGCCGACTGTGAAGGGGAGGGAAGACAATGTCCCTGTGCCGATGAATTGGGCCGTGTAGTGCAAGCTGTAGTGCGTCGCCCGCTGTAAGTCCATCGTTCCCACCTTTGCTTCCCGATACGGCTAACAGTGGAACAATGAATGCTCATCTGTCTCGTGGTGCATCCCATGAACAGGTGGGCCAGAGTAGAAACCGTAGACGTCTCTCGTCATTGAAGAGCATCGTTTGTTGTCGTGTGCATGAGCCCAAGCAAGTTGCCGTTGTTGGATGCTGACGACGCCAGAGTTACCACTCACACGGGCCCCTTGCGCCCCTTGCGCCCCTCGCGCCCCTCGACCCTGGCCCTGGACTTGCGGTATGGGACAGAGAGGCGTCCGGCCGGTGGCAACACTTTCTGATCCCGCGACGCGTCCTTACTCTCCCACGCTCGCACCCTCTCAACATTACACAGACGCGCCTGTCCTCGCTCAGCGGTTCGAACAAAAACAAAGCCAAGTCTGCACCTCGAGCTCACCACATCGACATGTCGCTGAACGACCTCTTCAGCGCCAACTCCCCCTCCCCTCCCCCACAGCGGGCGCAGGAGGAATCTCTCTTCTTCTCCCCCGGCGCGACGCCCCTCGCCTCGCAGCGCAGTGTCCGCTCCGTCTCGCCCGTCTCGCCCTCTCACTGCGAGCTGCACGCGAATGTGAACGGGCGCGAGATCGACATCGAAGACGACCCCTTCACGGCGCAAGACCCGCTCGGCCCCGGCCCACTGACGCACAATGCCTTCTCGGCCCTTCCGGACGATAACGACCCGCTGAACTTTGGCGGCGAGGGCGAAGGTGGCGGAGAGCCGGCGAAGAAGCGCCGCAAGATGGCGAAAGTGGACCACGAACGGCTCATGGCGCCCGCTGGTCTCCCGCGGCTCATGAAGATTGCGAAGAGCTGGAAGGTGAAGGGCAAAGGGAGGGAGAAGGAGGACCTCGGCCTGCTCGTCGACATGTACACTGTCTGGGCGCACGGCATGTTCCCCAAGGGCGACTTCAAGTATACGATTGGGCGCGTCGAGGCCGTGTGCAGGACGAACCGCATGATCGTGAGTGGAGGCGAGGCGAGCGCAGCGAGCAAAGGCTGCCTTGTCGGACACGGAGCTGTGGATGGAACGCATAGCTGACCCCAGAACTCGATCGCGGGCATGAAAGACGTCTTCTACGGGCGCAACCGCTCCGCGTCCCCCGGCGGGGACATTCCAGACGACGCAGACCTCGACGGTGACTTTAACGAGCTGCCAGACGACCTCGCCGCGCTCGAGAGCAACATTGTTGCGTCCCAGCCCGGGCTCAAGTCTGTAGTCAGCGAACCGCTCTTCGCGCCCGACGAGGACGAGGACGAGCTCGCTGCGCTGGCTGAGGCGGAGGCCGAGGCGTCGAGGGCACAGACCCAGCAACAACGACCGCGGCCAACTGTGGTGGATATGGGCGACGCGCCGATCGATATTGGCGAGGAGGACGAGTGGTAGATCCCAGATACGGAGAGTGCGACGAAGCAGAACCTTGTAACAAACTGTGTATGTATAGCCTCCACTTTCTATCTGGTGCAAGAGACGACGACGCGATACATGGGATTCTGATCAATACAAGACGTGTTTTCTTCTTCACACTATTCCTTCTCACAACTCAACCCTCCGGCCGCGATATCGCTCGGCCAGAGGGCCCGACCAAAGGGCTCGGGGCTCGGGGCTCGGCCTGCAGCCTCATCCTCGCCTACACCTCCAAACTACTATCGCTGACAAAGGTAATGGCGCTCTCGCTGAGCCCCGTCCCGCTCAACCTGGCGCGGATCGCGTTCCAGTCCTGGCTCCGCCTGCGCGTATCGGGCACGTATCCGCCGGAGGGCACGCGCGCCTTGCCCGGCCCCAGCGTGGGCTGCACGCTGAGCGTGCTAAAGCTGGACGGGAAGAGGGGGTTTCCGGGCGTGCGCTCGAACATGTCGGCCTGGCGCATGCGCGGGCTGTGGGGGGACTTGCCCATGCCCATCTGCGGCGAGGGGGGCAGGGGGCTGGGCATAAAGGCCGGGCTGGCGGGGGAGACTGGGCTGCTGGCAGGCGAGTCGGACAGGTTCTGCGTCAGGATCTGGATACCCACAAAGGAGGGCGTGCGGCGCTTCGGCTGCGGGTCTTCGGCGGTGGGTGTGCCCGCCTCGTCCTCCCCGATCGTGTCCATGCTCCATGCTGCTGTCACGTCGTCGGCGTCCCCGAACTCTAATGCCAGCGCGCGCTCAGCCGCCTCGACCTCGCGCCTCTCCTCGGGCCCGACGGAGGGGAGGCCGCGGATGAACACCCGGCTCGGGGTCGATTCGGCACTCGAGTCGAAATCAGAGAGTAGAGGGTCGTCGCCCGCCACCATCAGCTCGGCGTCGCACCCGAGACACTCGCCCAGTGTCTCCCACAGCGCGGCCGAGTGCGTGCGCACCGCAGCACGCACGAGCGCACACCACTCGTAGTCGGGACACTGTGGCCGGTCAATCTCCGTCATGAGGGTCCGCAGCTCGGAGAAGTTGAAAAGCGTCGCGTCCATCTCGGCCCAGGTCGAGCGCAGCTCGCCAGAAGGCAGAGCCGACTTTAAGCTGTCTGCGAGGGGCACGTTGCGCGTGAAGATGAGCTCGCTCACTTCCTCGGGCCTGTTGATGAAGGGTAGCAGCGCACCCGGAGGGAGTTCGCGATACTCGACTGGCTCGAGCGCCAGCGCCTCCGTCTCTGGGGTCGGGTGCGAGATGTCGTACCCGCTCACAGACTTGCGGCGGACGCGCTTCGGGCCCGTTGCGGGCACGTCGTTTGCGCACACGGGCGTCATGAGGCCCTTGGCGAGGTCGACGACTTGCTGGGGCTCCAGAGCGCGGGAGGGGGGCTTGCCGTGCCCGAGGGAGGATTGGCGCTCGTGCTTGCTCGTCGTCGGGGAGGGGGGAGAGGAGGCGAGGGACGGAAGGGAGGTGGCGGATGAGGACTGCGCGAATGAGGCCGCAAACGACGAGCGGCGCGGCGAGGTGTCGACGTTTGTCAGCGAGGTGGCCGACTGCGAGCGCCTGCGTGTTAGCTAACCGGGACATTGTAGCACAGACATTCCGGACCACGGTAGTAGACAACAGGGTTGCAGCGCAACCTGTGTAACCCTTGCAACCCGGGCCGTAGTGACTCACTTGTGCAGACCCTCGTTGTTCGGCGCCTTGACGAGCAGCAGCCTCGTAATGATGCCGCTGCACTCATCAGGCTCCCCATCCCTGCGCCGGGTCCCTTTCGCAAAGGAGAACGCCCTCTCGCGCCCGTTCAGCGAGCGCCGCAGCCGGCTGTCGCTGCTCGGCAGGTCCATCGCCGAGATGCTCCGCGATCGCGCGGACGAGTTGGCTGCGCTGGGCGCCGCGCTCGTCTTGGTCGGTGGCCGACCTTGCCGGCCCGAGAAGGCCACGGGCGGGTCCTCGCGCAGTGGGCTGAAGGCCTGGAGGGGAGAGAGGGCGTTGTGTCGCGGCATGCGCGGTGAGGCGAGGCGGGGTGCGTCCATGGTCGCTAGTGAGAGATGGAGAGGGTGGTTAATGAATCCGGGGCTCTCTGGGGTGTGTTGCGGGGGCTGATTGCGACGAGGCGATGCTCCTGATATAGATGTCCAAGATTGATGGGGGGGTGTGACGCGGCCGTGCTCGGTGGGCACGAGTGCTGCGTGAGAGTTGGGGGGGGGTGGAAGGAATGCAGTGGCCTGGCGGACGCGAGCACGGGGAGAGAGGGGGAGACCGACTGAAGGAAAGGAGGACGAGTACCAGAGTGCTGGTACGGGGATGATGAGATCTGGTGGACGGTGTGCGGTGCAACAAGTGGAGAATGACGGATGCTGAGAGCTGGGAGATTAATCAACGCGTTTGGTGTGAGTGTTGGCAGTGTTGTGTTGTGTGTGTGTGGTCGCATGCAAGAGGGTATCGTCAGAGAGAGACCAAGAGGCCAAGCCGTGGCTAGCCAGGAACGATCTTTGGGATGTCTTTGGTGCATAGCACTTGTGTGTTCGCAGCGATGACGGATGTGTCCGCTGTTGTCCTGTTCTCGGGTCAGAGCGTGGGTCATCCTGGCATCCTTTGCTTTCCTCTCGTGACGCGCAGTACGTCATTCATGAACTCTGCGTTCTAGACTCCTCTCATCATTTATCACTTTTTTTTTTTTTCGTCTCTTGTCAACAAGCAATCAGCTCGCCAGCAGCAAACATCCATACACGCACACACACGCATAGGAGAAGAGGGGTAGAAGGACACGGCAACATTATCATTACAGACTGTGGGCACAGATACACGTCCATCAGTGTTACACGGTCGCCGGGTTTCTCACAATTGATGTCGTAGCAAGCAAGCGAGCAATGGCTCGCCATCATCAATGTATTTGAGTTTGTAACAGTGACGAGGAAGAGTCTGGTAGCGCAGCCCCTGCCCGATGTTTGCGTGAGTGAGCGTGGGCGTGCAGGAGCGAACCTTGAGCCTGGCGTGAGTGTCGGAATCGTTGGATGAGAGCTCTCGGAGGTCGGGAAGGCCACATCGAGTGTGAGAATGCGGGCTGATGAAGGAGGACGAGTCCGTGTCCGGGAGTTGCACGAAGCAATTACAGGCACACCAATGCACTTTGGGAGGTTTGTCGCCGGCAGTCGCGAGCATGACGCGAAGTAGTTGCTTGGCGTGAGGAACTGACAGACTAATTCCTGAACCTTGTTCTGGTTACGTACCGCGCGACCTATCGGTCTGTCGGTCTGTCGGCATCGGTCGGATGGTAGTATGTCTTGTTCAGGCAAACGGTCACTCCACGGACCGACGAAAAAGGACGCTAGTCATCCCGCTGACATCATCAGACAGTCCGTTGGAACCACCTGATCTCCGTTGTGCGCCAGGATAATCACGTGATAGTCCGGGTCAAGTGCCGGCCGAAGTGGGTGGTGCGAGGCAGGCAGCCGCAATGACGACCGTGGGTGAATTAGCTGCAGCCACGCGGGGCGCCGAGGCCATCAGAGTTATTCCTGTGCCACTTTCCGACATGGAACATGGGTGAGTGTGGTATCGCGGCTGATTTGATTCCGGGGCTCGGTAAGTTTGTGAACAAAGAGGCACGCCAAGGCACCTCGATCTCCTTCGGCACTATCGATGCTCCGCCTTCTGGATCCATATGCCACCAATCGCAATCAAATCATTCTTCGCATTGAAAAAGATGAGAGATCTCATGCATGTGATGTCGGCGGCGACTGAGACCACGCGTGCTCGTGTGCCCCCCCTTTCTGTGGCCGTCGGGATGTTCGGGGTGTTGCAGACTGGAGTATCGTCGGAAGAGTTGTCTGCCTGGGTTTTCCGAGAAATGAATGAATATGACCCACGAGACCCACGGAAGCATCCATTGCAATGGTCACCCGCTTATCGATACCGCCTGAGCCGGCGGCACGGCTACCGCAACCGCCGGCGGCAACTGCCTCTGCGTCAGATGCACCCGTGCACCCGTGTTTTGGACTCTCTTGGCCCTCTCCCTCGGCCTCCCTCGCACCGCCCTCTCGCCGTCAGTGCATCCCTCCAACAATGCACCACCTGTGCACAGGCCCCGAACGCATGGGCCCCGTAAGCCCCGTGGCTCTGCGCATCGGCCGGCCGCGTCTCCTCGGTGCTCCGCTGTGGCCGTTGGATGCGAGAGGAGCAAAAGAGGGGCGAGAGATACCGGGTGGCGTCGTCCATGGCGTCAACTCCCCCCCCCCTTTTCCAGGGCAAGGCGTGCTGCTGGGTGGCCAACAACCCAACAGTGGATGTATTTTTCTGTTCAGACCAAGCCCGCAATCGTCGCAACCTAGCCGGTCACCTGATGCATAGCTCTCCCCGGGTCCGTATCCGCGGTACTTGATAGCAGCAGCCGCGACAGCTGCGGCATACGGAACTATCGCACCGAGCTGACACACACAATCCGATCACTCTATCGGTACGCACGCTAGCGACCGGGCTATCTTTCGCCCTCCCTCCTTTGCACCGCTCCTTTCACCCTCTCTTTCCATTTCTTCCACTGCCCTTCTCTTTTGCAGCAGGTGGAACACCTTGCTCTTTCCCTTTGCCCTTGCCGGCCTTTCTCGACCTCGCCCCGCCAGGCTCACCCCGTGCATCGAGCTCGACCGCTGGGATTTTCGGACCGACAATGTCGTCCTACGCCTCGCAGCACCCGCTGACCCGTCGCGGCGGACGCGGCACGCCTGACGAGTCCACGCCGCCGCCATACAACCCCCCGTCCTCGTCCTCTGGACCGCGCCCAGAGTCGGACGCCGACGCAAAGCTCCGGAACAAAGACGACGGCCCCGTGTCAACATCAACGAGCTTCTCGATGCGCCGCCGGGGAGACCGCGCAGGAGGCAAGCTCGGCCTCAGGCGGAGGGAGTGGATCCTCCTCGGCGCCGTGACGATTGTTGCCTGCTTCGTCCGTCTCTGGAACCTCGGCTGGCCTACCAGCGTCGTGTAAGCTAACATAACGAGGGTGGTTGAGCTGACAACAGATTCGATGAGGTCCACTTTGGAGGCTTCGCCGCCAAGTACCTTCGCCGCAGGTATTTCATGGACGTCCACCCCCCGCTCGCCAAGCTGCTGGTCACGCTTAGCGCCTTCCTTGGTCGTTTCGACGGCAAGTTCGACTTCAAGGACATCGGCAAGTGAGTTGTGGTTTTGACGGGCTATTCATTGTTGTTTTGGCTGACGCGCCCAGGGACTACCTCGAGCCGAATGTCCCGTACATCATCATGAGGGCTTTCCCTGCCATTCTCGGCCTCGCCCTCGTCCCCCTCACCTTCCTTACGCTCATCTCGCTCCGCCTTTCCCTCGCCTCGGCCATCCTCGGCGCGCTCCTCGTCACCTTTGAGAACGCGCTCATCACCCAGTCGAGGCTTATTCTCCTCGACTCGTACCTCGTCTTCTTCACCGCGCTGACCATCTTCTTCTGGGTCCGCTTCTCCAACGACGACTCGGAGGGCCGCGCATTCACCCCCTCATGGTGGCGCAACCTCGCCCTCACTGGTGGTGCCCTCGGAGCCGTTGCCTCGTGCAAGTGGGTCGGCCTGTTCACCATCGCCACCGTCGGTCTGGGTACACTCCGCCAGCTCTGGCTTCTGCTCGGCAACCTCAAGGTCACCCCGCGCATGTGGATCAAGCACTTTGCTGCGCGCGCCATGTGCCTCATCGTCATCCCCGTGTTCATCTACATGTTCACCTTCTGGATCCACTTCTGGATCCTCGACCAGAGCGGTGACGGTGACGGATTCATGAGCTCTGAGTTCCAGCACACCCTTGACGGCCACCACATGATGGACACGTACGCCGACGTCGGCATGGGCTCGCTCGTCACCATTCGCCACGTCAACACGCAGGGCGGTTACCTTCACTCGCATAACAGCGCATACCCCGGGGGCTCAAAGCAGCAGCAGATCACGCTCTACCCCCACAAGGACGAGAACAACGTTTGGCGCCTCGTCAACGCTTCCGCGCCCGACGGAGCCATCTCGTACCCCTGGGATGACCTTCCGTTCGAGTCGATCATCACCGGCACAAAGCTCCGCCTCGAGCACGTCCAGACCGAGAAGCGCCTGCATTCGCACGACGTCCGCCCGCCCGTCTCCGAGGTCGACTTCCAGAACGAGGTTTCCGGCTATGGCTTCCCTGGCTTTGCCGGTGACGCCAACGACGACTTTGTCCTCGAGATTGTCCCCGAGACTCGTGGCAAGGACAAGCTCGCGAAGCACCAGCTGCGCACCCTCCGCTCCGTTTTCCGTCTCCGCCACGCCATGACCGGCTGCTACCTGTTCTCGCACAAGGTGAAGCTTCCCGACTGGGGTTTCGAGCAGCAGGAGGTCACCTGCAACAAGAACCCGACCTGGGACAACTCGCTCTGGTACGTCGAGACCTCGACGCACAAGCAGCTGCCCGAGGACGCCGAACGTGTCAATTACGAGAAGCCCGGCTTCGTCAAGAAGTTCTGGGAGCTGCAGGGTGTCATGTGGCGCACGAACGCTGGTCTCACTGAACGCCACGCCTACGACTCGCGCCCGCAGCACTGGCCTTGGCTCCGCCGCGGTATCAACTTCTGGGTCAAGGACCACCGCCAGGTTTATCTCATGGGCAACCCTGTCATCTGGTGGTCATCGTCGCTCGCTGTCCTCACCTACGTCGCCGTCCGCGGTCTCCTGATCCTCCGCGCGCAGCGTGGATACCGTGACCTGTACCTCCCCAAGATCGCGTACTATGATGAGGTGTGCGCCTTCCTGCTCATGGGCTGGGCACTGCACTACGCGCCGTTCTTCCTGATGCAGCGTCAGCTGTTCCTGCACCACTACCTCCCGGCCCTGTGGTTCGCGATCCTGCTCTTCTGCACAGTGTTCGACTACGCCACCTCGCGCATCCGCCCGCGCGCTCGTCTCCAGATAGCCGTGGCAATCATCATCGTCGCGATCTGGTCGTACAACTACTTCTCGCCGCTCGCTTATGCCAACCCCTGGACTCGCCCCAAGTGCGAGCAGGCCAAGTGGCTCAAGTCATGGGACTTCTCGTGCGCCGACTTCCACGGCAGCATGCACGAGTACTATGCGCAGAGCGCCGTCGTCGAGCCCGAGAAGCACGTGTACGTGAACGCCGAGGCAGCGACGACGACGCTCGTCGAGGAGGTGCCTGAGCCGATCGCGAACGTGTTCGACAAGGGCGACGACGCCGCGCAGGAGGAGAAGACGCAGGGCCTCGCGGGCCCGCAGAAGGAGCAGCCGCCGATGCAGGACACGACCGGCGGCAACCTGGTCGGCAAGGTTGCGGCGGATGACGCGGAGATTCCAGCTGACGACCGTGCGCCCGTCGGTGTCGACGCTGGCGCCGTCGGCGTCACGGCGGCGGAGCAGCTGGACGGATGGCGCGGCGGCGCCAACGAGGACAACGCCGACCACACCGTCGTGGCCGAGAGCCAGGCCGTCCCCGCCGAGCCAGTCAAGGTTGAGCAGGCGGCGCCTGTCGCGATGGAGCTCGATGACGAGGCGGAGCAGCTCGCCCACGAGGCAGAGGAGGCGGCCGAGAACGCCGTTCCCGCGGCGGGCAAGCTCCCGCCGGGCGTCGAGGAGATTGACGTCCAGCTCGACTAAAATGGTAGTCCTGACACTACGATGTATCTATTGCATGATGACCGCTAGACTCGCTTCCACTCCTTTATGCACAATCGTTCTGACACGGCTGAGCCTGACTGACAAGAGTCTTTGGCCTGACTTGAGATTTGAGAGGCAAGTGTACGCCTCGATCGTCGAAAGGAGACTGGGACATCAGATCAAGCACAAGGCAGACGGCCACAGCGCTTCAGCTGGTGGGAATGAGCAACGAGATGGCGATGGTGATACAACCGTTCATTTCGAAGCTATGGGATAATCGGGGATATGTTTTCTTGTTTTCTTGTTCTCTATCTACTGTTGCTGTTTCTGTTTTCTGTTTTCTGTTTCTTTTTTGTCGATTTTCGTGTTCCATTCTACAATCGTTCAGTGTCCATGTCCTGCGTACAGTAGGGCAAGTCGGCACGTGCTTTCTTAGTGTTTCGAGTGGGTTTTCTTTTTCCGGGTCATTTCGTCTCTAAATTCTGTGATTTGGCTTTTCGAGTACGTCTGGGCATTTCTGTTCGGTCGTTCGGTCGTACATGGAACTTGGGGACAATGTTCGTTTGGGGTGCGATGACCCCGTGCGTGCGCTGTTGGCGCCACTGGTGATGAGCGAGCATCGCTCGGTAGGTTGTTGGGCCGGTGGGTTCTACGGGCAGGGGGTAAACAGCTTCGTCTGCCTGTCTGCCTGGATTCAGAACAGAGGTTCGTGTGCTGCCCCCTACTTCCGTCTAGCATTCATCCGCAGTGCTTTGGGAGCATCAACCGGGCGCAGGCCATGGAAGGGGAAGGAGGTAACTGTTTTTGTGCTGTTTTCGGGTTTACTGAATTTGGTTTGGGTTTGGTTGCTTTCTGACTTTGTTTTCTGCTTGTCTGTTCGTGTTTTTGGTTTTCTGGGTTCTGCGTGTGTATCAGAGTGTTCTTGGCCGCTTTTGCCGCTTGTGGAGGAGTGCGGGTCGGTATTGTCCATGGTGCGTGACTGTCGTGTCAAGGGGCGTTCGTAGTTGGACGTCGTGTGTGCCTCTCGGTGGAGTCGAAGTGGTGTGGGTGCTCTTCCGGAGACAGCCCTGGATAGGGCTGCCTGAGAGCGGAGGGTAGGGGGTGGAGCACGGAATCCGGTGCTGATCTGGCCACCAGTGCCTTCTACCTCCTCAGAGGAGCGTTGGCGAAGCTTGCCTCTTCGTGTGTCGTGGTCTGGCCAGCAACAGTTCTCAGACGGTCCTTCTTATATACGCAACTTGACCTCCCAGAAACGGCCCTGCCATGTCAGCACACAGGACACCGTCTGTTGCCAGGCTCCTGAAATGTGGCCAGTCTCTTGCACATGTGACATGAATAGCTTGGAAACAGGAGACGAGAGCACCGCATCTCATCATGGGGTATTCATATCGAGACGATCCGTCGGCCACTCTCCTCCGCTCTCAAACGTCACAGGACCTGCTCAAACCAACTGTCAATGCACTGTGACCATACTCGTACACCTGCTCCTCACCGCTTCGAGCATGTGACGGAACTCATGACGTGTCGAGAGGTCAAACGTTGGGGATTTAGCACAGCTCCGAGGGCCGCCAACTCCGTCGGAGGACCAGCTTCGCCACACTCATCACGTGATGGATCTGATGCCAGTGAGCGGAGTGGACTGGCCTTCCGTCAGAGCAGACCTGCGTAAGAGACGGTGGGTAAGTCGGGATTGGTATCAGCGATGGAGCACTCTGTCCCGAAGAGTCTATGCGTCCATGTAGTTCCCGGAACCGAAGTCCGTCGAAGACGTGCCGAGATGTGCGTACACATCGCGCCGACGCGATAGCTTGCGCATTCCACCCGGATTCTTGCAAGCACTACCATTGCAGAGCCACTTTACCGACAGTATCAACGTCACCTCTGTATACTCAGGTTTCCAGCCCACTCCAACCCCTCTGCCCCTACATCCTCTCGGTCTCGGTCTCGGGGTCACTCGCTGCGACATTAATGGCATTCAAAGCGGACCGCAATGAGGGCCATGGAGGGTGGGAGGGGTCCAACCGACCTATGTCGGATGCAACACGGTACCGCGTTTCACCTCTGAGAGCACAATAGGGGATAGCCGTGCCTGACAACTTCCCTGAGCCCCGGCGCTCGCAACCTCGTCACCAGAGGCGAGGCTCCTCCTGCCTTCAGCAACGCATGCTTTATGTTGCAGCATTGCAGCATGCAGAAGACAGGATGGAGCGAGTGTGCGCAGAATGAGTTGAGATGTCGGAGCGTTCGGCGCATGCAAGTGAAGGTGCACCGTGCACCGTGCACCCTCGGAGGCGCTAGGCAGGAGTTGACACGGACCGCCGTACCTTGCGACAAGCCCTCGTCCTGCAGGAGATCAGGACAGTGAAGACCTGCATGCCTCCTGCAGGATCGCAGGACGAGCGACTATGACAGAAGCACGCTAGCCGCAAGCGTCCCATGCGTCTTAATGCAGCGCGTCAGACTCCTCGAATGTAGAATGCATGATAGCATCGCTGAATGCGAGTGTGCGTCCGTGACGTGCAGTGGGATGCCGTGCGGGCTGAACAGGGAGCCATTACGTCCCGCGTAGCCCGCGTACCACCTCCTGCCCATTCAGGCGTTCAGCCGATCACTGGTTGGACAATGGGGAGTGACACCGGGACGGTGTGATCGCGCGCATCACACATCCGTGCTGGGTGTGCTTTGTGCATGTCCGGCAGTCACCGGACACAGACTAGGGCAAACTAGTCTGAAAGTGCACCTTGAACCGGAGCATGGAGCGGCGGGTCACGTCAGCCAATGGTCGACAGCGAACTGCAAGTACGCTCTCTAAGCAGAACCGTCCGCATCAGGCAGGACCAGAGCAGGACGCACATGACAAGCGAGTGCAGCACAGCACGCCCAGTAGAGTTACAGCGCTCCAGAGTGCGACGCGCCTTGGAGCGACGACATTGGCTCGCAGGAACGCAGGCACCGGGTCCAGCGGTTTGTCAAACTCAGAGGCGAGTTGGGAACCCAGAGTTAAACCGCAAGCCTCCAGTGGGACGAGGCACGTCGCTGCTCCCTACCTTCCCTTGTGTGCCGCCGAGTCCTGGGCGGGTGCGTCAGTTGGCATCGCGGCTTGTCAGATGGCTCCTGGGCCAAACTCTCCTAAGCAACGAGGGTCGGAGCTGTATGCTACTGGGGAGAAACGAAGATCCAAATGCCCAAGTGATGTGCATGCAAAACCGGTTCGCATATGCTAATCAAAAGATGAGGGAGAGGCGAAGAATGAACAAAGTGCCGAGCCGCGCAAGAGACAGGGTAGGCAGAGTGCTCGTGCGCGGCGGGAATGAATAGTGTCTGGTTTATGGGTCCATCGTTCGGTCAACGTGAGCGAGTCACGCCGTCGATCGACGTTTACCAGGGGTTGGTGCCGGCACCACCGGAGCCGTCCCAGTGGAAGCCGTCGGAGGGGAGGTCGGTGAAGCTGCCAGGGGCCTGGGGTGCGTCGTCAACCCACTCCCAGGAGAACTCCGGGCCCTTCATCTCGCCGAGGGCGTCGCCGGCCTCCTTGCCATCGGTGAGGTAGTAGAAGAGGACGGGCGACATGTCAATGTGGTTGTACTTGCACGTGGCGCATTGGTCGTTGACGGTGGCAATGGCCGAACGACCCTTGTAGGTGACTCTGATGTGACGGCCACAGATGGGAGCGTCGTAGGAGGATCCCTGCCAGAGCTCATTCCAGTTGTCCTTCGACATGGCGACGAGGGGAGTAGTGTCGGACGGGTTGTCAGTACCACAGGCAGTCTTGTCGTAGCCGTGGTTCTCGGCAGGGTTCTGGAGCGAGTAGAACGTGCCCTTGGCATTGGCGCGGGGTCCAGAGCCAACATACTTGCCGTCGTTGCCGATCTTCAGGAAGTCGGGACCAGAACCCCAGGCGTAGTCGCCCGAGGCCCAGCCGCTGCCGACGCTGCCGCTCTGGCCCTGGTCCTTGTTGTCGTTGTTGCCCTGGTTGTTCTGGTCCTGGTTGCCCTGGTTGTTGTCGTGCTTGTCGCCGTTCTCAGTGGGCTGAGACTCGGCGGTCGAAGACGACGACGAGGGAGAGGGAGAGGTCCAGTTGTCCTGCTTGTGCTCTCCCTTCTGCTTCTTGTTCTTCTTGGCGCCAGTGTCGAGGACCTCGGCGACGTCAACGGGGGCCTCGGCGGCGAAGTTGTGGCCGACCGTGCCGTTCTCGCACTTCTGGCCGCGGCGGGCAAGGTTGCGGTGCGTGCGGACAGCGTGGGGCATGACGTGGCGCTGAGAGCTGGCGAGGGGCGCGGCGGCGGCGGAGAGCGCAAGCGCGAGGGTAGCGATAACGGTAGTCTTCATTTTGTTTGGTGGTTTATGGAAACAAAGAGTGACAGGTTATTGAGACAAGAGAGGTGGTTGTGTGTTGGTCAAGAGAAGTCGTGATGTGCCGTCAAGGTTGTATCAGGATGATCTCTTGGTGGGTTGGTTCGAACGTTGAGGGGACGTCGAGAGAGTGTAGACAGTGAGATAGTAATGAGAGTAGGTGATCACAGGAGAAGTCGTTGAACGATGGACAGTCGAGAGGAGAACGGGCCGGCCGAACTTTCGCGATGTGTGGTTCAGTAGAGATGAGAAGGGTTGAAGGATAAGGAGGGAAAGATGTCAGTACGAAGGGGGGTCAGCCATTATATGCCCGGGGCAGTGTTTGGTAGGGGAGCTTCCAGTGAGGTGGGTGAGATGCACATCCCGCGCAAGAGGTTAGTTCTTGGCACTGATCGGGTGTGCAGGTGCAACTGGACGATCCGGGTGCCACCAGGCCCAGGGTTGCCCAAGGGTCGCCCAAGGGCGCGCGCGAGAGTTGCCGTCAAGCGCACAATTAGTTCTTAGTGCGCCGCTTCGGCGTCCCTCGCTCAATACCTCTGTAGGCAAGGTTGCCCTGACCCCCTAGACCGGGCAATGAGGTCGAGTGGTGTCGGTCCTGCAGGAATGTGCTGGTCTAGTGCGGGCAGGCTAGGTCAAGTTGAGAGTGAAACGCGATGAAAGCATAGGACGGGTAGCGCACGAAGGGGGGGTGAGCTTCAACCCTGGGGCGCCACTACCCCCTGACGTGCGTTGGCCAGGTGCACCCACTCGAGCACTCGGCACAACCCCTTTGCTTCGCCTCCCTGCCCAGCCAAGCGCGCCAAGTCGGGTGCGCGAATTCAAACCACTCCGAGCATCCGACCCACTGCACGTACCACGACGCGACTGCCAGTAGAACCCATGCACGCGTCCTCCCGGTTAGTCCGTTCAGCAGAGTCCGTAGAGCTGCTTAATCAAGCATTAATCTTGCACGTAAGCCTCAGGTAGCGAGCTGCTATCCGCGACCCGGCGGCATCGCTCTCGAGCTTCACCCTGGCTTACGTCCTCCAATTCCTGCCGACCGCGCACGCACTGACCACTCTTATCAGGACGGAGTAGGACCTTGAATGGCGATCGCACATGCACAGTGTGCATCATTGCTGTATGCGGCACACAGCACGCACAGCAGCGGCCAGGAGCCGGAGTGTTACCAATGGAGTCGTTTGATGCGCAAATTGTATTGATGTACAGCAACAGAGCGAATGCGGTGTGGTCGCGAGGGCAAGGAACCGTCTGACCCACATGGCTGTCCGGCTGAGGCAACGCATTCATCGCGTTTTCTTGGTACTAAGGGACGGAGGGATGTGGTGACCTCCTGGCGCTCCAGTTCTGTATCACAACTTACCGCTTCTGCTCTGTTCGTTCTTACACTCGCCTGGTGCCATGTCATGTGCTGGCCAACACCCATGAACTGTCTTGCCCGCCCGGCGCTGTTGTGCACATGACCCCCCCTCAAAATGAAAGAGGGTGTTTTGCAGCGCCTCGCACATGGCTACGGGCAAGGCGATCAGAAACACCCAAGAGGTCACCAAACAAGCAGTGTGCGTCTGGACCGCCCGAGCCTCACCGCCTGTTGCTTGGCGGCGAGAATGGGGTTGACTTGGCATCATATGGCCTTCCTAATGGAGGATTCTAATCCCGCACCAGGACGCCAAAGGACGCTTTCAAATCTCCTGGGCTCGGCACACATTGCTTCCGGGCATGCTTGTCCAGCGCAAGGACCCCGGGTTGCACAGCGAGTGCCGGCGAGACCTGGACTCATGGCGCTCTCCGGCGTTCGGAGGCGCCCGCTGGCGTTGAGGGTTTTGCGCAGAGCGCATCGGGGGTGGTCACTAGGCCGAGGGAGATAACGGGGTGCAAGCGAGAACGTAGTGGCGGCATGCATGGGAGGCGGAGTGGGGTGGGTGATGCCCGAGTGAGTTCGGGTGACTGTCTCTTGCGCACTTGCAGCACTCTCGCAGTCCGCTGTAGCGCAGCACGCCGATCTCTCACACTGTGACGCCGCCAGTGCACTCGAGGGCCGAGACTGCTCTCTGTGCGCCGCTGCGGTGCAGGTTTGGGCTTGGCACGGTGAACAAGTGAGGGTGCGCGAGTGCCTCTATCCGGATCCAACGCAGCGCACCGACCTCTTAAGATGATCAAGCTTATGCTCGGGACTCCCGCCCTCGTCCGTTCATCTCCGCTCGACGCACGCACCGTCGGCCCAGATCTGACGGCGACGTCTCCGTTCCAAGCACGAGCCCTGGAACGTAATTCCAAGGTCTGTTTCTCGACCGTGAGAAAGCTCCTGGAGTAAGACCGTGAGAGAATAACTTGCGAGATGCCGTGGGAGAACTAAAAGTTCGATTACCGTGGGAGACGGGACACGTGCCCACAGACCGCGGTGAATTCCACCCTTTGATCCCGCACCAAGGCCGCCTGCTGCGTCATCACTCGTAGCGCTGTGACCGCTGTCTCGTATATTTTCGCAGCCTGCAGTGGAGGGATTAGGTTCCGCCTGCGGACTTGTGTTTTTCAGGCTTGCGGAGGTCGCTCGGTCTGATTTTTTGGTGGAGGCCCTAAGGGCATTCTAGCAACTACAGGAAAAAAAGCGAAGCGCGCCCAGCCAGTCCTCAGCCAAGTCCCAGCCAGAGAGCGAAGCTGCAACTTGTTCCGTTTGCTTAAATCAAACCACTGGATCCATTCCAATCGGACCGGAGACCTTTACGACCTTTGACTTTTCGCTACACTACCCCAAGAATACACATTCATCATGGCTGTGAGTCTTCTTGTGTGCTGACACGTCTTTGCCCCTTGCCAGACCGTCCGCTGTCCGTCACCGAGCTCCTCGCTGTCACCGTCACTGCTTTTGCCCCACGTTCAGAACCGAAATGCCCCATCGCAGTCCGACTCTATGCCGAGCAAATGTCATGTCCGACGCATGTCGACCCTCCTTGCAGCTACGTCAGAGTACAAGGAGAGTGTGCTGGCTCTCCCTTCTGGGCGTTGGCCCTGCGTAGCAGCTCCGAAACAATTGCCAGAAGTGGTTGTGAGCCTCAGTTCTCAAATCCTCACAGCGACCCCTCAGGCGGCTGCACCACCTCCACTCCTCCGACAAGCAGTTTATGCGACACTTGGAGAGGGGAGAGGCAGAGAGAGCGTGCTTTCCTCCGACGTGGCTTCGGTCTATGCGACGTCGGTAGCCGGATCAAGCCATCTTGAAGCACGTCCCTACTGTTCCTTGGCGGACCTCCGAAAACCTCCTAATAGCGACTGCGGCTTCACCTTCCTCATTCGATTTCTTAACATGGCATCGACGGAATGCTCAATGTAAAGCTAACACGGAGCGGCATTAGGACTTGAGCTTGGCAGCGGAACAATCTCGGAAGGGCTGGTGACGGGATGACGTTTTGCACCCTTCACCGTTCATCGCTAACCTTACACAGAGTGTTGTCGGTATCGACTTTGGAAACCTGAGCTCGAAGATCGGTGTGGCTCGCCACCGCGGTATCGACATCATCACCAATGAGGTCTCGAACCGCTCGACTCCGTGAGTAGTCTTTCTATGATGAGATGTCGAATGACGTAGCCCGCTAACATCAACAGTTCGCTCATCTCCTTCACCCCGAAGCAGCGTTTCATCGGCGAGGCCGCCAAGACTGCTGAGACGTCGAACTTCAAGAACACTGTCGGCTCGCTCACCCGCATGATCGGCCGCACTCTTGACGACCCCGATGTTCAGTCTGAGGAGAAGAAGTACATCAACGCCAAGCTCGTTGACGTTGGTGGCCAGGCTGGTACTCAGGTCCAGTACCTCGGTGATGCCACCGACTTTTCGTACACCCAGCTCGTCGGTGCCTTCCTCGGCAAGCTTAGGGATACCGCTTCCACTGAGCTCAAGCAGGCCGTCTCTGACGTTGTCATTGCCATCCCCGGCTGGTACACCGACGTTCAGCGTCGTGCCATGATCGACGCCGCCAAGATTGCCGGCCTCAACCCCCTCCGTCTCATCAACTCGAACACCGCTGTCGCTCTTGGTTACGGTATCACCAAGGCCGACCTCCCCGAGGACCCCGAGAACCCCCGCTACGTCGTCTTCGTCGATGTCGGCCACGCCACCTACTCCGTTTCCGTTGTTGCCTTCAGCAAGGGCCAGCTTGTCGTCAAGGGCACTGCCCACGACCGGAACTTCGGTGGTCGTGACATCGACTACGCCCTCGTCCAGTACTTCGCCAAGGAGTTCCAGTCCAAGTACAAGATTGACGTCCTTTCCAACCCCAAGGCCATCTTCCGTCTTGCCGCCGGCTGTGAGCGCCTCAAGAAGGTCCTCTCTGCCAACACCGAGGCTCCCCTCAACGTCGAGTCCATCATGAACGATGTTGACGCCTCTTCCTCCATGAAGCGTGAGCAGCTCGAGGGTCTCATTGAGAACCTCCTCAACCGCTTCGACGGTCCCCTTGAGGCTGCCCTCACCCAGGCCGGCATCTCCAAGGAGCAGGTTCACTCCATCGAGCTTGTCGGTGGCTCCACCCGTATCCCCGCTATCAAGGACAAGATCTCCAACTTCTTCGGCAAGCCCCTCTCGTACACCCTCAACCAGGACGAGGCCGTTGCCCGTGGTGCCACCTTCGCCTGTGCTTCGCTCTCCCCCGTCTTCCGTGTCCGCGAGTTCGCCGTTCAGGACATCATCAACTACCCGATCAAGGTCCAGTGGCAGAAGGAGCCTGGAAACCCCGACGAGGAGACCGAGCTCACCGTCTTCCCCGAGAAGAACGCCATGCCCTCGACCAAGATCCTCACCTTCTACCGCAAGGCTCCCTTCGAGCTTGAGTCGGAGTACGTCCAGGAGCCTCCTCTCCCCGTTGGCACCAACCCCCGCATTGGTCAGTTCAGCATCAACGGCGTCAAGCCTACCGACTCGGGTGACCTTGCCTGCGTTAAGGTCAAGGCTCGTGTCAACCTCAACGGTATCACCAACTTCGAGCAGGCCTACGGCGTCCAGGAGGTTGAGAAGGAGGAGGTCACCATCACTGGCGAGGGTGACGACAAGAAGGAGGAGACCCGCATCGTGAAGAAGCTCGAGCGCACCGGCGACTACCCCACCGCTGCCCAGTACAACACCTGGTCGGACAAGGTTGTCGACGACTGGCTCGAGGCTGAGGGCAAGATGCACGCCGACGACAAGCTCGTCCAGGAGACTGAGGAGCGCAAGAACGCTCTTGAGGAGTACGTCTACGACATGCGCGGCAAGCTCGACGACCGGTACAAGGCCTACGTCCAGGCCTCCGAGAAGGAGCAGCTTCTCTCTGGCCTCCAGCAGGCTGAGGACTGGCTCTACACCGACGAGGGTGAGGACGCTCCCAAGTCTGCCTACGTCAAGCGCCTCGACGAGCTCAAGAAGGTCGGCGACAAGGTCGTCCTTCGCTGGAGGGAGAACGACGAGCGCCCCCGCGCTGCCGCCCAGCTCCGTGAGGTCATCAACAACTTCCTCTCGGCTGCCCAGAACGGCGAGGAGAAGTACGCCCACATCTCCGACGAGGACAAGCAGAAGGTCATCGAGAAGTGCGCCAACACCCAGCACTGGCTCGAGGACAAGCTCGCCCGCCAGATGGAGAAGCCCAAGAACGTTGACCCCATCATCACCTCTGCCGAGATCCTCAAGAACAAGGACGACGTCCAGTACACTTGCGCTTCGATCATGAACCGCCCCAAGCCCAAGACCACTGAGACCCCCGGCACCGAGACTCCCAAGGAGGCCCCTAAGGAGGAGCCCAAGCAGCCTGAGGAGGACATGGACATCGACTAAGCGACTCGAGGCGTCGGAGCGTTTGTCGTGTGTTACAATCAACAAAAAGCTGTCCGTGTTATAGGAGAAGTGCAGTGTCCCACGGTTTTGCCACAGTTACATCGTAAATCGTTGTGTATGATGATGAAATAGATGCAAAGACTATAGCTACATGTTACATATCTTGAGAGCACCAGTTGACCTATGGTGCCCACGATCGCTGCGCACACAAGCTGCCACCATGTCACTGAGCAGCCGACACTATTGCGATTTAGTCTGCTCATAGGACAGGTTGCTAATGCAAATTGTAATGAGGTGCCACGTGTGTATCGCCGAGGCTACGACGTGTGTGGCACTGTGCGGTGGTGTAGATCTTTTGAGAGCGGAATCAACTAGGGGCCGCGATCCAGGAGCGATAGGTCCGCTGGCTGGCACGGCGTCTGGTGCCACGGTGGGAGAGTCAGCCTAGGCAGAGCTGGCTGGCACCTGCGCTGGCTGGCTGGGCTCGACACGCGCCTGCGCCTGGTGCACCCTTCAGCGTCACAACTCGCAACGATCACCTCAACACGGCCATCATCCATCTTTACCCTTCCCTCCCACAATATCCCTACACGCGACCTCGTCTCTTCTCCTGGACTTTCCAACCCCCACGAGCTCCGTCGCATACCCCTCCTTACACGTCGGCATCGCCCTCTGTTTCTAGAACCTGCACACACGGCCCCGACCCCCACGACTCCCTCTCCCCCCCGTCACCCGTCCCCGCACCCTCACGACTTTCGTCTTGTGCATCCTTTGTCCTCCCATCTCCCAAGGTCGACAATAAACAAGCACCAAAATGTCGTCTCCTTCCGCCCAGCAGGGCTCCCTCTACCCCATTCACCTTCTGATGGATGAGCTCAAGTCTGACGATGTTGTTCTCCGTCTCAGCTCGATCCGTCGCCTGAGCACCATTGCTCTTGCGCTCGGCCCGGCACGGACGCGCGATGAGCTCCTTCCTTTCCTCCAAGTGAGTGGAGGGACGCCTAAGTGAATCAATGTGCAAACAGGCAAACATGTGGTCATCTTAGGCGCAAGGCTTGGCAGTAACTAACAAATACAGGACCAGCTCGATGACGAGGATGAGGTGCTGCTCGTGCTCGCGGAGGAGCTCGGATCGTTTGTCGAGTACGTTGGTGGCAAGCAGTACGCTTGGACGATTCTCGGCCCTCTCGAGAACCTTGCGGCCGTCGAGGAGACGCTCGTTCGCGACAAGGCCGCCGAGTCCATCTCGTCCATCGCCTCCGTTCTCTCGCCTCAGCACATCGACGAGTACTTCATCCCTCTGCTCAGCCGCCTGAGCAACGGTGACTGGTTCACCTCGCGCACGTCGGCTTGTGCCCTCTTCGCTGCCGCTTACCCGACGGCTTCCGCCGAGGCTCAGGAGGAGATGCGCCGCCTGTTTGCGTCGCTTGTTGCCGATGACACCCCGATGGTCCGCCGTGCTGCTGCTCGTGCTCTCGGTCCCTTTGCCAAGGCCATCGCTTCCGTCAACGGCCAGCACTCGATCCTCATCAACGACATCATCCCTCTTTACCGTCGTCTCGCCGGCGACGACCAGGACTCGGTCCGTCTCCTCACGATCCCCGACCTTATCGCCCTTGCCTCGAACCTCTCGAACGAGGAGACCAAGGACTACCTCCTCGAGCCGCTCCGTGCTAGCGTCGCCGACAAGTCGTGGCGTGTGCGCTACATGGTCGCCAACGAGTTTGTCGGTCTCGCTGAGAGCGTCGGACCCGAGATTGTCCGCGATGAGCTCATCAACGCCTTTGTCGGTCTCCTGAAGGATAACGAAGCCGAGGTCCGCACCGCCGCCGCTGGCCAGATCCCCGGCTTCTCCAAGCTCATTGACCGCGAGGCCATCCTCAACCGCATCCTCCCCTGTGTTCGCGACCTCTCCAGCGACACGAGCCAGCACGTTCGCGCTGCTCTTGCCATGCAGATCTCGGGTCTCGCCCCTCTGCTTGGCAAGGATGCCACCATCGAGCACCTCCTTCCCCTGTTCCTCCACCTCCTCAAGGACGAGTTCTCAGACGTTCGTCTTAACCTCATCTCCAAGCTCGAGATGGTCAACAACGTCATCGGCATCGACCGCCTGTCGCAGGCTCTCCTGCCCGCCATCATGGAGCTCGCCGAGGACAAGCAGTGGCGCGTTCGCCAGGCTATCATCGAGTACATTCCTCTGCTCGCTACTCAGCTCGGCGTTCAGTTCTTCGACGACAAGCTCGGCAACCTCTGCATGTCGTGGCTCGGCGACACTGTCTTCTCGATCCGTGAAGCGGCCACTATCAACCTTAAGAAGCTGACCGATGTCTTTGGCGTCGACTGGGCCCGCACCACCATTATTCCCAAGGTCCTGCAGATGGGCGAGCACCCCAACTACCTCTACCGCATGACGACCATCTTTGCCATCACCGTGAGTTCGTGGAAACCCGTGCAGAATTAACCTCAGACGATGGCTCCCTCCCTTAACACGGCTATCATCCGTGACACCGTCCTCGACGCCGCGCTCCAGCTCGTCTCGGACCCGATCCCCAACATCCGGTTCAACGTCGCCAAGTGCCTCGAGACGCTCGCTGCCGTCCTTGCCAACGACCCGGAAGGTCAGGATCTGATCCAGCGCCGCATCCTGCCCACCTTACGGCAGCTGCAGGAGGACTCTGACGCCGACGTCAGGTATTTCGCCACCAAGGCGTACGAGCGGACCACGGGTGCCGACTCTGGCGAGGCCATGGTCGTGTCCTAAGCCCCAGGCTGCTCCAGCTCATCAACAAAATCAACGACTTCTATAACTTAACCACGCCAACAATCAACAACTAAACCAACCATCGACGGCAACAGGAATAGATTTACCTTGCTACCGATCCGGATGCGGATTTCGGATTGTGAGAAGAGAAGTGGAGGTGGAGAGGGGCGACGTGTCAGCGGAAGGCCGGTGCTGGGGCGCGAGGATGAGCGCACGGCCCGGCTCCTTTTTAGATAAGAAGTGGACGGATAGTCAAGAGGTAGAAATATATACCCCACTTTTATGAACCAAGAATGCAGCACACCGGCCTAGCAGCAAACAAATGGAACGGATGTGACATCTAAGAAAGGACTATGGGTGATGTTTATTAGGGAAATGCAAAGGTTACGATTTTCGTGGGGAGATTTAGTGGGGACAAGCATACTCTCTCCAGTCTTTAGACGGTGAGGACGCCGCGGAGGATGCCCTTCTCCTGGTCGGAGAGCGCGTCGACCATCTCCTGCATGCCATTGCAGTTGGAGGCGTAGCACTGGCGGAGGACGTTGGTGATGTGCTCGCCCATATCGATCTGCGCGAGCGGGTCAGTCTTGAGGTCCTCGTCGTCGTCCTGGGCGTCATTCTCGCCGCCGCCGCCAGCGTCGAGCCAGTCCGAGAGGAACGCAAACTCGTCCTCGCCGGCCGAGCCGAGGGGGTCGTCGTCGGCCCAGTCGTCGTCCCCGTCGTCCTCCTCAATCTCGCCGTCGTACGCCGCGCCGCCCTTCTTCTTCCCACTTCCCTCCGCCGAGACGTCCTTCAGAAGGAGCTTCAGCGCCTTGACGGGGAACGGCACAGAGGTATAGGTCGTCGGCGTGGAGCGCGTTCGCGACCGCGTCATGATGCGGTTCCGGTTCCGTTCGTCCACCACCATGTCGCCCTGCACGGTAACATTGCGCAACTGCGGGGCGGGGAGGGCGAAGAGCTTGCCGAGCCCGAGGTCCGAGACGCGAATATTCCACGAGCCCGTAATCGTGTCCGCCTGCTCGCACCAGGCCTGCAGCACCAGGTCGAGCGCGGGGCGCTGCGTGCCGTCCGCCATGGTGACGGGCGGGAACGAGGAGAGCAGCTCGAGCGTCTGCTCCGTATACTCGGTGCCGAAGAGGTAGGCGAAGGGGATGACGAGGCTCTGAATGAACGACGGCATCGTCGCCGTCGCGAGGCGCTGGACGATCGCCCGCAGCAGGTCGCCGAGGACGGGGGCGATAGCCCCGCCCGCCTTGCGGAACATGTGCATGATGAGATCACCGACGAAGACACCACCCGTCTCGCTGAATGTCGGCGCGAGGAAGCGACCAAGCAGGCCAAAGATGCACGCGATCCCGTTGCTTCCATCAGGAGCGTGCCAGGCAATCAGCGAGTCGCAGTCCTTGCGCACCACGAGCGTCAGGTGGATCATGCCGTGCTGGATCACGTCCATGTCGTCCGTGCCGCGCAGGAGCGTGATGATCGAGGCGGTGACGCTCGAAATGAAGTCGCCGCCGAGCGGGCCGGGGCGCGGCTTGATCAGCGCATTGGCGAGCTGAACGGCCTCTCCGGGGACGTAGACCGTGTCCTCGGTCGTGGGGGTGAGGATGAGCTCGGCGATGCGCGGGGCGAAGAAGGCCGTCGTTGTGTCCACGACGCTCTGCAGTGGCGAGGACGCCAGCGCATCCACAATCTCCTCCACGATCGCCGTCAGAACCGGGTCGGTCAGATTCTTCATCCACTGCTCCCACACCGCGCCGCAGACGGTGCGCACGACGTCGGCCGTCAGGCGCTCCTTGTCCAGCGACAGAACGGCGTATACCGTCTCCATGACGAGGTAGAGCGTCTCATTGCTCGCCTCGGGAAGAATCGGGAGGAGAAGCGAGAGCACGCGCGGAGCCTCGGGACCCATGACAGAGGCATCGACGAAGCGGCAGAAGTTGCGCAGCGTCTTGACCGCCGAGATCTTGACGGGGACGCTCGTGTCGGGCGCCTCAAGCGCGACAATCGCTGCACCGAGGTACTGCTGAGCAACATTCGGCGGGAGCGCACCGGCAAACTGGCTCGCGAACACGAATGCACGGCCCTGCAGGAACAGAGCAGAGGACTGCTGCAGCAGGCCCGGGATGACCTGGTCGAAGAAGAAGGCAAGGTCAAACGTGTTCGGCCGCTTCTCGAGGGCGTCATCCTCGAGGATACCACGCACGTCGTCCGCAATGCCGCCGATCAGGCCCAGAAGAGCCTCGAGCGGCTTCCACCACGTCGCCTCGCCGCGCGAGTGGGCGTCGCTGCTCTCGTGCACACGGCGCTTGGCCAGGTCGTTAATAATGACACCAACCGGGCGTCCGTACTTGTCGATAAGCGAGCCCATCAGGTCGTGTCCGATGATGCGGAGCGAGTACACAATGTTGTCCTCGTCCTCGTCCTCGACGAAGGCGTTCGCGTCCTCCAGCCACTCGTCCTCCTGCTCCCTCGTCACCTGCGTGTAGTTCAGAACAAGCCCGACGATGGTCTCCATGATCGCAGTGCCACGCTCCTGTCCGCCCTCGTTGGAAATCAACAGCTCCTTCGCGGCGGGCACGCGCACAACCGGCTCCATGAACTCGAAGATGGCGCACGCCAGGTCGTCCATGTCCATCTTCGCGGTGTAAGCCGCGTCCGGGGCAGGCGCGGGCGGATCCGGCGCATCGGGGTCGTTGCTGATGTAGTACTTGAAGAAGGTCGGGAGGAGAGAAGTGAGGTTGAGAATGGCAGCGCGCAGGAACGTTCCAACGTGCGGCGAGAGGTACTTCGGGAACGCACCCTGGAAGGTAAGCATGACACGGAAGATCTGGATACGGAGCGCCAGGCTGTCCCAGTTCGCCGCCACCTCAGCCGCCGGGTCAACAGCGAGCAGCTGGCTGAAGGCGCTAAACCACACAGGCGCCATCTGGTCGAGGGCCTGGCGCACCGCCGCCGGGTGCTCGTCCTTGACCATGTTCAGCATCGTGATGATGTGGCGGTAGACAGCGACCGTGTCCGCGCGGGTGAGGTAGGTGTGCTCGGTGTTGCCGAGAATCGAGAGCAGAGCGGGGACCAAATCGCGCACAACGGGCAGCAGCTGGTCCTCGCTGAGGTCATTCTTAACGAACTCGGTGACGACACGCATGGCTCCGTGCACTGCGGCAGGCTGGCCGGTCTGCAGCATGCTGACGAGCGTGCTCAACAGGTCCTTCCAGTCCTCGGGCCAGTCGAAGCGGGCAACAGTCGAGGTGGCGAACGCCGACGCCGAGCGGATCTTGCTCTCGGGGTCGGACAGGGACTGGAGGAGGAGCGGGCGCACGGCGTCCTTGACCTCGGCGGGGGTCGTAGGCGGGGTGTATGCGTCCGCGCCGGGGTACCAGTGCTGGGCGATGTACTTCTGCAGCAGGATACCGGCCGACTGCCTTTGCGCCAGCGCGACAGAGTGGTCGCCCATGATCCTCGTCAGAGAGAGGCCGCCCTCTTAGACGTCAGCGAAAAGTCGATGAGATGTGCGTCATGGCGTACCGGGGTGATGGTAGAGGGTCTTAAGCTGCTCTTCGGCGCCGCGACGGCGACCCTCCTCAGGAGAAAGGGTCGCCTCGAGGCACTGCAGCACTTGCTGGTCGAGTTCGCGCCCGGTGGGGCCACCCTGCGTCGCCATGTTGTTGTTGAGGTCGATCGACGGGGTCTCGTTCGAAATCGCTCTAACGCGCGCGCGCGGAAATATGGACGCCACCGTGAGAGAGTGGAGGACGTCCAGTGGCAAATGGCCGCAACACCGTGTTGATGCTGTATTGTTCTTTCAATTGTTCACAACAAAGAGAAGCGCGAGGATAAGGCCACGGCTGCAATGCGGGCAGTGAATTAGCTGGATATCGGCACGCGCGAAGCGCATCCTGGAGCTTGAAGCAGAGGCGACAAGCGAAGTTGGTTGACCTCCACCTCCACACCACACCACACCACTCCACCGCCATCGGATGGTCTTCCTTTCTTGCCAGCGTCCTTTCCACTCTGCGCACGGACCGCCCAGTAACGAGGATCAAAAGAGTTCCCCACCAGGGAATCGAACCCTGATCGCCCGCGTGAAAGGCGGGAATACTGAACCATTGTACTAGTGAGGACGTCGATCCACCTCAAAGGTGGTGTTGCGCCGGCGGGGCGCTCGGAGGTCAGGCGCAAGGACGCCTTTTCAGCGAAACAGCTCCAAGCCATTCGGGGGAGTGGCAAACCGCATGCGTCTTCGCCCTTACGAGCCTGCCATTGAAGAGTTCAGCTCATGTACATCTTGGCAGGCAGTGTTCGGATGCCGCATCCAGAGTGTGGAACAGTGGCAACGTAGGCTTGAGTGTGGCGGATGCCTATAGTTTTCTGACCTTTCCGCGCGTTAGTCGTCAGCCGCAAACCTTAGGTTTTGGACACTGGAAGCGGGTAGCGTATTCAGCTTTCCCTTCGCTCAGATCCCTTTCTGCTGGATCTGGATCTGCGCAGTGAAGTCGCGGTGTACTGCTGAAGCGCCTTCTCCTCGAGTGACCGAGATGGAGAAACAGTCTCCTCACTAAGGCTTGATGCACGGAGCATGCACGGTGCACGCGCAGTAGAATGCGCAGTCAGTTGAGAAGACCTCGTGTATGCGGAGGGTGCCTCCTTCACGCCCGCTGTGCCCTGCGAGTCGAGGATCGTCCCATGTCCGCGACACAGCTTGGGGCCCAAGTTCATGTGTATAAGACGGCGCCCTGGGGTCGACTACCTCAGTCACTCCCAGATCTGGGTGACTGAACGCACGATGTTGCCCTGGGGCCAAGCCCTTGCCCCCCCGCTCCTTCGCCCCATAACGGTGCAGCGCCCCAACAATCCCGACAACATCGAGTCCGATCATAGGGGCAACAGCTTGGCGTCTGAGACGAACGAGATCGGCGACGCCAGGCTTCAGATCGCCAAAGCGATCACCAAGGTCAGGACGGACATCGGGGAGCTGAGAGCGCGCCAGGCGGAGCTCATCTCCGTGCTGCAGCAGCATGGGTCCGCAAGTGACCACTACGCCGCCAGTGTCGAGCTCGAGACTGTCATCAAACCCAGGATTAGTCAACGTGAGGCGTACGTTGTTCGAATGGAACAGATCCTGGATTGGACCTACCAGGTCGAGCATGAGCGAAACCTCTCGGGCTCCGGGCCGACTCACCTGTCTGCTGCTCTCATTCGAGAGCGCCTCCGTTTGCTGTAAGATGATTGCGACACTGTCTCGTCCGCTTGTCGTGTGACTGTTGTAGCTATATGCAGAGAGAGGATGATGTGTGGATCACTCAGCCGCACGCGCAGAATACATTCCGCTGACCTGGTGCCCAGCGGGCGGCACACTCCCTCGCGTACTAGGCTAGATTGTCTTGCACATCCTCGCTTCTCGTTCGCATCCTTCACGCTTCTTCCACGACCGCCATGGTCGTCGATATCAGGCCAATCCTCACCTTCTTCTTTGCTCTCTTCACACTCTGCCGTCAAAGCCTCACGATGCCGTCCGTCTTCCAGCCACCATCTCCCGCCGACCCCATCGTCTGCCACGTTGACATTGAAGTCGTTACCCCTGAATACCTCATTGGCGAGTCCGACAGCGAGACCATGGCAGCCGATGCCGAGGACATACACGACCTGAAGGAGTACTCGCGGCGCCGCTTCGCCCTGCAGACGCGGAAGAACGTCGTGTCGTGGGAGCTGAACAACATCCTCCGCGAAATCGAGGACACGGAGCGCTACATCGCCAAGCTGCGGCGCGAGCTCGCCCGCCTAGATCCCAGCGACGACTCGGGACACACTCTCGCGCACCTCGACTTTTTCACGAAGGAGCTCGTCGAGCAGCGCAAGGAGCTGAAGGAGCTTGACGCCAAGCGCCAGACACTCGAGGTTTTGCTGCAAGACATCTTCGCGCGGGCCAGAGTTCTTCAAGAACGCCGTGCCAGCCTCACCGCCAGCGCCTCCGACGATGCCGTCCCATCATAACGCAGCGTCTCTCTGTGCATTGTACCGTCCTTTCATTTCTGGGTCCTGTGCTGGATAGACGCGGAGGCGTCAATCAGCTATCATGCATCGCTATGATCAAGTGAGAAAGGCGTTACACCCTTAGCTTTAAGTGCGTGAATTTCGTCAAGGCAAATCTGAGGGGCGACAGGGGAAAGCTGTACAAAGCGCCCTTGTGCCCTCGAGTCCCCTCGTGCGCCCAACCACCTGTGCATGGTCGCCGCTGAGATTCGGTATTCCCGTCGTCGGGCGGGTCACTGCATTCGCGGGTCTTTCTTCGCAGGACGAATACAAAATGACTTTAGCAACATAGGCTGCGCCGGTCGGTGGTACCGCTGAGCCTTAGTCTCCGCGTGGACTTAATAATCGCCACCTTTGTTTGGCAGAAGGGCTACGGTTCCATGGTACCCTCTCCGTTGCCACCCAGACGCGAGAAACATCCGTGAGGGCACAGAAAAGTGCACACCCGCTGCACTGAACCCAGAATCAGCTTTTGTCAGCATGTCAATGTTGTCAACTGTCATTGACTTGCGAGTTTTCCACTCGTGCGCGCTCCCTGGCCAACCGCCACAAAACTCATTACCTAGCGAAAGTCGGCGCCTATGGCACCGTTCTCTTCCACCACGGTAGCAACTATCTGACGAACGCGAGTTACGGAAAAATGGCGCCTACTGGCGCACTCTTGAGTCGAAACCGTCTTCGCTGCCACGGCCAAAGCTCCAGGTCGTCGCTCGCGAAAAATGGTCACCCCTCGTCCACTACAGTGCCGCCCACCACTCTCTCGCCAGCACAAGGCGTTGAATCTGTCTCCGCTCACCGCAGCGTTTCGCTCCAGCGCAACCTCAGGTGAGGCGAGGTGGAACCGTTGCTTGATCTCTTACGCCCCCTCATCACTGTCCGGGGCTGCCTGAGACATCCCACACCTCACACACACACGCCCGCCTCAGTTCGCCCCTATCACCCTTATCGTCTTAGGTGGAGGTCAACTTCTGCTCGCATAGTCCAACTTCAAACCATCATTTCCCCACCAAATCGATGCGTAGAAGAACCAAACTTGGTGCAGTCGACGCGCAATGAGAAGGGCAAGCTCCTTAGCTAGTCAGAATCCCGGAATTCGCACATTTTTCGTGGCTGACGTCATCCCATATCGTCTAGCGGTTAGGATCCGTGCTTTTCAGTGTTGTTCACGAGCGCACGTGGCCGGGGTTCGATTCCCCGTGTGGGAAAACCATTCTTTTGGAATAGTCCATGCTTTTCTGCGTCGAATGGTGCTGGAATCAGCTCGTTCCGATCAGCAGAAGAGGAGATATCAACGCATCAAGCTCCTCGTCGTGAGACACAGATGTGTGCACTGTGTCAGATAACGGTTATCACTGTCGATCAGGTCCGCGCCCCTGCCCCGAGGGTTCATTTGTGTGTATCCAAGCTTGCACCAGCCCTAATGCGCGCATCACACACTCTATTCAGAGCGCGTCCGCCCAACCACACTTGGGAACACCACACTCATGGGAAAGAAAGCTCTATAGGAAACATGGCATCCCAAACATACTAAAAGGCTGGTAGATACTGAATAATGTGACAACGCTCCTGGCGTGGAAACCGCTTAAGCGGCAGTAGGCTTGGCGACGCCCATGCGCCAGCTTCCCTGCTCTCCGTACTTGGCCTCGACCTCGTTCTGGACCTTCTCAATGCTCTTGAAGTACTTGACGGTCTTGACGCGGAGTTCGGCGGTGGCGTCCTCGTCGCAAACAACAAGGGCCCAGGGGTGGCTCTGGAGCGCAGACGCCGTGACCATGTGGCAGACGCCGCCCTCGATCATCTGCGAGAGCGCGAGCGCCTTGTTGGCACCGGTGACGATGAGCACGACCTCCTTCGCGTCCATGACGGTCGCGACACCGACGGTGAGCGCCATGCGCGGCACAGCGGCGAGGTCGTTGTTGAAGAAACGGCAGTTGTCGATGATGGTCTCGTACGCGAGCGTCTTGATACGCGTCCGCGACTTGAGCGACGAACCCGGCTCGTTGAACGCAATGTGGCCGTCGGCACCAATGCCGCCAAGGAAGAGGTCGATGCCGCCGACCTTCTTGATCTCGATCTCGTACTGCTCGCACTCGGCGTAGAGGTCCTCCGCGTTGCCGTCAAGGATGTGGGTGTTCTTGGGGCTGGGTGTGTCAGCTAAACGTTCTTTCTGTGCGCCGTTGCGGCATGGGTTCGGCACTGCGGGCCGGACTCTGAGCCAGAGAAGGCTTCGAAGCTCGCCGACAGGGCCGAAGCTTGGCGGGCAACCTTCGCTTGTCACCGCGGAGGGCCCCGCACTCCGCCAAAAAGTTGGAAGTGCCGCCCCACCACCGTGCTGCCGAGGTTGCAGCCGACGCCCGCCATACGTAGATACTCACTCAATGTCGATCAGGGAGAAGAAGTTCTTGAACATGAAGGTGTGGTACGACTCGGGGTGGTCGCGGGGGATGCCGACGTACTCGTCCATGTTGAACGTGATGACATCCTGGGGCGTCAGCTAACATTCCTGGGGTGTTTCTGCTCCTCGCCGGATTCCGTTCTGAGTCACATTGGGAGAGCCCTAGAGCTCGGAGACCCAGAGAGGAAACTGAAACTCACCTTGAACGAGACCTTGCCCTCCTTGTACAGCTCGACGAGGCGGCGGTACACGGGCAGCGGGGAGGAGCCGGTCGGGAGACCGAGGACGAAGTTCGGGTGCTCCTCAGTGGGAACGAACTTGTTGATACGGCGGACGATGTAGTCGGCGATGTGGGAGCCGACCTCCTCCTTCGTGTCGCGGATGGTAAGACGCATTGTGCTTTGTGCTTGTCTGAAGCTCGGGGTCGATGAAGTTGTAAGAGTTGCGAATGTGGTTTGGTGTGGGGGCTGAAGAGGCGCTCTTTGGCTAGAAGTAGGGCGTGCGGCGACTGGCTATGGTGATGAGGAAGGGGGTGAAGATCACAAGTTGGCGCAATATATTGCATCAGCGTAGCGGGCTACGGCGCAGTACCGGTGACGCCGACCACAGTCAGCAAACGTTTGCGAGATCGCTCCAAGCGTTTCTGCCGTGCCGCCCGGTCGCCCACAGTGGTGCCTGCCGTCATGTACCGCAAGGAGGGAGCTAGGGAGGTTGCACGCGAAAAAGCGGCGTTTATCCCGAACCTCGTAAAGGCAGTCAGTCGACGCGGGTTCCAGTAAATGGAAGCATCTGGGGGAGGGGCAGTAAGCATACTCCGTAAAGCATTGGCACAATGGGGATTACGGCTGATGCATTGGCCCGATTTGGGGATGGTCAAAGTACCGACTATGCCGGAGGTGCAAGGAGGTGATGCATCGGGGCCGCGGGAATGGGATCTCCTCTGCTGGCAGGGGGCGATCGGGAGAAACGCCGTTTTCAGAATCCGGCGAGGTCGGCGAGCTGATAAGACAGTTGTTTTCAGGCCCCACACCCGCACCAGGGCAGCCGGGGGAGCCGGGGGTGACGTCGAAATCTCGCCGCTTTCACGAGTGTCTGGATCTCGGACTCGCCGCTGCTGGCTCCCCGCCCGCAGGTGGCCGGGCGGCATGAACGTTGCTGACTTTTAGCCGTAGCTGCTCTTTGTGAGTAGAGGCACGGCGGGATTCAAAACCATCCACATCTGGTCACAACAGATCTGCTCTCCCGCAACGCTTCGACTGACAACCTCCACACTTCTAAAGTCCCCACCGACTCTTTCCTCGACACATACCTAGTCTGGACTTCAGCTTCTCGCGTCAGCTCCTCCCTCACTTCTTCCTCCACCCCACTTCCATCTCTTTCCACTCGCCATCACCATGGCGGACATCATCCGCTTCACGAACGGCTACCTCGCGCAGCCGGACGGCACCGCAGTCCGCGGCGACCTGTACATCAACTCGCGCACGGGCAAGATTGTGTCCGGGCAAGACTCGTTCTTCACGGACCGCCTGAACCCGGAACAGACGATCGACGTGCAGGGCCAGATTGTGTCCCCGGGTCTGATCGATGTTCAGATCAACGGCGCGTACGGCATTGATTTCTCCGAGCTCGACGACTCGGAGCCGGGAGAGAACCGCTACGTCGCCGGCCTCGAGCACGTGTGCAAGCGTATCGTCGAGACTGGAACCACGGCGCTCGTGCCCACGATCATCACGCAGAAGGAGGCGCTGTACGCCAAGCTCCTCCGCCTCCTCGGCCCGCGGAGCAAGGAGGGCTCCGCCCACATCCTCGGATACCATGCCGAGGGCCCCTTCCTCCACCCCGAGCGGAGGGGGATGCACACCGAGACGCTCCTCCTGCAGGCGACGGACACGCCGCCGATCAAGAGCTTCGAGAAGGTGTACGGAGAGGGACTGGACCAGGATGGCGTCAAGATGATCACGGCCGCCCCCGACGTCAAGGGCGTTATGGAGTGTGTCGAGCCGCTGACCAAGCGCGGCGTCACGTTCTCGATTGGACACTCGGATGCCGACCTCGAGCAGGCCCAGGAGGCCGTCCACAATGGCGCCAGGATGATCACGCATCTGTTCAAGTGAGTGGGGCCACCTAGCGCCGAATCCCCAGCTCTCTGCACTGGAACTCTGTCGAGATGAGAGTAGTCAGCTAACCCCAGTGCCATGCCGCCAATCCACCACCGCGACCCGGGCGTGATCGGTCTGCTCGGCAACCCGGACCCGCGCCCGTACTACGGCATCATTGTGGATGGCCTGCACTCTCACCCGAACACGGTGCGCATCGCGTACGGCGCCGCTCCGGACCGCTGTATCCTGGTCACGGACGCGCAGTGGATTCTGGACCCGACGCTGCCCGACGGCCTGCACGAGTGGCGACCTGGGTTCTCCTTCCGCAAGGAGGGACTCCGGGTTGTTCTCGATGGCACGAACACTCTTGCCGGAAGCGCCATTCCGTTCTACATGTGCGTCGACAACCTGTCCAAGTGGGCTAGCATCACTATTCCCCAGGCGCTCGTCTGCGCTACCTACCACCCGGCCCAGATGCTCGGCGGACGCATTGCGGAGACGAAGGGCCAGCTCAAGGAGGGCTTTGATGCCGACCTGTGTATTTTTGGCTGGGACGGAAAGGTCAAGTCTACCTGGGTCATGGGCAAGGAGGCGTTCCGCGCCCCGGAGCTCAGCAAGGGCGGCGTTATGGCGCCGGTCAACGGACACGCTTAGATGGAGGGTAGGGGAGTACAATGCATGTGCATACAACTAGAGCCATTATAATTAGTCCGGGTCCATGTATTTACTGGCTTGAGACGCGAGACGCGAGACGGGCGAGAGGCTCGGGCGAACAGAAGACAAAGACGGAGGAAGCCCGCGGCGAGGACGGCGGTTGGCTCCCCGTGGCGCAGGCTACTGATAAAGTAAACGTGGGTATACAACGGATGAAGAAAATGGGGAGCCGAGAGTGGTGCTTTGATAACAGATAAGGCGACAGAGCGATAAGGCGTTTTTAGGCGGATGATACGCGCGCCAGCTGGTCCGCGTATTGCCGCAGTGTCTGGCCGGCGTTGCGGCTGACGTGGGCCTGGGGCAGGCCACCGGACGAGAGCATGTCTGCGACATCGTTCAGGAGCGGGATCGCGTCCTCGGCCTGGAACGGCGAGCCGCTGAGACCCTGGTCCTTGATAGCGTCCACGAGGACGGATCCGGCAAGGGTGATCATCTGACGTCAGCTAAAAGGTCCAAACACGCTAGCTGCGATAAACTCACAGAAAGATAGCACGGGGGCAGGTTGCAGAGCTCTTCGCGAGAGGGCCATGCGTGGCATTTCTCGAGGAAACCGACAGCGGCCTCGATGCCGTGCGCCCACGACGCAGAGCGCAGGCGCGGGTTGCCGCCGAGACTCTTCGCGCTCGTAGCATGCACGAGCATGCGCGCAAACTCCCAGAAAAGGTCTATATGGCGCATCCAATCGGGTCCAAGTCCGTGGCTCTCGAGGTCGGCGCGCCACCACTCGAGGCTCGCATTGATGCTGGACGCAAGGCGGGCGTGCGCGGCTGACTGGGCGGCGGGGTTGACACCCTGCATTGCAGCCTCGTGCTGCGAGCGCCTGTGATACCAGTCCCGCAGGAGGGTGATGAGGCGCGCATGGAACGTGAGAAGGATGTCGTGCGGAGGGTAAGCCTCGCCAGGGAGGGGCGAGTCCGGGATCAGCACCTGGCAGTACGCCATCGGATCACGGCGGGGCGTAGCAGGGTTGTCCCGCTGCAGCGCCTCCGTGCCGTCGACGATGTAGCACAGCAGCCACACGCGGGCCATGTCCTCGCGCGTGGCATCGCGCTTGACGGGAAGCAGACCGCACACCTCGCCAAGCGTAGGAGGGAGAGGCACAGTGAGGGACGTCCACTTGATCCAACCGCGGGCCCACTTGAATGCCGAGCTCGCGATCGTGGCAGCTTGCTCCCGCTCGGTCATGAAGGTTGCGAGAATACAGGCACCGATGATCTCCTCAGGTCCGATTCCCAATTCCGGGTCCAGTTCCTCTTCGCCATCCTCGTCCTTAGCGCCGGTACCGCCACCAAAGGGTGTGTCAAGCGTCGAGATGAAGCTGTCCGCGGGAGAGTTCACGAGCAGCTGCGTGACCTCGCGCGCCAGGACCGGGCGGTGCTCGTGGGACTTGGGCACGCGCTCCGCGGCAACGAGGCACATGACGCTCAGAATGAAGGGCGTAATCGTGCTGGGCCCCTGGGGGATGTAAGGGAACTTGCAGAACTCGAGGCGGTAGCCAAAGAGCCATGGCGACAGTTTCGAGTGGAAGCTGATGTCAGTTGCGCTCTAAGGGTCAATGCAAGATAAGCTCTCACTAATTAACAAGGCTGATAGCCTCGCCGTTTCCGATGAGTCCTCGCTTGATGATGTTTGGGCGCGGATCGGCGGAACCGAGCTGCTCACTGGCAAAGGACGCTGGGTTCGGCGGTGCCTGAGAGCTCGGCGATTGAGCCGGACGTGATTCATTCAGCAGCCCGAAGATGCCTTGAGTGCTGCTGCTAGGGTTTGAAGGCGGTGCCATCGGACCTGAAACGGGGCCGGGCTGCGTGCTGTCGACGGATGACGCGCTGAAGTGCGTAGTCTCCACAGGAGAGATAGCGGGCAACGAGGTGGGGGTTGGGTGCATGCCGGGGGGACCGTTGGGGCCGTTGGGTCCGTTAGGTCCATGGGGGCCATTCGGTCCGTTGGGCCTGAAGCCACCCATCTCCACGGGTCCCATAGGACCACCATAGTTGTTTGGTCCCTGTCCCGGGGGGAACGTCATCGCATCAGGAGAACTGTTGATCCGCTCCAGACGCTGCATGTGCACGTCTGAGGGGCGGATGCCCTGCTGATGGTGGACGTCCATCATCTTGTAGTCGGGAGGGAAGGGCGCCATGGACAGTGCAGAGTCGTCCATGTCGTCCTCGGACTTCTTGCTACGCCTGCGCTTGCGGTTTGCCTCTGCGGCAAGCTCGCGATTACGCTCAGCTCCCCATCCCTGCAGCACCGCTAGTTCCCGCTCAGGAACCTCATATCTCTGGAAGGGCTGTTCCATCGGAGGAACTGCGCCCTGTCGCGTGAGGTGTTCCAGGATGTGGTGAACCGCAGCAGACATCTGAGACAGGTGCTGCAGGCCATTGTACACGTCAGCTGTCAGCGTCTGCTGCCAATCCTCGTCCTGTTTGTCAGCTGAAATCCAGCTTATTAGCTAAGCTCACATGTCCTCTGGGGTAGAAGATACACCGCTCCTTGCGGGCACGGCAGCGGACACAGTCGGACTCATTCTCTTCAACGATGCACTTGAGCTTTGCTCGGCGACAGTTTGCGCACGCCTTTTGTTTCTTCTCTCGAACGAGAATGGAGTGAGGGTCCTTCTTATCTCCGTTCGGGGAAGACGACTTGGCCGCAAACGACTCGCGGCGCTCTGTCACATTCGAGTTATTGCGCGCACGCTTCTTGGGCGGGCCGCTCGGCGGCGCCAGCGACTCAGGCGGAGGGCGCGAGGTGTCGGTAGTCATGTTGATAGCTGGGTCGAGGACCTGAGAGGAGAAGCTGCTGTTCGATCGGGCTGAGGTTGGTCTAGGGTCGTTGCCGACCGTGGTATCCTGCATAGGATCCGAAGGTCCGGAGCTTGCTGAGGGTGGTGACGGCGGTGGGTCGAGGGTTTATGTCACGGCTGGCGGTTCCGAGATCAACGGCCTCGGTGTAGACGGCGTGATAACGACTTTAGCAGCCAGGGAAGTATGTGCCAGACGACCAGGCGACCGGCGCACTGTTTGATATAGTAGGGTGTTGGCGGAGCCTTGGAAGAGTTGATCCGCGGGCGACGCCAAGAGGTGCAGGTTTATGTAGAACAGCAGGGCGCGAGAGATTATGCTGTCACGTCGACTGTTGGAGAGTTGGGGGACCTGGGGAAAGAGAGGCCGGAGAGGGCGGGATCGCGTGATCGGTGATGCGGTGTGGAGATAGCAGAGATGGAGCTTGTCAAGACGCGCAGGTGGAGAGGAGCAGGGGCATGACAAACCAGACCAGAGCCACGAGGAGAGGGTCTGGAGGGGATACGCGTAGGATCCGTAGAGAGTCGAGGGTCAAAGGTCCAGGGCCGAGGAGAGAAGGAGCAAGAGGAAGAGGAAGTCTGAGGAAGGCACGAGAGGCGACAGGGCTAGCAAGGGACGACGGAATACTCGCGGCGTACTAGCAGTCAACGGCTCGTCGGGATGATGGGCGAAGTGCGCGATGATGAGCTGGGCCCAGCTGGGAGTGGTATGGCGTCCGCGGGCAGCGGTGCAGTTGGCTCCGTGGCTCAATCGTATCAATCGTCCCAGTGGGCGGCAAGCTGACCGCTGGTAATCTGCCAGGTGTGGCTCAGCTGGTCCAGCTGGTCTTCGTAGCCTGGTGGCTAGGGCGTTGAAGCGTTGATCCGTGAAGCGAACAGACTAAATGTCAGGGCCGCAGAGCCAAAGCCAGAGCGAAGTCAGAGGGCAGCGAAAGCAGCCTACAGCGCCAGAACACCGGAGAGCTATCGCAGAACGTGCAGGACGGCAGGGGCAGCGACCGAGAATAGCCCAGTCGGGACAGGAATTAGGGATGTCGAGGCGCACCGAGAGGCCGAGGAAGGGGAGCTTCGCAAACGAGGTGAGGTAAGTGAGACGTGCGGAATGGGGTATGGAGTCGGTATGGGGTATGGGATGGGCGATGGGATGCTCAAAATGCGCTAGTCGAACTCTGTCGTTCCAGAGCGTCAGAGCCGCAGAGCAGAGGGATCGAGAGGGTCGAAGAATAACGAGGGGTCGAAGGGGGAAGACGACCTGAAGGACGAGCGCGGGGAATCCGCGAACCGTGAAAGCCGTATCGTAACCGTGCAGCCGTGTGCGGGGTCGGGGTCGGGGATGGGGGCTTGGTTGGGGTGCGCAGCCGCGGTGCGTGTGGTCGAGGACGGGCTGGATTGGAGCTGTTTGTGCTAGCTCGATAGCTGCCTGGGCTGGATGATAGCGAGCAGAGGGGGGGGGAGAATGGAGCAGAGTGGAGATGCAGGACGCCAAAGTCCGGCGCAATCGCCGCATTTGTCGGAGCGCGCGATTTTGGGTTTGGCGGGGGCGTGGTCCCCCACACGCACCCACCCACCGGCCGTGCCAGGCCTACCCAGCCGGAGTGCAGCCGTCCAAGCCGTGCGCACACACCCGGAAAAGCCCACCATTGCGGCCACCACCCAGGAGGTCAGGTCCCCGCCCGCCCACATGTAGACTACCTCAATCACCCGACGTTCTTCCTTCATCTGCCGTTCGGCCAGGGCAGCATGCACACGCACGACAGGAAGGGGGGGAGGGGGTAAAGGCAATAGGGAGCAGAGGGGCACCCACCGTGCCTGGTGCCTGGGAGGGGAGCCTTTCATGAAGACCACGCAGTGCCTCGCCAGCCTCAGCCTAAGGTCCCATTCATCCCCATTCCTAAATATCCAACATGTCCAACACCACATCGCAAGCGTCTCATTACAAGGTAGTACGTTGGCTCTTATCCCCCTCTCGTTGGTTGATCCGTCCTATTATCTTGACGTGCTTGGGTGGGCTTTTCATCGCTTTTCCAACAATCCAACAATCGCCCCTGGACCAACTATGCCCCGGGTAGCGTTCCAGCAGTCCATGACCGAACCTATTCCTGGGCACGGGGCTGAGCTCGGCAGAGGCGAACAGAATCAAGAAGCAAACCCACGCACCGGGTGACTAACGAGGCGGTGCTTTGATTAACTCTTGAACCCCTCGAATCGAAGCGGATCATGGCGGATCATAGCGGATCATAGCACCACATGGCGTCACATGCTGCGCACAATTCGTACAATTCGTTGCCTTGTCTGCCGGTCTGCCGCTGCTGCCGGGCATGCCGGTCGGAGGCCGTTCTCGTCTTCCACCCCCTCGCCCTTCTTGTTTTCCAAGACATTTTGGCCGTTCCTTGCGCATATACGTTGGTAGACGGCGTCTCGGTCCGACACTCCGTACCCTCTGCAACCCTCAGTACCCCACATCCCGCAGCACCTCATCCCCTAGCTGCTATCTTCGGACTTTCCGGCCCCTGGCCAGACCCCCACATACTGCAGCATGCAGCACTAGGTGTTAAGAGGATCTACATCGCATTCAAGCGCTTACTTAGTCTATCTATATCCTACATCCCCATGGTTATATCCCCCTGATCTTACCAGAGAGGGCCTGCTCCTTGAATGAGTCAAAGTCCACGACCGTGCCATCGCGGCGCGCCTTCTCGGCCGCAAACACGATAAGGTGACTGTTGAGCACGTCTTGCGGCGTGATCCCCAGGGGAGCCTGGTCGCCTGCCAGGATGGCGTCGACGAAAGCAGCAGACAGACCGCCGTCACCGCCGCCGTGCGACCCGATGCCACTCTGCGGCGTGTACGTCTTCTTCGTCCGCGTCAGGAAGTCAAATACGGTGAAGCTCCGCATGTCGCCGATCAACTCGCCCTTGGTGCCCTGAATGATAGTGCTACGCGCGCACTCGGCTTCAGTGAAGGCACTCATCGTCATCGTAGCCGTGATGCCGCCCTCATACTCGATGTTGACGGTCTGGTGATCGACAACGTCGTTGCCTGCCTCGTAGACGCAAACGCCGTAGGGGCTCGTCTTCAAAGCCTCCTTGGCATTCTCGAGCGTCAGGTCGGTGTTATCGAGCATGACGGCGGCCCAGCCCTTGCGGCCGGTGGATCCGGGCTCAAAAGGGTCGACGTAGATCTTCTTGGCACTCCAGATGCAGTCCTTCTCGGCAGGGCACTCAAGGCAGCGTGTGGCGTCGCCAGCCTCTTTCGGCTTGCGGCTCTTCTTGAAGAGGCCGATCGAGCCGAAGCTCTGCACGCGGGACGGCTTGAGACCGGAGACGTAGAAGGAGAGAATGTCGAGGTCGTGGCAGCACTTGGACATGAGCGCGAAGGTCGTCTCATGCTCCTTGTTCCAGTTGCCGCGGACGAAAGAGTGCGCAAAGTGCTGGTTGCCGACCGGCTCCATATGCTGGATGTTGACGATGTCGCCGATCGCACCGGAGTCCAGGACCTCCTTGACGAGGCGATTGTAGGGCGAATAGCGGAGGACGTGACCGACGCCGAAGATGATAGGCTCCGGTGCTTCCTCGACGTCCTTCACCATTTTGACACAGTCAGGGATCGAGGTGGCCATCGGCTTCTCACACAGGATGTGGTAGCCGAGTTTTGAGAAGACCTCCACGAGCTCGGCATGCAGCTGGTCCAGGACGGAGACAACAACGGCGTCGGCGAACTTGGGGCGCTCAGCAATGGGCTTCCAGTCGTCGAACAGCATATCGTCCTCCAGGCTGTTGTTAGCTCCAAAGAAGACACGTTAGGCCCCCCGAGGAAGGCACATGCGGCGGAGGAAGGCAAGACTTACTGATGCTGGCGCTGGAAGATCTTTCGGCGAGCTTCGCGGGGGTCGGCGACGGCCACGACCTTTGCCCTGTCAGGATGGTCGATGGCGTACTTGGCGTAGACGACGCCGCGCTGGCCGCCGCCGAGAATGATCATGGTAACTGGTTTCGTATCGATGGTCATGGTGAAGGTACACTTCTTGCAATGCGCTGCTCGTGAGCTAGAGGTCTTTGCTTCAGGTAGAACGTCGACCCTTTAAGTAGTGGAGGTGGGCAATACAACTAGCAGCTGTGCACGCCGAACGGATCTGTCGGCGTAGAGTGGTTGAATGGTAGTGAGTCAGGAGGTGGAAGTAGATCGAGTGGAAGTAGGTGTCGGACGTGTCCGATCCAATGGGTGAGAGTGTGTTATGGTGCTAGCGTGTCAATGTTCCCACACGCCGTTTTCACCGAACGCAGTCGCGGTGTTGTTTCCGGTGATAAGGTTCACGAGACCATCGCGCGCCTGCGAACGTGCCACCCACCAGTCGCTACTGCATAACTACACATCGCACAGCGACGGCATTGCATACAACCCCACATTCCGTCTCCACACCATCGCGCTTAGCACCATCACGAGGCCGCAAAGCGATACCCCACCAAGCGCATCGTCTATTGATTGCCGATCACGAGACTGGGCACCGCGCGGTGGCAACGCCGGATGGTAACGCACTGAAACAATTGACATCCGAGAGCGGAGAAGGTCACTTCAACCAGACCGTGCTCCCCCCCTTACCTCAGGCGCAGGCAAGAGACTCCGCTTGAGCTTCATGAGTACGGAATATGTGGATGTTCCCCGATAACCACAGCTCGTCAACTCAACCGTCAACTATACGGACCTGTCCTCTCCAGGTCTTCACCCTAGCACTCATTACCACACACCTGACCCCTCGGAATCGCTTCAGTCTGCTCTCCGAACAGCCATGTCTCCGATTGTAGGGTGTGGGACGATCATCGATCCATGACGACGAATATCACAGCTATCACTCACCATATTGACCATCGTCTTCCCTCGATTACCAGTCAGGCAAGCGTGCATATTTTCAGTTCGATGCTTCTCCACCCAGCAAGACACCGGCCTCCTGCACGTAGACTGCTGAGGGCATCTCTGGCCGGGCAAGCGGCCAACGCAACATCTGTGCAGTGCTCCAGGGTCTACGGGCACTACAGTATCAGCGCTTTCTTGGCAGTCGGATCCGGGCTATTTTCGCCTCAAGTGTCATCAGGCCCTGCAGCTTATCGCAGAACCCTGCACCACGGCTGACAGAGCTAACCCTGCCAATCTGATACGAGAGGTCGGCGGCCTCCTGCTACATGACCGACACTCGTATCCTCGCCTGTGCAAAACCGCATGGTGCAGGAGTACGCGCCCCAAGTAAGTGGACCCACAGCTGACATCGGCAGCTGGGCGAAAGCGAGTGGCGGGCGTGTGGCCTTGGATGGCCATTTGTGTCCGCAACCCGCTCTGCTCCTTGCGGACCAAAGGGGCAGACCTTCGTGCTCAACAATTTCTTACCTTTCCGCGGCATCGCCCCGCCGGCCACATTCAGCTATGCCCAAGGTGAGTCAACACGGAACGACAGACTCTCATCAGAAGTGGAAGGATACATAAGAAGCACTGACGGCCGAGCGTTGTCTTCACTGACGACGGCGATAGTGCCCCGCCTACAGCCCCACCCAACTTCTCTCCACCTCAGCTCGCCCTTCGTCCATTGCTTCAACATCTCAGCATGTTCGGCATCGTGGACTTCACCACCCTCACTGCAGGCGCGGCGCTTCTTGCAGGCGTTGCTGCGGTGCCATCTGTTCCTCTTCAGCCGGCATACAAATGGGATATGATCAAGCCTGACGAGGCCAAGGTAAAGCAGTGCCTTTCCTCTGCCGACTGGGTGATGGAGTGGTCGGGCAATCCTATCAACCTCGGCAATGCCGACCCGGTGAAGGAGTTCAAAGATCTTATCGGGAGCAATCAATGTGGTTCTGTATCCTGTCACAAGGGAACATCCGAATCCCTCACGCACAAGGTTGCTGGAGCTGAGGACGTAGTCGATACCTCATACCGCATCGAGATTTCTGAGGCGTGGTTCAACAACCAGGCTATGAAGGACCTGATGACAGAGGTCGTTGCACAGGGCATTGAGGGTGCGAGCCAGTGGGAGACCAAGCACTGGGAACACCCGAAGCGTCTCGACTTCCTGAACGGCAACTTTGGCCCGGCTGGCTCGGGCGACAACAAAGAAGTGACACTCCCGGGCGATGAGTTCACTCTCACGTGGAAGGACATCGCCAGCTGTTCTGCCTTCCGCCTGAAGGTCAACTACATCGACACTAGGTACTGCGGCGCCTGGACACTCGGAACGACTTTGACAAAAGCTTTCGACTTTGGTGCCCTCGCTGGGGTCACGGACTGGTCGCAGTCGGCTGCCGGCATTGATGCGCTGAAATCCATGGTGCAGCAGAAGGTTCAGGGCAACATTAACATCACTACGAAGATGCAGCAACCTAAGTGCTGAGGTCCCCGGCATCCTCTGCGAGTTGTGATTCGAATAGATATAGATCGTGTGATATGCGAATATCTGGCGGCCATCGCCAGTGCGTGCTTAACATGCTGATAAGGAAGGCTCGGCATTCTGGATCCGGAGACGCCCCGTGAGGTACCTTTACTGACGAGTTTGCGTTCCGGGAACTACACCTCAGTGAAACAGGGGCCACTTTGGTTTGCGGATGACTAAACTCCAAGACGCAGAGGCGTCGCACACTGCACTTGCGCACTGTCGCATTGCCCAGGCCCGCCCTGTGCGGCTTGGAATGGATTTTAGACCCGAAGCTGGTGCTGGGCTTCGGAATCTAATCTTGGCTCCGGCTTAGCGTCGGACGCCGAACCATGTCTGTCTGACACTGTGCTGAAGTCCACTCATCCTTCCTCCCACTCGCTGACGATACTACCATCCTACGCATCAGTCCACACGGCACCAGCAAGCAAGCACACGCATGACTCATCCTGTATCTTCTCATGTTTTCTCATTCGCGGCGTCGTGTGCGTGTCCGCATCCCAAATTCCCAAGGTCTCCAGGCGCGACCCCGTTCCACGTTCGCCCTCCAAACGAGCACCCTGCTGTCCGTGCACATCCAGGACGGTCGCGGCCCAAAGTCATGCATTCCCGGTGCCCCCTTCCCTAACGCCATCGCCTGGAACCGCTCACAGCAGTATCATCCGTTCTAGGACCGCTAAGCGTCGCCCTGTCAAGTCGAGGTCGCTTGTCGACGATCCGAGGGGAAGTCGGTGCTCATCGTGCGTAGTCACGCTGAATCGTTACTCACGCAGATCATTGCAGTGTCGCTCGGGTAGGCTCTCTCTATCTCGAGATGTGGGCGAGGAGCGAGAGGGAGGCTCCCAGATCTAGTCGGATCATGGTTATCGCTGAAGTTACGCACACAAGCTTATGGAGGCGCAGTGGCGTTGTGCGTGTGCTGAGATCAGCGGCATGGTCCCGTGCGCAAACGCCAGGTTGCTCACACTCTGCTTCCCTTCACACGTCCACAGCCCATGCGTTGCACTCCTCGCCCCTCTGCACTGTGTGCTATTGCGCATGCGTGTGCATTCGCACATCGGGTCGGCAAGGCGACGCCGCCCGTGAAAGGTATAAGAACGGCCGCCTGGCCGGGGCGTCAGACTCCCCACCCTTCAACTGTCCATCCCCTTCACACAAGCTTGCTTGACGCCAGCCTACCAAAGGAGTCCAGCTCGACGCCAACTCCGCCTTCAACGCCTTCGACCTTCGTCTGTGCCTCACTACGCATACATTTTTTTCACCACCACTTGCTAACGCAACCCCACCTTACCTCTAAACACCTAGAATAAAAGCAACGTCGTCAACATGTTCACTCTTGTCAAGACTGCGCTCATCTCCACTCTCCTCGGTAGCAGCTGGGCTGCCCCGATCCCCGTGCAACTGCTCCCTCGCCAGGGCTGCTCGGCTGAAGGCGGACACTGTGCGACGTACTACGACGTCGGTCTCGGCGCGTGCGGCAACTACAACTCTGACTCGGAGTGGGTCGTCGCCATGAACCACGTCGAGTGGGACGGCGGCAGCCACTGTGGCCGCATGGTCCAGATCACCGCCAACACCGGCAAGACCGCCACCGCCAGGATCGTCGACCTCTGTCCCGGCTGCGGCGTGGGCTCGCTCGACCTGAGCCGCCCCGTCTTCGAGGCTATCTCCAACAACGGTCTGACTCCTGGCGTTATCCCTATCTCCTGGCAGTTTGCCGACGGCGGTTCCAGCAACTCGGGCAACAACGACGCCGCTGGCGGCGCCGTGGCGTTCGACCGAGAGCCTGCTCCCGAGCCCTCACAGCCTGCCTGGACTCCTGACTCCTCTACCGCCGAGCAGCCTGTCTGGACCCCCTCCCCTGCTGCCGAGCAGCCTGCCTGGACCCCCTCCCCCGCTGCCGAGCAGCCTGCCTGGACTCCCTCGTCTTCCTCCGAGCAGCCCGCGTGGTCCGAGCCCGCTCAGGCCTGGACGCCTACCTCCTCCACCGCGGCCGCTCAGTCCTCGACCCCGACCTCCACCGAGGAGTGGTCCCAGCCCTCCGCCAACGCCTGGTCTCAGCCCCCCGCCGAGTCGTCCGCTCCTGTCTCTACCGAGTGGAATGAGCCTGCCGCCACCTCGTCTGAGGCGTGGGGCTGGCGCAACCACAACGACAACAAGAAGCACGGCAAGCACGGCGGCGAGCGCGGCGGCAAGCACGGCAACGGCCAGGGCGAGTGGCACGGCAAGCACGACTGGAACAAGCAGGAGTCCACTTCGACCTCTGAGTGGGCCGCTCCTACGCCCGCTGGGGAGTGGAACCCTCCCGCGGCGCTTTACGCGGAGCCCGCTCCCTCCTCGGTCCAGGCCGAGCAGCCTGGCGCCCAGCCCACCACCCCTGCTGAGCAGGAGGCCCTCCCGGAGCCCGAGCAGAAGGAGCACGACGCCGAGCCCGGTGCTGACGTCGACGAGGATGACTACGACTGCGAGGATTCGGCTGGTTCCGAGTCCGATCTCCCCTGGTGCGACTGAAAAAGGAGACTGGATCCGTGATCTGATCTCTCATCGGCGGCTGGTCCGCGACATACTCTGCTAGATGCAAGCTGGTATCCCGTGGCTCGTGGCTCCTCTTCTGCCTCGTTACTGACGACTGCCACTGACAACCGTTGCCGGCGGTGAGACTGAAGACAGATCTGACGCATGGGCGGAGCCTGCCTCATCGCGGGCAGATCGGCGAGGACACAGCTGCGCGACGGACTATACTTCTTGGCTGGGAGTTGCCGAGCACTCGGCAAGACGGTACCGACGCTACCGACGGCAACGCCTTGATGGCCAGTGATATCGAAGAATGAGAGCTCACATGCCGCGCATGCCGCACTCGTGGACCCATGTGAACATGCGCAGTCGTCCAGAGGGGTAACGGAGAACACGGCGAACAGCGATATTTCTGCAGGTGTGATCGAAGAGAAGACTGCGGCGGCTCTGATCCGAGCGGTCCTTGCCGCTGCTCGATGGTCCGAGCGCGTCCGAGCGCAGATGAGTCGCTGATGAGCGGCAGTTGAACTCTTGATGAGCATGAACCTGACGGACCTGACAGGGAAGTGTGAGGGCTCAGGACGATCAGGACATGCACGCGGTATGCGCGTGAGCCGTGAGGACTGGAGGGACTGCATAAGGACGCGCGTTCCAAAGGAGTTCAGGCAAAGCGGTATTCGAAATATGCGGAGCTCGCGGAGCTCAGTCAGCGTCGCGAGAGGGGCGAGGGGCCAAATGTGGAGACTTGAGGGGCAGTAGTGGAGACAGGCAAGGAATAGGTTCGGTCGGAGCCAAGGGTTGTGCTTCGTCTGCTGACCACCAGACTGTCAGACCGAGCAGATGCTTGGCCAAAGCGATGGTCTGTGCGGCGGAAAGAGAGCAGAAAACGCACCGTGCGCCACCGCTGCCGCAGCCTGACCAGCCTGGCCCGCCCTGGGAAGCACATGTTCACTTTCAGCCGAGGATCACCTGACTCTGCAGCGGGCAGTTGCTACATCCTCTCTGTGCTCTCTGCATTCCTGGACCAGTCGCCAAGCAAGCTCCACTAGCGAGCTCCACCGATCTGCCTCCCTCTGTTACTCCAAAGCCTTGCAACCGTGCAACGAATGTTTAGCTGAGAATATATACAAAGCATCGCATCACCGTTTGACAGGAGACGAAGACTATTACTTGATGTGGGGAGAGAGACGACTTGCTAATTGCTAATTGGACTACTACTACCTAAAAGGGTCATATGGGATAAAACCTTAAAACTACCTACACCGACCTTAACTGCGTGTTGTTACCCTGATTAACCCTCCCTCCGTCTAGGAGTTCTAGGGCGCAGTCTCCCTTGCGAAACCACCGTTGAACCTGAGATTGGAGCGAGAACGAGAGAAAAACAGTGTGAAAGAGGTGAGGGGGAGGAAAGGAAAAAAGTTTGCACTTTGCCGCGGCAGGTCGGAGCATGACAACCTGATCGATGCGGGACGCTTAGAACTTCTGGGGGTTCTCGATCTGGAGCTCGGCAGAGTTCTTCTCGTCGGTGGGGTGGGCGCCCTCGACGTCGTGCGCGTGCGTGTGGTGTCCGGCAGGGACGGCGGCGTGGTGGACCTGGTCCTCGTCGAGCTCCTCAACGTGGACGACACCCTCGGCGTCGTAGTTGGTCTCCTTGAAGCCCCAGAGGATGTAGAGACAGAAGGGCATCGAGAAGAGCATGATGACGAACGAGACAATGACCTCGGTGAGGTAGGGGGTCTTGAGGGCGTCCATACCGAAGGAGATGGCGGCACCGGCAGACTGGACACCCTTGTAGTAGGCAGTCATACGCGCGAGCTTGTAGGGGTCGTTGGTGAGACCAGCCATGGTGTAGTAGGCAAGGCCCTGGTAAGCCGAGTCACAGAAGTAGTAGGCGAAGAGAAGGGCGAGCGGGCCGTGAGAGATGCTGTCATTCCAGTCCCAGCCGAGCGACTTGCCGTCGTTGTCGGTACGCTTGAAGCGAGTCTGGAAGCCGATACCAGCGCCCCAGACCAGGCAGAGCATGAAGAGGGTGTAGCACCAGCCGGCAATGGCACGGCGGCGACGGCCACCGGGGAAGTAGTCGAGAACGAAACCGACAACGATGGCTCCGAAGACGGCACCGATGTTGGAGAGAAGGGCAGCGAGGGCACGGCCACGGGGAGTGAACATCTTGGAGACGATCGAACCCTGGTAGGCGTAGAAGTAGTTCGAGGTGAAGAACATGGGGAAGAGCATGATCATGCGCCAGTCGAGGAACTGCTTGGCGAAAGCCTTGATCTCGTGGAGGACGCCGACGTCCGACTCGAGCTTGACAACGGTGCCGTCACCACGAACAACGTAGTACGGGGGCAGGACGAGCCAGCACACGAAGATGGCAATGATCATGAGGATGATAAAGGTGATGTAGACGGCGGTCGAGACGGAAGCACCCTTCTTCTGCTTGGAGGTGATACCGAGGGCGATCGCAGAGCCAACAACACCACCCATGGTGAAGACGGACCAGAAGAGCGAGAAAGAACGTCCCTTGTCCTTCTCCATCGGGTACGCCATCATGATGGCTCCCTGGGCGGTCCAGAGGAGCGAGGCACAGCATCCAAGAATACCAGAGGCGACAATGACGAACGCCTTAAGGTGCACACCGTGGATACCGAAAGCCCAGAGAGATCCGACGTAGAGAGAGTAACCCATCGTTCCGATGCACATGGTCAGACGGGGACCGAAGACGTTGTTGATCGAACCAGAGAGGAAACCCATAAGACAGAAGCACGCGTAGAGGACCGAGTTACCGACGTTGATCGTGATGACATCGTCGGTACCACCGGCACCGAGACCAGAGAGCGCATTGAAGAGACCGGGAGACAGGAAACAGATGATACCAGTGAGGGTGACCTGCGTCCAGGGCGAGTTGTCTGTTGTCAGTTGAGTTCTGGAGGTGACTCGTCTGCGATGGTCGTGTGCACTAGAGTTTGTTTGCCTGCGCGCTTGCTTGCCACTCACATCGGAACTTGCCAGCCTTGATGGAGGCGAGGCGATCGCCGAGCTTTCCAGTTCGCGACATATCGGCACCACTTGTCGTCGGGTGGTCGTCGAAAGAAGGAGTCCGCTGAAAGAGCGCTTCGAAGGTGGTCGCAAGGGAGTGAAGCGGAGTAGAGTTAAAGTGAAGCTGAGAGAGAAAGATAGAGGAAACTCGAGGACCGATGCACGACAAGAAACGACGCTAGCCAGCTGTCCTTTTATTTGGCTCTGTCATCCCACTAGCCGGCAGTCCACCTGGTCCAGTCCCTTGGAGTCCTTAGGTGTTTTCCCTGTCCCAGATCGCGCGAGCTGCAAGCGCGCAAGCACTGGACCCACAGGACCCCGGCTAGCTCCAGAGGGGCACCAGTGATCCGATAGGAGGTGGATGGGGTCGAGAGTGTGGTGCAAAAAACGGCTCGTTCGCCGAAACCGTCTTGCTGTGGGTGTGCCGGGCAGGCCAGGCAGGCCGCTTGACGCGTGCGACCAAGATAGATTCTACGGGGTTTTGCAAGGGGGCGTCCCGGGTCGTCCCTGGCGGCTGCTCCAGCTGTTCGGCGGGCAACCTGGGCTGCTCTGCAGCCTGGCAAGGCAAACCTGAAGCAATTGCCGGCCCAGAAGGGAAAAGGCAGACCGGCAGGTGCCTGTCAGCTGAGGAGAGAAAGGCTTCGGGAGGATTGCCGCTTTGCACAAGCTCACGATCGGCGACCGACTCCAACACGGCTCCCCGCGGGTCCTCCACCCGTTCCTCTCTCTTGGCTTTGAATGTGTACGTTACGCTTCCCGGCATTGGAATAACACGGCTGAATTTGAGAAGCATCACTCGCATAACTCGTCTATCAGGTCCCAATACATGGGTGACCCGGTCATTCCTGGGGTAGTTGTGTGGTGGTGATGGAGATCTTGGAAAAGTTCGGGAGGATCGCCGCTTTTGCCACTTTGCCACCACGGTGACAGAACACACGGTCTGGACTTGATCTCCGCTGGAACCAGCTCAATGCAAGGCTGACACACACGCTTCGGGACACCTGACACGCCTTAGCCTGTGCGTACGTACGTCACTCTCACGCGACACTCCCCTCCCCACTCAGTCACACACCGGCAGTGTCTATTTCCAGCTACGGCGCTGTACCTGACACACGGATCATCCGACCAAAGCATGCATCCTCCCGTCTCACCCACACCAGCTCTCCCACGCCTGCATCCTTGCCAAAGCGCCGTGTTCGCCGATCCCTTCCTCCTAAGATAACGAGGCTTGTATTTTCTGGGTCACCGCAAACACCGCCTGGGTCACCGCAGATCCCACAATGGCCATCGCAGATCGACGGCTTTCTCTGTACCGCGGTGCACATCATCCGGGAGACCCGGAAGACGGGGCCTGCCCCATCTCCCCCCGTCTCCCCCGGACAGCCCCGCCGCCCCCATTCACCCCGCTGACCCCGCATCATCCGAACCAAGATATGCGATTACAGAATTGGGAACACCATGTCTCGCCGTCCTTGCCGTAAGATACAGATTCGATGAGACATCTCTTGTGAGAAACGGCGTCCGATACGAGATAACTTTCGCCTGCCCCACCCTCTCTACTCCATATCGGGAGCTAAGATTGTGGCAGAGCCGAGTTTGCGTGGGTCGCAACGCACGGCTGAACTCGTCCTCGCCAGTCGTTCGGAGAACTCGGGCGACCACAGGTGCGAAAAAAAGACGTCGTAGCCAGATGTCGATCTCCCGGAAGACCCGGTACCCCGTTCCTTGGTGAATTACTCCTATCTTTCTGCCGTCTGCCGTCTTTGCCGGAACGCAGCAAGCAGACACCGTATGCTTTCCCAACTCGTCACTTTCCCGTTGTCTGGTACTTTGAGTCCTATCGGTCGTCAAAGCCGACGACATGGAGGTACTTGCTCGCATCGTTGTGTCGTTCGCACTTTCCTCCATACCCGACAACTGCTTGGCTGTTACCCTTCGATGTCTTCAGCGATGGCTTAGAAGCGTCACTGGCGACACATGAAAACGACCTCGTGCGAGCTACAAACGAAACGCCCATGCGCTCGAGGACGACGAAGCAGCTCAGGTTGACCTGCCCTTCTCACCTCTTATCCCCACAGGGGCCGGTATCGTCAGCACACATGGCACTCGATCATTATCAGCAAGATATCCTCGACCAAGAACAAGACACGCAGCCCATGGCGGCGCCGGGCCGCCGCAAGGCGGCGCCATGGCTATTTCTGGGCCGTTATCGATAAACAGGGAGCAAGCAGCAATCTTCCTCTGTGATCGTTGAGCCTGTGACGACGGTAACGGTGGCTCAGCCTGGCAGGGCACGGAACCCCGTAAACCCCGTAAACCTCGTAAACCTCGTAAACCTCGTAAACCTCGTAAACCTCGTAAACCTCGTAAACCTCGTACAGGTCAGGTCAACGCGAGTGTTAGAGTTCCGCCCCGCCCGGGTGCGAATCCGTGCGAATTAACGTGCGAAGACATGCGCCAGCATCGTCGCCCGGTATCCGCCATCCGTGGTATCCCCATCCGTCACTGGCCCCTATCCATCTTGGATATCGCCACAATCCTCACTCACGACTGACTGACTTTGACGAGTACCCATCCGGCGTCCTTCCCGATCTCTCCGTCGTGTGCCTCGGGAGCGCGTGGGAGACCTAACCCACGAGGTGGTCGCGTGCGTCGAGGCAGATCACGTGACACTTCAAGGGCTGGCTTGGCAGCTTCAAGAGCTCACGACGCAAGGTGGCTTGGAATTAGACATCGCATGCACCAATGCTGTCTGGTCAAGAGCGTGTTATGTCTCGATGTAGGGGTGTCTCTTCTGCTGACTGGGGCGCAGTCGGGGAGTGGGGAGCGTAAGGTGATGTGGTGTTGAGGACGGGGGGAAAGCGTACTGCAGTGAGGGCGCAGGGCACAGAGGGCGGTCGTGTCTTGGCCTTGTCAGTGGTGTTTGACATTCCCTCGTGCGTCGCGGCTGCGCGTCTGTCGATTGTGGTCGAACAACCAACGTCATACCATGGTGACTCCGGACTGACGATGGACCGGCTATCTGGCTGAGAGGAAGGGCGCTCTGCAGCATTGGTCGACGGCGGCAAGTCGCACACCCTTGTCCCTTTCGTACCCATCTGCACGCCCATCTAACAGTTACATGCGAAACGGTATCAAGTCCGAAATTAAGGTGACCAAGACAAAAGTATCAATATCTGTGAGGAATTCTAGAAATACCTATAGGAGGGTCACAAACCACTGGGAATTATTACGCTCTGCGAGGCTCTGTTCGTCTTCTTGTGTTCTGTGTTCTGTTTCGTCTCCGAGGTAGGACTGCGTAGTTGTGTGTAGTAGTGTGTCGTATATCGTCGACGTGGGTCTGGAAGTGACCAAGAGATACCAAAAGTGGAACGGAAGGAAGAGAAAAACGAAGGAAGGCGAAGGACCCAGGCGTGGATCAGAGGCTGTCGAGGAGGCGCACGAGCCCAAGGTCGTGGTCGGCGCGGACGGAGATAGGAAACAGCGCGCGTGCGAAGGCGAAGAAGACAGACAACGTCAGATTAAAGTAGGAGAGGAAAGGAAGTGTCATTATATGTGCCGAGAATTGCCGTTAGGGAGAAGAGGGGTCTACTCTTCCAAGTATCGCAGGCCGCCCTTGAGGTACCCTGACTGGTCGGGGTCAGTCCAATGTTTCTAATCCACACTTGAGATCCCCCTCTTGTACATGCCGAGGAGACGTACCATGAAGACCTTGAAGTCGTCCATGACAAAGGGGACGAGGATGATGCCGATGAACTGCGCGAAGCGGTTGAGCTTGCTCTCGATCGCCTTGTACATCTTGTCGTTTAAGCTCTGGTACGGCTTGGTGCTCTGGTCGCCCGTAAAGTTCTTCAGGTGCTCGTTCAGCACGTCGCTCAGGTAGAACAGTTGCGATAACAGATCGATGTATCGCTCGACCGAGTTTTGATCCGAGGGCGAGTTGCGCGCCGCCATCTTGTCCACGCGCGCGGCGACGCGGGAGCCCCACGACGACCGCGACTTGCCCTTCCACCCCGAGCCGACCGCGACGCCCCGCGACGTCAGCAGCTTGTGCGTCGAGTCGAGCTCGTCGTCCAGCGCTTCCAGTAACGCGAGCATCTCCTCAGCCGAGCGCGTCACCGTCTCCATCTGGCTCTTAGACAGACGCGAGGCGGCGTCGTCGGCGCCGAATCGCTCCTCTCGTCCGCCATCGAGAAGCGGCGCACCTGCCCGCTTCACGGCCTCGAGGTGCACGACAAGTGCGTCGCAGCACTTGATCTTGGCCTCCTGGCCCGTGAGCTTGGCTCCCTTGGAACTGCCCGAGCTCCGCCAGCTCGCCGGCTTCCATACAGCAGGGTCGATGTGGATCACGCTCGTCAGGTACGCGCCTGGTCCCGAAGCGTCCATCGAGGCGTAGAGGATGCGGAGGAGGTGGAAGGGGCGGTGGATGATGTCGGCTGGTTGCGGTTCTGGCCGCGGGGACAGGTGCGCCGTTCCCTGCAGGCGGACCGGTGGGGCTAACGTCTGCCGGAACACGGCCTGGAGCGATGACGGGGATGACCGCCCATACTCGTCCGGGCTGCCGCTCGTGTACGACCGCATCGTCCGGAACTTGATGGACGCGCTGTCATAGTCGGTGACGCTATCCCGGGGCGAGTCGTGGTTCATCTCCGAGATGCTCGACATGGACGCTCCGCCCTTGTGTCTCCGGTTAAGGGTGCCGTTGTTAGTGGCGCTGAGTGTCTGGGAAGACGACGTGAGGCTCTGTTTGCGCGGCCGCGCCTCTCCTGGTCCGGGTAACGGCGGCAGTGGTCGGTCGTCCTCCTCGTGTTGCAAACTACTCCGCGGGGACGTCGCGTCGACGGCTGTCGGCGCGGAAACAGAAGTAACACTGCTGATGTCCGTAGCACCTGCGTCGCTGGCGCCCGCAGCGGCAGCGGCGGCAGATGTGCTCGGGGCCGACGACTCGGCGTCGGCGACGGATGCCGGGTCAAAGCTTGACGACTCCTCGTCGAGGCCAAGCGACTTGCCCCCCGTAAGCTTGCGTAGCCGTCTTGAGCTGCCGACGGCCGAGTCGGGGGAGCGAAGGACGCTGTCGCCGTTCGCACCATTGGCTGACGTTGATGGGGACATGCTGATGCTGAAAGCTGATGTCGAGGCGCCCGCATTAGCCGCGGAGGAAGCCATGTCTCCATCCAACGTCAGGTTCGCGAGGGTGCCATCGAGGTTTAAGCTGCTCAGTCCGGGGATCGTGTCTTCCTCTGTGTCGACGTTGACGTTCCCCTCATTGCTTTCGTATGCTGACAGCAGCGTTATGCGTGCCATATACGCATCGTGCTGAGATGGTCAGTCGAGAAAGGGCGCCCCACAACTCACAATGCCCCGAAGTGTCCTTCCCTCATCGTCATTCTTTGCCCGTTTGCTCTCTCCTGACGGCTCAACGCCGACACGCTCCATGACGACACGCAGCTTTGTGACAGCTTCGCGGTACGCCGACAGCGCGCCGGCGACATCGTTGCCCTTGTCCATCTCGACGGCACGCTGGGCGAGGTCGAGGGCGGCCTGTAACAGCTGTCGTGAGGGGACGCGGGCCTGGACGCTAGACCTGACTGATCCATTCTCCGATGCGCCGTCCGAGATGAGGTCCGGGGGTAGGAGGGACGCGAGTGTCGCTTCGTTATTGTTCGCCCGCGTGGCGAGGGTCTGGAAGTTGTTCGTGGCCTTGTTCGTGTCTTCGACCGAGGTAGCTGCGACGGTCAGCCCGAGGACGACATCCGGCAGCTGAAGCTCTAGCTGCTCACAGGATTCTCCGGCGCGATGCTTGCCGATCTGGACCGAGATGTTCTGAGCAATGCCCGAGTTTTGGGTGGTGGCGATGCTGTGGTCGTCTGCGGATGCGGCCGTACCGGAGGCCGACGACGAGGACATGCCTGTAAGCCTGTTAGCGCGATCCCGGATGAGAGGGGATGCGGATGGGGACGCCGCTGTCTGGGGAACCGACGGCGACGACTGTCCCCGGTTGGACGAGTAGGAGAAGCGCGACTTTGAGCGCGCCTTTGAGCTACCGATGGTCGCAAAGGCCGACTTGCTGGACTTGGGGGAGGGCGGGACTTCGCCGTCGGTAGCGCTTGCGCTGACGCTGGGGGTGAGGCTGAGGCTCGCGACGCTCGCGCTTATGGCGCTCAAGGCGCTGACACTTGCGCTGTCGAGCGTTGTCGAGGAAGCGGATTTCGGCGACGGGTTCACGCCCTCCTTGCCATCCTTGCCCTTGCTGTCCTTGCCTTTGCCGTCCTTGTCCTTCACCTTGCGCTCCTTGCCGTCTTTGCCGATGAAGAAAAGCCTGGACCACGACTTACCGTTCACGACCTCGCCGTTTGGGGGCGAGGCATGTGATCCCACTCCATTCTCCATGCCGGTAGAGTCAACCAGGCGCGACGAGACGGCGCGGGGAGACGTGGTTGGCGAGATGGAGGGGATGCGAGGTAGCACAAACACTTCAACAGCAGCAGGGGATTTACTGGCTGAAGTGTCCTCCGGGAGAGTTGGCAGAGAGAGATTGGAACGGGAAGGGGTAGGAACGGGAATGACGGCTGGTGGATGATCGGAGGGTGGGTGCGTGCGGCGGATGCAGTCGCGGCGTGGTCGGGATCGGAGACGGTGAACGGTGACGGCGGGGTGGTCAAAGTGGAGGGGACAACAATGAAAGGAGCGATTAGGTGGTGGTGGATGTCAAGGAGGTGAAAGTGACAAGGAGCGGAGGGGTGGACCTGGATCGTGCAAGCAACGTAACCTTTGGTCGTGTCCGGGACGGCAGGAGGGGTGGTAAGGGCTAGGGCGGGTGGTCGAGGGTGCGGGTTGAGCGGGTGCAGCAGCGGTGGATGCAAAACCCTCTTGTCTGATCCGTCGATCCAACTTTGGTCCAGCGTGCAGCGCGGGGGACCAGCCAGCACTATTACTCGGCGGGACCGTAGCGGTGGCCAAATCGGCAAAGGGTCCAGCTGGCACCTCGGGAGTGGCCACAAGGTGTGTGCTGTGCTTTCAGAGTGCACTCGATGCACGCCCGTTGCCTCGTTATTGTTGTTGTTGCTCAGATGCAAGTGCAAGGTCCAGTCGCGGGTCCGGTCTAGTGTGCGTGCGTGCGCCCTCGTGTGGTGTGCGCGTGCGGGCGGGCGTGCAGGTGGTACCGAGGCAGGTACGGCAGGTGGTGGTGTCTGGTGGAATGCGCTTGCGCTACGGGCTATGCGTAGTCTGCCGGCTAGAGCTCGGTCTACCAGTGCTGGCTGACTCTGCTAAAGTCGAGGCGGCGTAGCGATCTAATCCAGGGTCGGGGTACGTTGCAGGCGGGTCCGAGCACAGTGCACGCTCAGATGCTTGAGCGTCAGTCGGCGTGCAAGTATGCAGGTATCGATACGGTTATCCACCTGCAACAGTTGACAGGCGGGCCAGTAGCACTGAGACAATCGGGCTGACTCAATGCAGTTGCTGGGTTCGCGCGCGCAGTAGTGATCGGGGGGTAGCGCGCAGTGTCGCGAAAACTGGCAGCAGCTGGTCGTCGGTAGGGTAACGGTGCCGGCAACGAAGGGTGCGGTTCGGATTGCAAGGCGGGGGGAATTAAAACCGAGGGTAAACGAGTGTAATAATCTGGGATCTGGAGATCGAATGCGGAGTAGAGTATTGGAGACGCAGGCGGTTGGCGGAGGCGAGTAACAGTAGTGAGACACAGTCAAAGTCAAATGTCGATAACTGGTGGATGCAGAAGTTCTATCGCAGTCGAAGGGACACTGCGTACCTGTCGAGCTGCCGGCGAGAGGGGAAAGCAAGTTGGATTCGATTTAGCTTTGGATCGGTCCCCGCTTTCTTCTCAGCAAAGAGTACAACAGTTCAGCGGTAGCGGCGGGGGAAGGAGCGCGAGGTGACGGCGTGTGGATAGTCGGCGTCGTGCGATCGTGCAATGTCGTAAAGAGTCGCGCAAGCCGCAAAGTCTAAGAGTGTCTAGGAATTTCCAGCGATAATCAACGAAAGACAAGAGCAAGCGAGACATTCAACCTTTCCAACCTCCTCGCGTTCGTTAGTCGCCCCGCGACGCAGATAGACGCGCAGACACACCCCGTCGCGGACAATGGGCTCTGCCAGGTCGTCTGATCGTCCCCTCAGTGGGCAAGCTGTATGGCGTGCATAGGGCCAGCAAAGCATGGCTGCATGGGCTGCGTACATCTGAGTGACAGCTGGATGTCTGTCGCCTCGAGTCACCCATCGTCGATGATTTGTATTGTTCTGATTTCGGTCCTGGGTATCGTGCGCCGGCGCCGTCCCTGGCATGCCTGGCGCCTGTCCCTTCTAGGTGTGTCCCTTGGCCCTGACTATGATACTGGTTTTGATAACGGCTTTGTTATTCTTTCATCTGCTCCAAGCTACGATGGGCTGTCCTTGGGTCGCTTCGGGTTTGCTGTTTTGGGCGCCAGACAGCGATTACCAGAGCTGGACAAGGCGCCAAACGTCCCGCTGTCTCAAGGGAGTACGCGCGCCTGCATCCTGGAGTGGCGCGGCGCTCTGGCAGTCCAAGGTAGATCGAGGATTAGTAAGGCGTTGAGAGGATGACTCCGGATTAGGATCTGGCAAGTTGATGATTAGGAGCGGGATCCTGCGCTATCCTGCAAAGTCGTCGATTAGTGCGCGTGCCTGGGGCATGGGGGGCGCAGCGGTAAACCCTGGCTATCCCTAGATGTGCGCCCGGATGGTCCATCGACCCTGAGAGGGAGTGTGTTTGGATTGTTCTGTCGTTGAGCGTCGAGCGGCGGAGGGGGAAAAATGACAGATCGAGGCCGGGGGCATTACAAATGTCGACCCCGTAGACCCCGCCAGACGACACCATCTTCGTCTTTTCCACACCATCCAGCTTTAGGATTGGTATTATGCTGATTTGTATTTAATTTCTGCCTTGACTCTGCTGCACATGCTGCTGCATGCGTGCCGCTCGTTTTGGCTCACAGCTTGTGCTGCGCCCCGCACGCCCCCGCCGCGGGACGCAATTCACTAACGCCCAGAGCCCGGCCGACACCGTGACCCAGAGACCTGGTCCGCTGTCGGCTTGAACGTCCAGTTAACCTCTTGATCGATGAAGGACGCACAACTATGGCAAAGGTGTGTGCCATGGCATGCATTCGAGATGGATATGGGATATGGGAGCTGCAGGGTGGTGTGGCATGCAGCAGGGAGACAGGGCCATGTCTGATAATGAAGCGCCTCGCCCTTGCGAGACACCCTTGTGTGACTGTCGGGATCGTCCCCTGCCCCTTGCCTCCCACCTCTCTCCCAGCATCGGCGGCTGTCCCCCTGCCCCCTTCCTCATCTGATGCGTGCCAGGGGTATGCATCTGGCCAGTATGCAGTACCGAGTGAGGGCGGAGAACGGTCCGAGCTCCGCTGCCGAATCAGTCAGAGGATCAGACTTCGAAGAGGCAAAGATCGCAGAGATCTCGTGAAGACTTTCGATAGTGGTTGAGCTCAACGCAGCGTACAGTGCCTAGCGCTGCTCACTGGATCTCATCTGGTTCTAGACAAAGCCTGATCGGGCAATCTGATAATGCCCGAGTAATCGTGAAGCTTAAATTCCACCCACCCTGTGCATCTTCACGTGCGACGGTTGCTCCTCTTTCAGTGACAACTGGAGAAGTCTGCACGATTGTCACAGCATGCAAGAATGGAGACGACTCGCACCCATAGGCGTCCAGGTGGAATGCTGAACGTATTTGGAATCAGACTAGGCAGTTCTTCCGCTCCTCGGCGCTGCATTCTGTTAACGGCATGTGTTGTGCGATCGATGGGCATGTGAACGAGGGGATCTCGGTGTGCCCGCTCCCACTGTGCTGGCACTCAGTTAATCTCCTGGCAGCAGCTCAGACCATCAAAAGCGTTTTACTCAGCTGCCATCACCCAGTTAGTCATTAGTCACATCAGCTCCGAACAGGCAGCAAAATGCGACCACAGCCAGATGAAGAATTGCAGATTTCATTAATGATGTGGACACATAAAACGCCGTCAAGCAGACGGCGGGGGTAATGGATGAGGTACTGGGTACTTGGTTGATATAGGTGAAGAGATGTATTAGGACACTGGGTGCGGCTCCGAGCTGCGAGCTCGCTCAGGCCTGGACGAGCACGAGGATCGGAGTCGCCCGTGGTCGTCTACTGTCCCGCCCTCCTGATCCGGGCGGGGCTGGTTGTTCGCTTGACACTCCGTACAGGCTTGGGCGCCTGGAGAGAGACGGGTGAGAGTTGAGGAGGCAGCACGCTTCAAGCGCTCTGCCACGCACGCAAAGGACGCACTTAGGCGACGGCACGCTTGGAGAAGCGCAGACGGCAGTGGTCGCGCGGGAAGATGGCCGCGATGACCTGCACCTCGTCCGAGTCGGGGGTGCGCTCGTGCTCCCAGTCCATGAGGACCGCGGCCGACGAGATGGTCGCGGCAAGGTGCATCGAGGCGTACTGCGAATGTCAGCTGAGTTCAGGAGGAGAGCAAACGGGAGATAGGCGGAGCTGGTGGCGGATCGGTGTGGCGCTTTCGCCTCCACCTTGACCCTTCACCACCATCACTTCTTGCGACGTCGGCACACAGCCTTCCGCGCTTCAACGCACTACGGCTCGCCCTGCGGGCTCGCCGGGATCGCTGTGTACTCACCTGGACACCGATGCACTTGTGGGGGCCAGAGCCCCAGACGAGGTAGTTCTGGGGCTTGGACTCGGCAATGGGGAGGGAGCCGTCGTCGTTCTCGAGCCAGCGCTCGGGCTTGAACGCGTCCGGCTCGGGGTAGCAGGTCTCGTCGTGGAGGGAGCGCCAGAAGGAGGGGATGATCATGGATCCCTTGGGGACGGTGTAGTCGGGGGTGACGGGGAACTCGCGGGTGGTCAGGTAGGGGACCATGATGACGGGGGGCATGAGGCGGAGGACCTCCTTGATGACGGCGCGGGTGTAGACCATGTCCTCGACGAGGTCGAGGGAGAGGGGGGCGTCGACGTCGCCGCCACGGACACGCATGGACTCCTCGCGGATCTTCTCGAGCACCTCGGGGTGGTCAGCCGTCAGCTGGAAGGTCCACACAATGGCGGAGGACATGGCGTCCTGCGAAGCGAAGAGGAAGGAGAGGACAACCATGCCGATCTCCTTGTCGCTGTACTCGCGAGAGAGGAGCTTGGCCTGCTCCGAGTTGCCGTTCTTGGACAGAATCATGGCGCGGATCCACTCGTCAAGGAGACACTCGGGCTCGTTGTCCATGTCGGCCATGCGGACCTTGGACTGGGCGGAAGCGCGCATGAGGTACTTCATGACGACCTTGCGGGCCTGGATAGCGTTGTAGACCTTGGTGCCCGGGATGGCGAGGGGGAAGTTGACGAGCTCGAGAGCGACAGTGATGTCCCAGTAGAGCTTGTTGATCTCCTGCTTCTCCTGCTCGTTGACGTAGGGGCCGATGAAGACGGAGAGCGACGTCTCCATGTTGAGGTCACGCATCTTGAGCATCATCTCCTGCGTCTTGTTCTCGGCGCACCACTCGTCGAAGAAGCGGCGGTAGATGCGGTCCTGGATGGGGAGGTAGATCGAGAGCGCCTTCTGGGTGAAGAGAACATTAAGGGCCTTGCGGTAGTCGGCGTGCACCTTGCCGTGGAGGAAAACCCAGTTCGTAGGGTCAAGGACCTTCTTGGCCGAAGCGACGAGGCAGGGCTCGGCGTAGGTAGGCGAATTCAGGATCTTGCGGGCCATGTCGTTCGTCGAGCCGATGACGATGAAGATGTTGAAGACCGAGACACACGACAGAGCACCAGAGTACCACTGCTTCTTGTAGTTGGCAAGCGTCGGGTTCAGCGAGTCGGCAAACTTGCCAATGATGGGGATCGTCCACTTGTCACCGGCAAGGTGCTTCTTCTTCTGGCGGTACACAACCTGCTCCAGGAGGAGCAGGGAGATGATGACCGTCAGGATCGTGGCAGTCGTCGTCTTACTGCATGTTGTGAACGATACATGCGCACAGACATGGTAGTTATGCAAGCAGCGGTGATCATTCAAGTCACGTCAAATTGGCAGAGCCATGAAACGAAGTGCGGATCGTAAAGTGGAGCACGAGGTGTCAGGCGCGTGTGGATTCGAGTGTGGCAGATCAGTGCGAGATGAGAAAGTCGAACGATGACGAGCAAGGGCGAAGCATGCGAAGTTGTCCGAGAGATAACGGCAGAAGACGAGCGTCAGCACAAGCCCACAACGCTAATGCAGCAACCCCTGCTACCCCACGCTTTACCCCAACGGATCGCACGCCAGCAAATTTCTTGGCACCGCGGGGGTGTGAAGTGATGGTAGCAGGGAGAAGATACCTACGTGTCGAACTGGAAGCGAGCCTTGGATAGGTTCTCGACACCCCAGGCCTTGACAAAGTCAAAGTTGAGGGGCAGCGCCGAGGCGCGCGGGATCGTCTCGGAGGCGTGGGTGGCCATCGTGACGGGGTGAAGACAGGTAACGGTCGAGCGGAGGTCAAGGGCGGAGGCCGGGGGAAGGGGAGGAGGCCGGGAGAGCGCAAGCAAGGGCAGTTAGCGCGGCGTGTGTCTGTCGAGAGTGCGTTGGCGGTGTCGGAGACGCTCCCGGAGTTGTATTTAACAACGACAACTAGTTGGGCAGAGGTTGGACAAATGACAAGGAGGGCAAAACGGGATCCCAGACCCAACAGCATGTATATCGGCGGCACAGTCTGCCCAAGCAAGTCTCAGTCCGCCCTGGCTGGCTGGCTGGCTCGCAAGCAAGCCTGAGAGCTTGTGGCCTGTGGTAGCCTGGCACGGCCGTGAATCCAAGCAAAATAATCGTACCACCTCGGCAGGTTTCAGGGCCAAAACGACCTCACGGAGGCAAAATTTCAGTCTGGCCTTGGTATCCCGACCCGTTGAGTGGTCCGTCAGCCTTCGATGCCTGGCGCCAGGTCCTGCGCGATCCTGCGCCTTCGGGCATTGCCGGCGGCCGCGTGCGCCGCGTCGCAGATGTGCACAGAGGCACCTGCTTGAGGCTGCGGCCACCTGCAGCGTCGCGGGCTCACATCAGCTTTGTCACTTGGGCGCGCGCCTTAGCAGCTTAGCAAATGCTCTTAGCAATGCCTCAGGTCAGCAACCGTTTTCGCCCGCACCTCCACCAGCTTTCAGCTTCGAATTCCTTCGGCGGGCCCTGCCACCCCTGCAAGCCTGCCACCGTGCATGCGCAGTGCCGGAGCGCGTGCCCAGATGCTGGGCCAGACGAGTCTACGCCTCATTCATGCATGCCCATGCTCATGGCTCGGGGGCTGCCGCACTGCCAACACTGGGCCAAGCTGAAACTCGTCATCACCATCAGGTCACTCAGCCAGGCGAAACAGCAAACCAGTAATCTACTACCGCCCTTCAGGCAGGTCCAGGTTCAGCCGTGAGCTTAAAATCCGACTCTCACGTCTCGCGTGCTCATTATTGCGTACTTGCTGGCTCGCAGCAATCCAGCCGCCAGCTTTGTTTACTTGGGTAATTGGGTAGCTCATCACCCCTTTTAAGCTTTTGGGGCCTTGGCCGGTGCTGATCGTCGCGTCCATTGCGTCCAGCATGCACGCTTGTAAACAATTCATCGTTGTAGAGACAGATTGCACAGCGCTGCAGGCGCGCTCTATACGCTCATCAGATTCATCCGCCGCCGACATACTACTACCTGACATATGAACAGCTTGCCTCCTCCGCTCTCCTCGTCCTCAGTCTCGAATGTGAAATCAAGTTGCGTTACGCGCTTTTAGACGCTTCTGCATATCGTAGCATATAGTCGTGGACCATTACTTGGTGAATGCTCAAGAAGCACACACTGGCTCTTCTTCAGAGGAGCTTTAAAGGGTCTTCTCGTCTGTCACATGGTCAGGTGATGTCACGCACAGATCTGAATCGTCATTTCACTCACGGATGGAAGAGGTGGTGGTACCAACGGGGGTGGAGGTAACCGTGGTGCGGGCCTTAACGTTGCCGAGGACGGGGCGGAGAACGTTGAAGTAGAGGATCTCAGCGCCGCGGGTGGCAGGGAGGAAGACTAAGACAGTTAGATCATGCGCTTTCCGCCGCCAAACGGCACTAGGACTCACGCCAGATGGTGAAGAGGGTCTTGAAGACGAAGTACATGGGGATCCAGTAAAGGATCGGGCGAAGGAACATCGACTCGAGAAGGCTGAAGAGACCGAAAACGACCTAGTCTATCAGTACAGGTTCTGGATTCGCAATGCGCATCGGCGCGACTCACCCAGTAGGTCAGCCACTGCTTGTCATCGTTGGTGGACGGGGTCTCAATGGCCTGGAGCGAGAGGTAGGCGGGGAGGGCGTAGCCGATAAGGAGCGAGATGGGCGACGCGAGGCCGAAAAGGTTGAAGAAGACGAGGAAGACGGCGCTGCACCAGTCAGTTCAGTGCACTCTCTCTGGCATCTCTCAAGCAGTGTTGATCTTTCAGAACCGAAGGCCAGATGTCTGATGCACGGCATAAGACGACGTGACACTTGCGACATAGATCTCAAGACCAATTCGCGGCGTAGGCTCGAATGTCCATGGCAGTGCACTGACGTAGCCGCGTGCACACGATCCACCGTGGAGGGACACACTGCTCGATCTACTCACGAAGCGGCAAGACCGAGAACACCGTAGGCCTTGGGGACCTTGGTCTTGGCCTCGATGTCGTTGAGGACGGGGTACTTGGAGAGCTCAGCGTCGAGCTGCTTGACCTGGCCGTTGACGACCTTCTGGGCCTGAACAACGTAGGGGTGGTTCAGGAAGTTCTGCTTGACCTGCTGGGCTTGAGGAGTGGCCATCTGGATCTGTCAGTGTTCGTTCGCGCTGTGAACACGTCGTCTCCGGCTCTGCATCGTTTGAGCCCACTCTTGCAGCTGTTGCAGAAAAAACAGTGAGCAGCGGGGTTGTCAGGGTGTTCCCACGGCAGCGCCAGTTTTTCACGTTTCAACAAGGCTTGCGCACGTCGCGGTATTGAGTGTCGAGTGGGCTGGTGCGGATGCAGAGGTCAGAAGGAGTAACTCACTGTGAACGATGTATGAGTTTGTGGGTGGTTTGGGAAGATGAGAGAGAGAAGATGAGGATTTGTTTAATGACAAAAGACTTGGCAAGGTGATGGACAGAGGAAGAATGACGAACATCGCATTAAAGGGTGACGACGAGGGGTTCGAGGGGGCGGGAGAGGCCAGGGCGTGGTGTGCATCCACGCAGCAATCAGGCAGACGCGCGAGCGAGTGCGATAACTGGCTGGCCGCTTGTCCTGGCGCTCACTGACGCTCCTTCTCCTGGCGGCCCGGCGGCGGTGTCTTGCCTGGGCCAGCCAGCCTGCAGCCATCCAGCCAGCGCCAGCCAGCCAGCCAGCCGGTATGACGCTACGACGCAGGTACGCAGCAAGACCCGGAATTTGCTTCCTTCCTCCATCACAGAACCTCCTGCCTTCGCGCGCCTCCTGCTGTGCAACCGGTTCTCGAGGTTCTACCGTTCTATCCTCATCTCTGTTTTTGCGTCTCGTGCTCATCAGCAAGACCACCACATCGCATGCTGAAAGACCAGTCCAGAGTACTTCGTATACAGCTATCATCACCAGCGTCTCCGTCACGTCGCGCGATCAACCTTTCAGCCGGCCTTGCACGCGTCACAGGTCCAAAGGACGTGAGGGGCCTGGCTGGGCCAAGTGACGAGCGCAGACAATGACGTATTGCCGTCTATGTGGCACCCTCCGGCGCGGATTGGTCGATTGGCCCGGCCACGGCAATCGAAACAACCGTGGGAAGCAGATGCACACCTTGGTTGATCCGTTTTTCTCTCATGAGTTTTCTCATAGTTAATCCTGCGTAAACAAATGACGCTTTACGTAACAAACGCTAGGGCGAGTGGAGGTGGCCAGACTTAGCACCCATGAGGCACTTGTCGAGGTGGGTGGGTGGAGGTGCCTTGGACGCTCTGGGCCGCAAGGTGAGGGCACACGGTTGTGCACGTTGGGCCGTGGGCCCTTAGAATCTCCTGTAGCCTCCTTTCCTGCGCGTCAACAAACCTTGCACTCTGTTCCTCGCGACGATGTCCTCTACATGCTCTACAACAAGATCACCTGATTGCATCCTCAAACGTGCGGGACAAAGATACATTCTGCACAGAACATTTTGCGCCGAGCCACGCTGCAGTCAAGCACACCGCATCGTCGCATCTGATGGCTTTCCGGTCGTGTGTGGCTTGCATTTGGCGACATCACAGGATAAGAACTCAATTCAGGACGCAGGGCCGCTAGCCAAATATCTGGGCCATCCTCACTACCTCCACCCACAACTACCACGTTCACCGATCACGACCCAGCGGCCATTCCTTCCTCCCTTCGCCCACTTGTTGACAACATTATCATCAGGCCATGGCTTACACTCCGAGGCCGCGGTCGCCCGTCAACCCCCATCACTCCGCCGTTCTGTCAAAACCGAGAAAATCGCGATGGCACGGCCGACCAGGTCAACTCATGGCTCTCCGCTTCGGCTGGGTTGTTCTCGTGGTCTGGTATGAGGTTAGTGACGCCCGTCAACGACGCCATAGAGGCATTTAGAGCACAGCTGACAGCGCAGGTTGGAACGGTACGAAATACAACCCGTCTTGCACACTAACGGCCCTCCAGTTCTACAGCTCTCTCTCAAGCTGCCGCTTCCCCGACTCGACCCTCCGCGCAACCTCGGGCGGCGCCAAGCCGACACACGTAGCGATCATCGCAGACCCGCACCTTCCTCATCCTCAGTTTTCTCATCCGGAGGAGAGCTCGTCATGGGTCAACTCAGTCAGGCAGGGCTTCGATGAGCTGTTCATGCGCAAGAGCTGGAGCATTTTGAACCGCATTGGCCGCATTGACGCTGTCGTCTTCCTCGGAGACATGCTCGACTACGGTCGCGAGAAGATGACAGATGCTGAGTAGGTCTCCGCAGTAGCTTCAGACACTGACACGATGGCAGGTATGACGACTACTTCCAGCTGTTCAAGCGAATATTCGAGCCGTCGCGAGGGACAGAGATGTATTACCTACCTGGTAACTACGACATTCCCCTCGGCAACCCCGGCAACATGTTCGAGCAGGCGGCGAGGGCGAGGGCACGGTTCACGAATACCTTCGGACCGCTGCACAGCGTTGTGAATGTCACGGGCCACAGCCTCGTGCTTCTCGATTCGATTGGTCTGGTGGAGGAGGATTATCGACGGTATGGAGCAGAAGTCAACTTCGAAGAGTATAATGGCGACGACAGCAGTGTCATCGAGTTTATCAAGAGGATACAGGCAGGTACGTTTCGGCGTAAGGAGAAGCTTTAGGCCCCAGGCTGACGTGAAACCAGACCCCCTCCCGTCACCGATCGTATTCTCCCACATCCCCCTGTCTCGACCAGAGTCCGCCAAGTGTGGTCCGCTGCGAGAAGGAAGCGAAGATGCCAAGATCAGGAAGGGCGTTGGACCCGGGTATCAGAACCTCCTCGGCCGGCAGACGAGCAACTTCATTGTAGACGCGATCGACCCCATCGTCGTGTTCAGCGGCGACGACCACGACTACTGCGATATGGTGCACGCAGACACGGGCGTGCGCGAGGTCACCGTCAAGTCGTTCTCACCCTCGACAGGCGTCAACCGGCCAGGCTTCCAGCTCCTCTCGCTCGTGCCGCCAGAAGCGAACATGACGACCTACGCCGACGTCCCGTGCATTCTCCCGGACCAGACTCACGTGTACCGGTGGGTGTACCTGCCTCTGGCCGTCGTAACGTGTGCGTGGCTGTTCTTCACCAACGCGCGTCATGCGTGGGCGCGTTCCGGGGCAGACCTGAAAGCCAAGGGCAGTGCGTACGGTGCGAGTGACGAGAAGAAGGCCGTGCTGTCCTCGTGGGGCTCGTCAACACGACTCCGTCCCCAGGCATCCGGACCGTCTTCGCCGCTTCTCAGCCCTCGGATGAACACCGACGACCCCGAGCAGGGACAAGTGTACGACGCCTCGCCGCTCGGCTCCCGGCAGTCGTCGCACCTGGACCTGACGGACCAGTCCGTGATCCGGCGTACGGGAAGCGGTGCGTCCCTCCTGCCAGGCGGCGGGGGGATGAGTGCGCGTCGCAACGTCAACCTCCCGCGCATCAAGTCGGCGACGGACTGGGCATCGGCGGCGAAGAAGGACAAGCCCGTGCTCAACCTCATGCTCGACCCGGGGGCGAAGCGCAGCCGCGTGCGTGCGATCGGGCGTTGGCTTTGGCGCTCCCGCCGCTCCGTCCTCGTCCGCACGTGGACCGAGATGATCACCATCTTCGCGCCGGCGCTCATCGTGTGGTTCGGCCTCAACGCACTCTTCTTCTTGTAGATTGTAACCGGACACTTTATGGCCTACACGACACACAATGTATTCTACGTATCCATAAGCCTGTCGTTGCTTCGCAGATCAACTGTGCCGTATGCCGTCTGCGCGTCAGCCTCGGTCCGCGGAGAAATGGAGATCCTCACTGCCGTTCGGACACTAGTCGGCTCCGACGCAGTGGCTGCTAGTGGCTGCTGCCTCGCCGAGGACCGTCTTGACCGGTCCACTGCGGGACTCGGTTGGGTCCATGCCAAGACAGCACCGCAGCGCGCCCTACCATTCAGCCTCCTGCTAGCCCAACCGATCCAATCTACCAGCCGCAGCGCTTCAGTCATGAGAGGCAAACACGCCGTATGTCGTCGCAATCAAACCGATCCACGAGCACGCGCGCTCGTGCGCCAGTTCACAATATGTCGAACATATAGCCCACCTTGAATCTCATACCGGCTTCGGCCGGCTTGACGGTCAATGTGCTGTACTGGGTACTTGTGAAGTCGACGAGTGTGCGGAACGGCCAACAAGCAATGCCCGCGGAATAGCGCGGTTCGTGATCGCCGGTGCCCGCAGTCTGTATGTCAATGTAGTTAACCCACAGCTCATGCGTCGACTCCAGGTCGACATCGCCGTAGTCTCACGCGCCTTTGGGGTGGGATAATCAGTTGTGGACGTCAGTGAGTCGTGAGTCTATGTGTGCCGATGCGAGAGCTCGAGGATGTGGAGGGGAAGACTTGTCGAGGAAAGAGTTGAGCCGCAAAGTGACACCAGAGGGACGGGAAGGCTCACACGCTGGGTGAGTTCGCCGGTGACTAAGTTGTTGTTGGTCACGAGAGGTGAACTGGGTGCTGCTGATCATTGTCGGGGACACACCTTGGTACTTCGCCTAGAGCACGCACGATTTGGTCGTCGTCAGTCGTCGTCCTATGTCATCTCGCGGGCGGTGTTGAGAGATATATGGACAAACAAATAACAACAAGAAAACTGGATTGGAGAGAGGATGCGGGAGGAGGAAGACAGATGAACTATAAATGAGGGCAGGAGTCGTTGAGAGTGAAACATGGGGCGCCGCGCTTGGCCACGGTGGATTGGTGGAGCCGCCTCCAGTCCGATCATCCACCACCTCCTGACTGGTTGTTGCCACTCTACAGTCAACAACGTTGGCCACATATATGTCTAGAGAACATTCTTCGACTGGTAGCCCTTCTCCGTCGCCGCCAGCGGCTAATGAGCCTTCGGTCCGACACGTCCGGCGCCAAGAACTTGAGCGGCTGCCAAGGGGAGCCAGACGCCACCACAAGGAGGCTCGCCTGAGCCGCCTACTGATCAACGTCCGGCCACATCAACAATCACTTTCATTCCCATCAGACTGGACAGGAAGGTGAGCTTTGTGCTTGGCGGCGGGGACGGATACCATGCCCGTGGAGCCATCCGGGAAGCATTGATCCGCTTAATTGTCATCGGGCGGCCTCGTTAGTCTTCCCCGTCGTTATACCGGCCTTCGACCGAGGCTCGCGGCAATGAAGAGGAAGCCGCTCTGATCGGTCTCCAGTGCTTTCGGATGCGGCTGAGTTGGTAAGAGTGATAGCGACCTCGTGCAGAAACTCGGCGACGCCGGGTCACAGGGACAAGCGGACGCCACCGCAGGGAAGGAAAGTCAGTCACGAGACACGGACGCATCCTCTTTTTGCGCACTCAACCGCTTGGCAAACAAGTGCGCCAAAATGTCATGCAAGCAGCGCACAGGCAGAGAGACGCCCTGGAGGAGTCTGTAGCCGCAGCGGCTTCGTTGCTTTCAGCCCCGCGTGGTTGTCGGTGCGGTACTCATTAGCATTCAATGATCCAAAGGACCTCGGTCACCCTTCGGTCTCAACAACACTCAGCCGTCCGAGAATCCAACAGGCAGTGTTTGAATCGTCGTACATCACATTGTTCTCTCCAACTGTCACTCTCTTCTCTGCTCCGGATCAGATCTGCACTACTTCTTCCTCAGCTTGCTCCGACATTCAGATTCTGTCGACCCCGCTGCCTGCTCCACCCTCCCGTATGAGCTCAACCGACCAGCCCATTGTCTCGGATACGCTCTGACACTTGCTTGCGAGTTCAGGATCAGAGCTCGCCCTCGCGCAGTTCTGGTGCGAATTCAGATCCGAGAGTTACGTCCGGCGGTGCTACGCGTTCACAATGGTCATGGCTGTAACAAAGCTTGGATTCGCGGACCTGCAGCGCTTCCCGGACCGTCGCTCCGACCTCGCGAGAATCACGGTGCCAAGATCTTTCCAAACCTTCGATCCTCAGCGTCACTGGATGGCGTCAGTCAAAGTCAGTCTGCGTAAGTTCACGTGAAGCGATCGGTCCCGAACGCGAGTGAGTTTGAGCGAGGAGCGGTTGGTAGTAGGCACTTATGCGCAGCTGCGGCGCCATACGCTCTGCTTGCCTGCTCTCCGAGGCAGTAGACGACCTCGATGACGGTGGGAGACGACTTCTTGCTATCTTACGGGGCTCAGCAGAGCGGCGGAAACAGGTCGATCCGAAGCGCCGGCTGCGAGCGATCGGAGCGGGCCTGGTATGAAGGCACGTCGGCGTGCCAAGTGCTGCGCTCGCTCTGTTGCTGGACGGTCTTGCACCTTCGCTGACCCAAGCTCGGAGCAGTGGATCTGGCGTTCTTTAGCTCGGGCCTGGAGGTTCAGCGCCACGGTGCCCGGACCTCTTTGTTCCTACTCGATCCTGGAACGGACACAGCTTGCGCTTGTGCTTGTTTGTCCGTTATGCGGCGCGTGATGTGCGCGTCGTCGCGCTCGCTGCCTCTGCTCTCGTGCTGAACAGGGCTCTTCCGATGGAACTCTAATCGCGTTCTGAGAATGATGACTGAGCAGCATTCCACGATTAGAGTTTCCGCCGGAGCGCGCCTTATGAGGAGACGCTGGTCTCGTGCCCACGGTGTCTTGTTCAGTTCGAGCTGCAGAACGGCTTCCTCGTAGTCGTATGATATGGGAGCACGCAGCAGGCAGGGCGGAGCTGTGCGGAAATCCTCTTTCACCGATTCTGCACATTTAATGCGGTCGAACCTTCAGTCTTGTGGCGTTCACAGTGCGGATGGGCGGACATTGTTGAACTTTGAGCGCCGTTCCGTTCTGTAAGATTCTTTGAATGAGGGCAGCCGCGAGCTTGTCCGTTTCGATCAATTCGAAGCCACCCATTGCGCTCGCAGGATGCTCGCGAGCCGCTCGTTACATGTAGAAGTCGTACTCCAGTGTTCTGAGCGGCAGGTGTCTGGGACATCCGAGAGATATCCGGCCCCTCCTCGTGCGCTCTGTCGCTTTGCGGGACCCGCCAGCATCACCAGCAGACAGTCGCCGAATGCCGAGACGCCCACTTCAACATGCACAGCACCCTGCACATCACGCCGTAAGGCTGGCCGTCGATCCTGTCTCGGAGTAGGGCAAGGGGTGATAAGGACAGGGTATGCATGGACGATCATGGCGGGCTGCCGATCCCGCAGAAAGTATGGCGGATTCCGGCATACCGCCAGATCTTCGGATCCCCCAAGTCAGTCCCCCAAGTCAGTGCCTTCTGTTCTGGCACTCTGCAGACTGCAAGTGGTTGGGTGAGGTGCTGAATCTGTGGTGAGGACAAGTGTACGTATTGGCCAGCAGTTGGCTCCCTTTCTGGGGTCCAAGCAAAGGCGTGGCCCAGTTATTTTATTCAGAGACATCAATAGTGTCTGGAGGAGCTTAGGCAGCTCTATGGACTCCAAAGCGCCATCTTGACAAGCAACAACTGTGCACCACTTCCGCGAGTGCGACACCTTGGCGGTGTGTAGTGTCGATACTTCGGAAGATCGATGAAACGCACTTTCAGTTCCTTCGCAAGCTAGGCCGTTGTGGCTGTCTCTGTCGCCCGACCGCGCACCCTTCGTCGGTGAGCCGCACTTGATGCAGTCCGGACAGATATGCAAGACAACCCTGTGACAGATTGGGAACGATGCTCTCGAGGATTGGGAGAGGGAGGTGATAGACGTGGCACAAGTGAAAGCGCACCAGCATGTTTGCAGAAGCACCTGTATCGCACATATCCGCTTCGGCGTTGCGAGAACGCTCAATCGGTGAACTTAGGCGTTCAACGAGCTCTCGACACACGTCAGCGCAGCAGTGGTGCCACTACAGACCGGAACAGCTCCCTCGCGCGGGTCGCCCGGAATAGCTGTCTACCATGCAGCACATGCACGGCTATGGAGCGGTTGTCCGGTTGTCCGGCGATTTTTCCACGGCGTTTCCGTGGATCGAAAGTCACCGCCGTTTCCTCGGAGCGTCAGACCTCGCGGTCACTCTCGTCACCGGCCCATGCCCGACGGCGCATGTGCAGCACACACGTTGCTGATGGACCGCATGGTGCATGTCTTTACCGGGATCGACGAAGGGCGACATTGAAGGGCTCGTTGGAGGGAAGGACGGGGCGTCGAGGGACTGGCAGGGTGAGATTTCGAAGTCCTGGATCTCTGTATATCTGCCAGATCTCCTCCGGCGGCAGCTTGAGTGGCTCGGACGGACTGAGCGAGCTGCTTAGGGCCGCACGCTGGCGAGTCGCTTTCTGAGATTAAGTGGGACGGCCACCTCGATCTGCTGCGATGGGGCCAGCGAAGAAGAGTGGCACGTACGAGAAGTCTGCTGACCGGTTCGGCGGTATGCAGTTGTTTGGGTAAATTTCGAGGGTATGCCTCTGTGGATGTCGGAGCCCGGAACGAGGAGTTATATCCAGAATCCACAGTGCCCGACGCAGTTAGACGGCGTGAAGAGGCATGCATGTTGATGCACTATGAGGTCGAGCGGACATTTTGGCAGCGATCACATCGTGAATTAGGTCTTACCGTCACCCGTGTGGCGGCGGAGGGGGGTGGAACGGAGGCAACCTCGGTTCTTGCACCAGATTCCGCTATTCGCTAGTCGCTTGCACGGTAGGGCCCGCAGGGTAGGTTAGCTGAGAGCTTGGCAGCTGCGTTTCACCAGTGGCAGCAGTGCGAATAGATGTGCACCGGCCTGCATGCGATGCACCGCGCACTGCGGCGCCGCTTCTACCATGCGGCCCGCGCATGTTAAGTGCATGGCAATGAATGGCATTCACCGGTACACGACATGACAAAGGACCCAGGCGATAAGCGCGGCGGCGATCGCGTCTCCACCGCTGTGGTCCAGTTCCTGGGCCGTGCAGACTGAGCGGACACAGGGCGGGCACATTGAGGTGACCACCGCGGGGATCCGAGCCCATGTTCGGTCAAGCTGCCGACGTGTATGTCACCGATGCATCATATATACAGCTCGGAAATGCTACGAAGTCTACGAAGGAAAGGAAGAGCGCCCAAGCGGTCTTGAGGACGATGCTCCGCGTTTACTCGCCACGTACCGTACTGTTTCGTAGGGTTTCGGCGCTCGGCCCGCTCGGCCGCAGCACGACGCAGAAACCCGCAGACGGCCTCCCCGCGGCTCAGAAAGCTTCTTAGCCCCTTCCTACTTTAAAGCAGCTTGCATGGGCGCCGTACCAGAGCCGTAATACTACTCAATGCACTTAGAGGAGGCGGCGAGGAACGTCTGGAGCTTTGAGGAACGTATGGAGGTACGTCTGGGGGGACGCGCCGCTGCGAGTGCTGCGCGCACCACCGAACACCTGTAAACGAGGTGTGTCGGGCTGTCAGGGGGGATGAGGCGGCGGTGAGGTCACCGACGCCGCCCGGGCCATCCCGAAGAGATCGAGGAAATCGAACAGTTGCAAAGCAGATCAAGGGGAGCCGGCGAATGCTCTGTGGTCTGCGGGCGCTGACCGCGCATTGACAAGCCTAAACTTAGTAACGTCCGCTTCGGAACTGTATGGAGTCTCCGATCTTGTCGTATCACGAATGCGCTTCCTCCCCGGTACCAAGAACGAAACTGGGCGCAGCTTGATGATGTTGCGCGCGCTGCCGACGCGGCAGACCCGGCAGAGCCGGCACACTGACTTCACAGAGGGCACTGGATTGAATCATTTCGGCCGCGCATTCAACCATTCATTTCTCGTCCGTTGTGCCGTCGCGCCGGCTCCTTGGACCCATAGCTCCATCGCTCCGTAGGATCCACAGGCTGAAGGAGCTTAGCGCCACGCATGACGCGGCGCCACACGGACCACCCGGTCCGAGGGTCCTTTAGCTCGGATTCAGCTCTGCACCCTCGTAGACAACGCAAAGTTGCTTATCTGGATGGAGTCCGTCCAACTTCCGGATCGTGTCGGTGGTTGGTCGTCGGAAGCAAGCGACGTCCGGATCGGAAGCAATGCGACGACGGAAAAGTGCCACATTCCCCGTCCCAAGGAGCGTCCTTTGAGCAGAACCGAACGCTGCTCCAGGGAGGGCGGGTACTGGGCCGCCTCGTCAGTCACGGGGTCAGGTACAGGCAAGACCAGCTTCGTAAGAGGCGAATGCAGTGATGATCGCAAACTCCAAGCCCCTCGATGCCTCGCCACATTCACTGGCCCAGCCCTCTAGGAAAGGTTGCGTCAGGTCGCATCAGCTGAGAGGCGAAGGTTGAGCGCACGCGCGCGACCCTGGGCGAGCCTGAGTCTGGAAGCTGTGAAGCCTGAGTAGAAGAGGAAACACCGATAGAAAGCCAGAAACGGAGAATTGCGTCGCTGGGCGGGCGAGTCGCAATGCCCGCGCGGGTCCTACACCTCGTTCCCTCCACTCCTTCGGCGAGCCCCTCAGCACCCTGCTCGCTCGAATCCGACGCTGCGGTCAGGTCCCAACCCCTCAGGTCCAGCAGGCCCGAAGAGGAGAGCTCCAAACCTCGCTGCCCGACATCACTCCGAGGATTTCCCAGTTTAACAGTGTCAGTGAAACTGCACCGGGTCAGTTTTCCCAAAGTCGTGTCGCTTCAAGCGAGATGAGACCTGCCCGCACCGCTCTGCCGGGCATGGCGTCCAAGGCGGTTCGAAATGCCAAGGTTGATACATCATCGTCCTTGCAGGCCAAGAAGCGCCGGCTGCGGAAATCTAGTTGATACAGTTTCTAATGCGGGCCAAGCGAAGGATCCCCAGAGCAAGGCGCATGCAGTTTCGGGTCGAGAGAAAGGGGCAAGGGTCGCTGGAAGAGGAAGGCCTTGGGGATCTGGGGTTGTCACGGGGGCAAGGGGAACTGAAAAAGTCGGGACACAGCGGGGACTGCAGAGCGGGCAGAAGATGTCGTATCAGCTGCCGCTTGCGGATGTTCCCAGTGCCAGAATACGAGGGTAACCGGAAGACAGAGTCGAGCACAAACGGGGGCGAGATGCGGGAGCGAGTGGCTTTTGAGTGCGGGCCGCGTGAGAGTCTATGCGCGCCAGTTGGAGTTGAGGGATGGAGGGTGGTCGAGATCGGAACAGATAGTACACACTTCAATGGTCCATGTCGAGGCCACCAGCAAGGGCTGGCATTGAGGTTTTCGAGGTTTTTTGATGCGATTCTTTTAGGGCATGAATCGGGGTATCGTTTCGATTTGGCTGGGACAGGGCCCAAAAAGCTCTGAAGCTTAAGCCGTGACGCCGGCGGTGGACGCAAAGGCGTCGGCGCGCTGAGTGTAGAACGAGTAGCGCGGGGACTCGAGCTCGGATAGGGCGCCCTCTACGCCGAGGATACGCTCGACATCGACAGGGGTGGGAGACGACCAGAAAAATCAGCCACATCGTTCGCCAACAAAGAGCAAGCGCCGCGCGGCCGCCACCCCGGGAAGCCTTTTGAAACTGGCAGCGCGAAGCGGCGGACGGCGGGCAGAGTAACTTACAGCTGGTCACGAGCCCCCCTTGACTGATGATGAGCCTCGTACCAGCTAGTAGTACCGTGCAGGCTCTGGTCGCTCGGGCGGCTCCCCTGCGTGCGGTGCTGGTGGTGTTGAACCGAGGACGGCGTCGAATGCCAGTGGGTGGAGCTGGGCGAGGCGCGCGAGCTAATGTTGCTCTCGGGGTCTTCGCTGGGGTATGCGTAGAACGACTGCATCGGGGCCGTGCCAGTGCCTGCGCCACTGCCGTACGTCGGAGTCTGCACTTGCTGCTGGTGAGCACGCTGCTGCTGTTGGGCGGCGGGATTCGGCGTGGCGGCGAGTCCGAGTTCAGGCACGGGCATGACCCTGGGAGCATAACCCTCACCCGTCGACACTTGAGGGACGGCACTCTCGGACCGAGCTCGGGGTGGGGTGCTGGACGGCAAAACTTGGGTCTGGCTCAGGACTGCCGATGCGCCAGACGGTTGGACGCCGGCTCCGCCAGGAGTCTGCAACATGGTCGCCGGCTGTTGGGTATGGTGTTGGTGCGTAAAGTAGCCCGCCTGCGTAGCTGGGCGAGGTACGCTGTGCCCGTGGCCGCCGTGGCCGTACGTCGTGCCCGAACTTGGCCGCTCAGGGTCCAGGGAAACATAACTCTGGTCAAGGTTATCCCATTGCTCGAACGAGTTGTCGCGACGAGGCTGCAGCGATGGCGTAGGGCTTGGGTGGCCGAAGTGAGGTGACGGGCTCGGCACGTGCTGCGCGGGGAACTGGCTGATGTGAGCACCCATGGGGGTGTACTGAAGCGAACCTCCACCCAGCGGCTGCATGTGAGAGCCGGGTGTGAGCGCCGCGGTTGAATGGTCGAGCGAGCTGGAGCCGGTGGAATACGAAGTCGACGGCGGCACTCCAAGCGGGTCTGGCATGATGGCCATGCCTCCGGCCACCTGAGCTCCACCGACGGCTGCAGCTTGGGCTTGGGCTTGGGCTTGAATCGTGGCGTGCGCGGCGCGGAGGCTCTCCTCGAGTTCGGCAACCTTGTTCTCGAGCTGGCGAACGCGGCTCACGGGCTTTGAAGTGTCGTAAACACATTCGCGCTTGAGCTTGGAGCAGTGGTGACAACTGGGCTTGGTCGCAGAGCATCGAATGCGACGCTTGCGGCAGTACAGACAGGCGTCGCCACGCTTGAGGGGAGCGCGGTGCGGACCGCCGCCGCGGCCGGGACCGCCGGTGCCAGAGGGGCCCGCCTCAGAGTAGTGCGTGGTGAGTGGAGGCATTGCGGCCAAGTTGGTCGTCGATGGGAGATGATCGAAGACGGCGGCGACCGTCAGAGGAGGTCGATAGATAGACGTTAAGGACGATATGGTTGATAGGCTGGTGCTGGCGGCAGATCGGATATCACCAGATTCGGGAGCAAAGTCGAGCAGTGGGTTGTGATCCTTAGTGGTTATCGTGAAGGGTCCGGTTGCGGTGGGTGTTGCAGACGATGATAGTGATGCAGTTACTTGAACGCTGACGTTCTTGAAGATCTCTCAAGGCCGTGTTTCGAAAGAGTTGCTGAGTTTGCTGTGAGGGATGACACCATCCTCGATCCGAAGACTGGCCCTATATACCGGAAACGATCTTGGTCGATCGGTCACTGGCGATTGCCCGTCCTAAGGAGTGAGGACTGTAGTTCTGGGCCGTGGGTGTTGCGTGTGTGCCGATGTGCCTATGTTGTGATCGGGTCGGTTGGGCGATGGTACGGCAACGTCAGACGTTGGGAAGGACGGTGCAGATTAGATGGCTAGAGTTGTTAGAGTTGCACTGATAGTACACTGGACGAAACAAGTTGATGCACAGGTGACTAAATCCGGCACTGCTTTTGAATTATAAGTCATTGCTCCGCTCCTGTTCTGTGTAACTTTGCCTGACCAGCCGGTGCACCATGGCCCCGGTGATTATCAGGACCAGGTCTTTCAGGTCTGTCACCAGAGGGGAGGCCTGAGCGCACCATGCACTGAACCAGGAGCAAGTACTCGAACCGCGCAGGAGCAGCAGACACCAGGAAACGCACCCCTAGACACCTCAGCACAGCTGTACCACTGGCGCTCTTCCGCCGTACCTTGCCTGTCGCGATCCTGCTCCTAGAGTGCTCGTCCTTACGCCTCATGCCCGGGGCAGTAGGAAGCCAGAGACACTTCGAGTGCTGCAAGGTACCAGAGCAGAACGGCAACTAAGACGTAAACTTGGGATTCCCAGGTCCCAGCGCTCCTGCGGCCGAGCGACCCAGGGCATTCGAGGTCAAATGCGCGCCGTTTTGGAAAAGCACGCACATACGCGGTGGTCATGGGTGCAGCACAGCGCCTACCGCCCTCGAGCAGAGGTCATGGCCCGTGGCCCAAGAACCCGGGGGTGTATGTGGAGACCTGGGGGACTGGGTCACGAATCGTCCAGGATTGCTTTGCACAGGGCAGACGAAGGTGAATTGGGGCTTCCATCCCTCGCAAGTGGAAACGTATCCTTAGCGTCTTGGTTCCGTCAGAGACACCTCCAACTGGCTCGCTGGCGGTGCATCGTGCATGGTGCCTTGGTTGATGGTCCTCAGCGCGGCCGGGAGCTGGGAGACTGAGCGCTTAGGAGCGTCAAGAGCGTCGCCTGTTAGCCGTAGCAAGTAGGGACACCCAGGCACCTCGCGAGTCGGACATTGTCAGGCACGGCGCAACCCTATCTGTGGATGGCTGTTGGCTCCAGAGCCACATCTCGCCAGGAGACGACCCGGACAAGCCCAGGACTCGTAGCACAACCCAGGATAGTAGTGTATTGCGTAAGGGGAAACGCCACGCTCTTCCAAGGATCCCAAGGATCCCAGGGCGGATTAGCGGGGGGCACAGGGTACGAATCCGGGTGAGCGCCTCAGTGAGTGACAGCAGATCCCTAATCCCTAATCACGGTCACAGTAGACCATTCAGTGCCATCCCATGATGTGAACACCTCTACGGCATGACTGGATCACCACACTAGCGAACAAGCGACAGAACGCAACGGTCCGTTTCCCCGTACCTCGTCAAACCCGTCTGCGAACCATGTCTCGCATCGCCAAACATAATGACCCAAAATGTCCAACAACCTTACGAGTCGGCGTCCCGAGTGCGTCCCTCCCCCCTCGCCCCTGGCGCTCCGCCTGCCGCCCTGCTACAACTGCTCCGCTTGCTTCGATTGTGCCGGCCCGGCGACAAAGCTTGAGGCTTACTGGCTGAATCCGCGCGGCGTGCGCACCAATCACTCTGCATCGTCGCGAGGAAGACGCCTGGAAGTCGCCAGGATGGAGGAGACTTCTGACATGGTGCCGTTATGAGGTGAGACGCCGGATACATAGTTGCAGGCAAGGAAGCAGGGAGGTGACGTAAGACCGCTGCTCATTAGAGTATCAGTGCTCCATTGCAGTGCTCAAAAGCAATGCAGCCATGCTCGCAGTCAAATGTTCTTGAAACTTACGTACCTCCCTCAAATGTGCTTTCCTGCCGGCCTGCTTCCGGACGTCGATATCCAAGGTTATTCCATCGTAGCCTCTGTGCACATCCCACGCGTCGACTGCTGTAAGTGCGGCAGGCCAGAGCCAACCTCGTGACGATAGCCGCCTCGCGACCAATCTGAGCCTTCGCGCAAGAGTAGGCAGCGGGATGGCTCCAGTGCTAAGTTCGTGCCAGCTGTGCGTCATCCGATTCCAATGCAACCTTGTCCTGCCCTGCGTTGCTTGCATCTTGCGCACGTTCAGCCCAAGAGCAAGGTCACCGAGCGCACATCGTAGTGCCTTGAATTGCAATTGATCGCCAGTCTGCCGCGGTGGATCTGCCCCGAGCGAGCGAGAGAGAGAGAGAGGGCGAGGTATGCAGCGTCCGGAGAGAGGAGACGTTGTGCGTGAGAGTAGTACGAGAGGGTTCTAATTCTGTGTGCAGTGTGCTCGGTGGTGAGCCATGGAGGTGGAGTGGAGACGTCGTTTCGAGCCCCGGGGCGCTCGGAAGAGGCCCTAAGCTCGGGCGGCTCAGGCCCAGTGAATGACCCATGTCCCGGACCCCGCTCCGGTCACTCCAGCCACGCGCGCCACACACGCCACGCTATTTTCAACGCAGATCGCTCAATAGCGGGTTACTCCACGGACGAAGCGGACCCCGGCCCGAACACGCAACACATGCAACACACGAGCGTGCGACAGTCACCGGGCGATCCCAAGGGCGTACACGGGCGTCGTCCGTTGTTCTGGTCAGACAGGTGTGACAAACACACGGCGTCGATCAACCGTCCCGGATGTGAATGTGCGATCGCGTCAATCGATCCTTCCCAAAATGGAGCGCTTCATGTGATCCTGCTCCAACTATCCGGTGCTGGACGCCGAGCGGAATCACCCCGGAACCCCAAACCCACAGGTTGTACTCCCACCCTTCCCCCCGGCGTGACAGCTGATCCGGGCATTGCCCGGGAGGTCTATGGAAGTGCTCGGAGATGTCCAGGATCACACGGTCCACGATCACACGTCCCTCACGGTCCACACGCCTTCCCGGAGAACGCCGGCGACTAACTGCTCCGCTCTTCGCTCGCGCATCGTGCATGGGCTCCGAGCGTCCCGCGCGCCACCGGCAAATTGTGCGATAAGCATCCACACTAAGGCGACTAACCCCGGCGCCCGGTGCTACCTTTCTCCGTAAGGGAGTTACAGGCTCTTGTCTGCGGTTCACAGGCGCTGAGCAAAGGTGGACATGTCCTCTGACTTCTCACTAGGCCGAGCGTATACGCATATACGCCCTTAGGCCGTCGCCAGAAGGCCGGTCCTAAAACTAGTGCATGCGCTACCACTCGCAAATCTCCGTCTCGACTACACCTCCCCCTCCGCCTTCACTGCTCTGTACACTAGCCCGCATATCCCTCACGTAGTATACCCCAGCCAGCACGCTAGCGTCGGAGCAGAGCGAGCCCATCGGCGCACCGCCGTAGTCCGGGCCGGTCGCACCGCCGGACCGTAACCCTAAAGAGCCTTAGCGCGGGACAACGTTAGCCCCTTTCGAGTGTGCTGTCGTGCGTACGCGAGTGTCAGAGCACAAAAAGAACGGAAAGAACGAAAGCGCTAAGTGATCGCAGATCAGCACGTGCCTGGCGGACCGTCTTCCGGCAGCTGGGAGAGGCTGGGTGTTCATGCCGTTGTGCTCGAAACGCTAAACCTTGCCCCTCCTGCCTATGCTCCAGCTCGCGAAGCGTCATCTGAATGTTGAGCTGGCATGCTTATACCTCGGGAGCCAAGAATATCCGCTGCACACCAGCTGACTACTGCGTGCTGGGGGTACCGCGGCGCATCCGCAGAAGCACTAGAGCGTGCGGAGCGCAGAAATCCTTGGGCCTTCAGAGCGCTAGGCAGACGAATCCGGTGGATGTAGCTTCGGAAGTCGGACCGTGATGGCATAGTCGCCGATGGATCACGACGACGGCACACTCACCGACCTTCGGTTGATCGAGGAGATCGAGAAGGGATCGAACGATCGACGACCCGGCGTTTGGATTCTGGGTTGGAACACTGGGCAGTGTTCCCATGTTTCCGTAATGGAGCGGACCGCTGGTAACTGCAGTGCAGGACGAAACGGTGGTTCGGTGAATAGAATGGAAGAGGGGCAACCGGTGCAGATGCGATGCTGGGCCGCGTGGGACGCACGTACCGAGCGACGTGCGATATGTGGTTAGCAGGCGGAGAGTGTGGAGACCCTGAGACCGTGCCTGTGCCTCGGACACTACACACAAGCGTGCCTGATGCACCGTTGCTCCGCAGAACACCAGAACCAGGTCTCATAGATTCTGAGACATTGCCCTGAACGGACCTCAGACAGGGCACAGACGTTGACACCTGACATTGACTGACACGCGACATCCACGCCTATTCCACGTCTTTGGTCCCGTGTCCAGACCCGATCACAGCGCGTGCCTGGTGGCACGCCTGTATCTGCCCTGTCGCTTGCCTTTCCGCGTCGATTCCGTCGCGTGCTGTGCATTTCAATGTTCGGCGGGACCTGACCTCCACCAGGACACGACAACGCCGGACCGCTGTGCTGCCGTGACCTTCGATCACAACACTGCTCCTTCACCTCCCCAAGCAATCCTCGGTCCCTACGCACCCAGTACCCTTGGTGAAGGCGACTCGGCACAATGGCTGCGGAAAATTACCAGAAGAAAGAGCTGCTCGAGCTCATGAACACGGGCGCAAACAAACGTGAGTCCGCCTTCCCTGGCTGATCTCCATCTCGTTATCGCAAACGTTACTGACACTGCCTCCAGAGTGTGTTGACTGCAATGCGCCTTCCCCGCAGTGGGCCTCCGTCTCATACGGCACCTTCATCTGCCTCGAATGCTCGGGCGTGCACCGCGGTGAGTAGAGTTAGGTTTGCACCGCTGATCGTCCAATTGTCGATGCTGACGGCAGGCCTCGGCGTGCACATCTCGTTCGTCCGCTCGATCACTATGGACAAGTGGTCGGACGAACAGCTCAAGAAGATGAAGGTGAGTCCGCTGCACAGCATGGCGGAGCGTCTTTGATCGACATCGGTATGATCGACGCGCCCATCTCTCGGCAAGAGCGGCAGGCGGCGTCGATCCCCGGTGCCCGATTGCAGAAGCCGCCGCGGCCATCCCCCATCCGTCAAGGGCCAGTGAGGCCGCGAGACCGTAACCTTGGAACTATCTGTTCATTTTGTTCCGGCTCAAGGATGCTCCGGGATATACTCCGCGGAAAGCGATTCATGCTGACGGCAGAACGGCGGCAATGCCAAGTTCACCGAGTTCATGGACTCGTATGGTCCCGAGGGCGGTTATGAGAAGGGCATGGGCATCAACGACAAGTACAACTCGTGGGCGGCTGCTCAGTACCGCGAGAAGCTGGCTGCCGAGTGCGCGGACCCGCCTGTCGCATGGTCCAAGTCTTCTCCTCCTGCCGATGCTCCCTCTCGCCCGGCCTCTTCGCAGGCAACTCGTAAGGCGCGCAGTGGTCCTGCTTCGCGTTCTGGCACGCCTCTCTCTGGAAACGGCGGACGCGACTCGCCTGCGAGCGGCAGCGGCGCTGGCAGCGGCAACGAGGCCTTTTTCGAGCGTCTCGGCAACGCCAACGCTACGCGGCCCGAGAACCTCCCTCCCAGCCAGGGAGGCAAGTACATGGGTTTCGGCTCTGCCCCGGTCGAGGACCCCAGATCGTCTCACCCGAGCTTCGGTCTCTCTTCGCGCAGTGCGCCAACGCTCGATGAGTTCCAGCGCAACCCCCTCGGCGCCCTCAGCAAGGGCTGGGGTCTGTTCTCCTCCGCCGTCGCTTCTGCCGGTCGCGAGATCAACGAGTCGGTCGTCAAGCCGGGCATGGCTCGTGCGAACGAGGCGTACGAGTCTGGCACAGGCGAGGAGTTCAAGCGCTACCTTGGCACGGCCGCCGAGCAGGCGCGCGCGGCGTCGCAGTGGGCGGGCCAGCGCGCCGGTGAGGGCTGGGAGCAGTTCAACGACGTTGCGCGCACGCGCGCCGGTGTCGACCTGAACGAGCGCCTCGGCGCCCTCGGTATCGGCGGTCGCTCCGCCTCTGGAGGATACTCGACTGTTGGCGCTGGACCGTCTGGACACCACGACGACGACTTCTTTGCCGACTTTACCGACGCGCATGACCAGAACGCTCCTCTTGCCGGTGCTTCGGGGCAGACCAAGAAGGAGGCTGCCAAGCAGGCCAAGGACGAGAAGAAGAAGGACAACTGGGACGACGATGACTGGAAGGACTTCTGAGCGCATGACAGAGCGAGCGCAGCGAGCGAGGGGTATGGAGTGCAAGGCATAGTCTGTTGAGACTTGGCGAGCAGCGAGCGATTGCAGAGCCAAGTCTCCAGCGTAGTGTGTCTCCGGAGAATTGGAGTGCAGAGTGCCGGACGCAGAAAGTGCAGGCGTAGAAAGCGTAGATGTCTTGAGCCAGTGTCCAGTCGTACACACAGCATTATACATGACCATATATTATAGATATACCAAAGTCATAACTCATAAATCTCATTATTTGCTCTCAACGAGCAGTTCTGGAGCGAGCGTGCCAACGACCGCATCGTACAGCATCGCCGCCAGATGAGCGTTGGGCCCTCTGTGCCCAACAACGTCTAGGAGTCTCTCATCCCACCCCTCGCCAAACACGCCCATCCACGGCGCCTTGCGGCGGACATCCTCCCTCAGCTGTTCCCACAGCAGGGCCTGCTCCGGAGGGCCAGGTTCGCGGAACTCGTCTGGCGAGGGGTATCCGTCGCAGGGGAAGATGATGCGCTCGAGAAGGGCGAGGATCCTCATGCCCAGTGCCGGGGTGAGGGTTTGCGTGACGAGGATGGGGAGGATCCGGTCAACAACCGGCGAGAGGAGGAGCACGAGCATGCCGAAGAGAGCGAAGGCGAGGCGGGTGAAGAGGCCGGCTCGGTCGATGGCGAGCAGTTCGCGCAGCAAGTGGACCCACGGCATGGCGAGGTGGGTGTGCTTCCTCTCTGGCGGCGGACTCGATGCCCAGGTAGCGTACAGACCACGCACAGTCTGGCCCGTCGCCTTCATCTTGCCCACGACCGCTTTCGTCTTCTGCACGATTGTCCTCCTCGGCTGCGTCACTTCGGCGGGCTCAGAATCCGCGTCGGAGAATGACTTCGGGCTCAGCTGCTTGTGCAGCATCTGGGCCCAGAACCAGGGCATGCCGATGCGCTTCGACACGTTGCCGAGCACGCTGCCTGCGAGCAGCTCGGCGACAATTGTCTTCTGCAACTCCCCTCCTTCGGGCTGGAGACGCAGCCCAAGGGCAACGTAGTACTCGGGGTCGACTGTCCAGTGTCCGTCTTGGCGCGTGACGGAGCGCAGCGGCAGACGCGCATGGTATGCGTCGCCGAGTCGCTCCTCCTCCTCCCTCATTCCGTCCAGGACCTCGTCGATGCCTGCTTGTTCTGGCTCCTCGGGGTTCTGGACGGTCGGGACCGCGTTCGGCGTAGCAGTGGATATGTACGATGTCGCCGGGAGCGGGACGGCGGCCTGCGCCTGCCGCAGCGTTTGGAGGTGCAGCGTCAGCAGCGCTGGTGCATGCAGGAGCAGCAGGTCAACAAGCTCCTCCCTGTGCACATCGAGCAGGGGGCGGAGGATGGGCACGAGCGCATTGTTGATTTCGGGCAGGGTCTGCGTATCCCGCGGCGAAATCTTCGAGTACCACTGCAGCACGTATGCGCGGAGAATCAGAGCGAGGAAGTGGTACAGTTTATCGTGCAACGCTACCAGCTCTGGTGTCGGCGTCTCGAACAGAGGGGGCAGGCATGATGTCGCTGTCACCGAGGGGGACTTGCTGAGCGCCGGCCGAGGGGTGGGAGCAGACGTCGAGGGGGCCGACTTGGCCGAGTTCTGCCTCGTGTTCGGGGCAGCGGAATGCGTGGGTGTTGACGCTGAGGTGGGCGGGGCAGACTTGATGGCCGAGTTCTGCCGCGTGTTGGGTGGTGCGGGGGTGGGTGAGGCCGACGATGACGGCGACGGGAGAGGGAGCGATACGACCGAGGGAGAGGGAGCGTGCTGTGCCTGCAGTGTCTGCAGAGCGTGGGGCGGGGCGAGGAGCTGGACCGCCAGCGGGAGCGAGGTGCGGGCCCGACGCATCGCTCACGGGACCAGCTGCATCAGACTGTGATGTTGATGCGTGATGCCTGATGCTTGATCCCCGAGACGGAGAGGCGGAGCTGATCCTAGCCTGTGGTTGGTTTCGTCCCGGTGGAGGTCTGTGCAGCGCCTGTGTGTACGCGGGGGCTGGCTGCTCCACCGTACCAGCTAATCGGCATTCAACTTGTTTTCGCCGAGGATCACTAAGCGTCACGGTTTGTGATCTCACGTGACTTAGAAACCCGGTAGTCACGTGCAAACCCCTGAACTAGCCGTTGCGTGGCCTTGTGCCCCCTGAGGAGGATCACTCGCGCTACACTGAGTGATTGCCCCCGCCCGACGCCATCAAACCGCGCTAACAGAGGGGCTCGGCTTTGAATCTCGGACAAGATACATAACCACCATCTGCGCTCTCGTCCTTCCATCAAACAACACTTTCTTTCTCTCTCAGCACAACACAAGAACTTCACGGTTCTTCAACTCTCACCACCACCACCACCCCCACAACAACTCTAAGCAACAATGTCTGGTCGCGGAAAGGGCGGAAAGGGCCTCGGCAAGGGCGGCGCCAAGCGTCACCGCAAGGGTGAGTAGTACCACTCCGACATTTCCTCACGAGATGTCTACTCGTTTCTTCACACTTCCTGCCCTCTTTCAGAGCATCGCTGACATTCAGTTTTGCGCGACAACATCCAGGGTATCACCAAGCCCGCTATCCGTCGTCTTGCTCGCCGTGGTGGTGTCAAGCGTATCTCTGGTCTCATCTACGAGGAGACTCGCGGTGTCCTCAAGATCTTCCTCGAGAACGTCATCCGCGACTCGGTCACCTACACTGAGCACGCCAAGCGCAAGACTGTTACCTCGCTCGACGTCGTCTACGCTCTCAAGCGCCAGGGCCGCACCCTCTACGGTTTCGGCGCCTAAGCGTATCGCTACTCGGCAACAACCTCTTTCGACGCCCACACTCTCACTTGTGTTGGGATCCCTTTGTACAACTTTCGTTTTTTGTCTCTTCTCTTTTTAGTTGCCACCTGCCCCTCTTTGGCTGGCAGTGATGCATGACCCATAACAATACAAGTGTTGCAGAACTACGCAGACGGATGACTGAAGATTTACGGTGGTGGTGGCTTGGAGATGCATGCACTTCCGAGTGGCGAGTGGCGATGTCTTGTGCATTGTTTGGTGGTGTGCGGGCGGTGGATGATGGGTCTTTCGGACACGTCAGCTTTTGTGACGCCCTCCCCTGTGGTGGATGTGTCGTGTTGACACTGTTGTGGAGTCAGGTTTTCGCCTAGCCAGCCTGGTGCGCTGGCGGTGCATGGGAACGGACAGAACCGAGACCTGTAGCGAAAGCGCAGAGTAGTCCTCCCCCCAAAGCTTGCGCTGCGGACGGGGCTTTTCGCTCATGTTTGGTCGCTTGCTCGGCTTGCTCGGGTCGGAGACAGCCACAGTGATTCGGACGGGAGCACCCAAGCTTCTCTGCGCCGCGGAGAATTGCCAAGTGAGGCAGGTCTGTGTCTCCGCCTGGCGACGTGAGCTTGCGGTTTGACCAGGGTGAGCCTTCTGAGACTGGGGTTTGCCGAACCGGTTAAGCATGCCTCGCAACACGACCGGATGCCCAAAACTACTCGCGACGATTCGACTTGCAGGAATCGATCGCTCGAGCTTCCGTATCCTCGGTCTCTTCTTAACGATTCAACATCGGTGTGCCGGCGTCTGCATGCATGGCTGTGCTCTCAACCGAGCGCATCCGCTCGCGCGTACCTGCCTGCTGCACCGCGGTGCTGTACAATGGGATGACGGCAGAGGAACCCGAGGAGCATTTGTTATCGCATAGCCCCGCGATTCCAGTGCTGAATTCGAAGGTACGGAACAAGGGGTGCGTTTCAGCACGCAAGGCACGCCTCGACGCTCGTGGCGGAGACTTAGAACGGTGACTTTCGGCTCTGTACTCTCGCCCATCACCTTGGAGGACACTGACAGCAGACTGGAACGATGCTGGGGATATCGGGATACATGGAGATAACTTCAGATACTCATTACTGATCGTCTTTCTAACTAGATCGTCCGTTGCGTCTGCGGATAGGGGATACAAGAGGTGAGCGCGGTTACAGGCCTTCCTTGAGCTTGGCGAGGCCGACCTGAGGCGGGTCGTATTGGAAGGCCGTGTAGACGTTCTTGAGGAACGTGCCGCCGACGAGCCACTTGGCACCGAGAGGCCACATGCTCATCTGGTAGATGATGGCGCCGAAGCACTTGCCCGGCTCGTCCTCGAAGATGAGGTCGGTGGGGTCAAACTCCCAGTCCTTGCCGGCGAGGTTGAACGAGGCCTTGATGTCGGTCCGGTTACAGTCGACGGTCCAGGTGCCGTCGTTGTTGTCGATGGCCCCGGGGACGCTGGACCAGAAGGCACGCACGTCGTCGGGCGGGCCGAACACGAGCGTCGTGCCCGTGTCGAGGATCGCGAGCGAGCTCGGGTCCAGGTCCCTCTGCTTCCCGTTGGCGGTGAAGTGGGGGAAGTCGATGAGCCACGCAAACTCGGCCCGCTTCTTGTCCTCCCTGCGGGGCGTCCATGTGAGCTCGCCGTCAAAGTACTGGTGGTCGACGCCCGAGACGGTCAGCGCGCCGTCGCCCTTGGACTGCGTGCCGTGCGCCTCGGCACGAGGGTTCTTGCGGTTCAGGTAGACGCCGAACACGGGCTCAGACCACTGCTTGTTCTTCGCTTGGATGTAGGGGACGGGGTTGGCAATCTTGCCGTCCTCGTCCGTGAAGGGCCAGGACCAACCGCTGAGCCCGGCGCTCGTCTTGTCCAGCTTCGCGTTCGTCTCGGCGTCGATGACGGCAAACTCGGCATTCTCCGTCGTCACACCGCTGATTCCCACAGTGTCCTTGACGTGCCAGCCCTGGATGGTGGTCGCACCCGAACCGTACGCGTACGAGGCGGGCTCGGATGTGTTGACAAACGTCGACGACTTGGTCACGTCGAACGCTCCAGTCCCGCAACCCTGGCACTTGGTGCTGAAAGCCCACAGTGCGGCGGAGCCAGTGTCGACGAGGAGGGGCAGGTCCTGCGGGGGAGTGCCAAATGAGGTAGGAGCAACCCACAGCTGGTCGGGCTCAACGTCGTGCAGCCTGGTGTCAGCGCGAGCAATGGCAGAGGCCAGGCAATCCGAGGGCTTCAGATGGAGAGTGATACTCACTGCAGATCGCCAGCACGCTTCTGCAGTGTCTCGAGTGCTTCGTTGTCGAAGAACTGTGGGTACTTGGCAGCGAGGTGGAGCTTGCTTTTCTCGAACGCGCCGATGCCGCGCATACTGGCGTGCTTCAGGGGGACGGTGACGGGCCCATCGAGGCGCTTCTGGAAGTTCAGGCTCTCAGCCTGCTTCGCGGGCGCTGGAGCTGCCGCGGCGAGCGTGGCCAGGACGGTGAAGGCGAGGGCGGACTTCATTCTTGAGGGATGGGGATGTCCTCTTCTTCGACGGACCATCTTATAGGGTCGTCCGAGGGTTCCCAGACTGCAGATTGCAGATTGTCGGCGTCGACGCCGCAGCTCGCTCGCAGCCCGGAAGCACCGGCATGGCCGACTGAACGACTAGCGCTGGCCTTAGTGGTGGGAAGCCCTTGCTTCGCCGAACATTGACTGGAAGGACGTGCGCCGCAGCTCCACGGGCATTGATACCTGCAGGACGTACCCCAAACCCAGTGGGTAAGTAGTAATGCACCCTACTGCAGTCAGTGTCCGCATTGAGCGAATGGTGCGCACGAGGTGCATGTTGAATCGGCAGTCCCTCCGACACTCCGATCGATCGACGTTATCGAGTTGTTTTCACAGGCACTATCACTTTGGTTCCCTGGTCTAATGGGAAGCACGCCATGACATGGGCACACGGTGCAATGAGAACTCCCAGCGCGTGACTGCGGGTCACCATTCAATCTTTTGCTTTGGCGCCTTCAATTAACTAACCGATGTGAGGGCCCTACAGCGTCGTATGCATATGCTCTTCTGGAGAACATGTGCTGCGTTCTGGCTTTGGCTCATGACCGCAGCATGGAACACGGACAAGTAGGACGACCCCACTCAACTTTGCTGATTCCTGACGTACAGCTGAGCACATGAGCATGTCATGCTTGTCACAACCCGCACTAGCTTCAAGCTTAACGTCTTTCCGCACTGATGACTGAATCGCAGGGAAGTTGGCGCATCCCAGAGGCTGTGTCCCAGACCGACTCTAGCGACATAGCACCTCGGCACGGCAGATAGTTTATGCTTGTCGGTGCCGTCCGCCGTGGAATGACACCTTTAGCACTCCGAGCGAGGCGGTGACAGTGGAACCCGACGGAGGTCATGTTTCTCGGTGTGTTCGGTGCACTTGTCACGCCAACATTACACCTTCTCTCACCACTTGCGAGCGAAGCTCACGGCAGAAAGGGCGTTTACGCCGACATCCAGCGCTGTGCTAACTTACCACGGCGAGGGACACCGGAGACTCGGGTCGACAGTGGCGATGCACCGCCAACTCGGTGCTCTATGAGGTTTCGAGACAAGACCAGCGTGGGGCGGCACAGACGCCGATGACATGTTCGGTCGCGATGCAGCACACCGTCGACGTCATTGAGACCACGGAAGAGTCATTGCTGAGCTCTGTCGCCGACGCCGCGCCCATTCCTCCTCAACACTCGCCTCGAAGCAGCGACCGACCAAGTCACGAGAGGCGCCAATGTGTTAGCGGCACCTACCAAGCACGGAGTGATGGGTGCCCGGGTACCATACCGCCCTGGGAGGTCGAAACATTCAGCAGGCAAGCTCGTACGGCGGCAGGGCCGGAGCCTAGCATATTGATGCCAGTCTTGGATTCCATCAGGCGCACGTGCAGTGATCACGATGCATCGGGCAGATGTTACTGACTCTACTGCCCACCTCGACCGGCCCGTCCTCGGCCGTCAGAAGCAGCCCACCCGGCCAATGTCCAACGAAACACACAGACCCCCAAGAACCGAGAACTGGGACACAGTTGGCACAGCTTGCACAACTCCTCGACTGCGTCTACCTGGACGCATGTGACCAGTCCGGGTCGTACCTCGGGGGCCACTGAGTCGACGCCGGTCCCGCATCGACAGCAAACTGGTCGTCGGACAGGTGTTCTTGCGAGAAGCGCGAGGGGCCGTACGTAGTCGTGTCGTACGCGCCCGAGCCACTTGAGGACTTGTACAGCCCCGGGCCCGGGTTCGGGTTTGGGTTCGGATACGGCGTGATGAGCTGCACGGGGCCCGGTTCGGCCGTCTCGGGGTCGATCGTGTCGATGACAAAGGCAGACTTCTCGTCCCGCGCTCGCCTGCGTTTCGTGCACCGCCACACGACTAGGGCGACGATGAGCGCCAGGCCAAGACCGCCGCCCACCGAACCGCCGATGATTGCCCCGAGGTTTTGCGAGGAGCCACCGCCGCCCGGGCCCCTGGGCTCTCCTGAGGATGTCGGCGCTACGCTTCCTGTGCGATAGACTGTGATTGTCCGTCCTTGGGCATCGGTGCGCGGTGGGTCTGTCGAGGACGGGGATTCTGTGGCACTGCCGCTGTCGCTTGACGAGGGGATGTCGGAGCTTGGTCCCGTCGTCGAAGTTTCCGAGACGGGAGGCTCGCTCGATGTCAGGGATGATGTTGGAGACGGTGACGCAGAGCTGGATGGCGACGAGGTGGGTTCCACAGAAGAGGTGGACGAGGAAGTGATGGGCGGGTCAGTGACCGACGTCGATGAGGACGTGGAGGACGCAGAAGTCGAGGAGCTGACGGACGTCGAGCTCGACTGTGGTCCGTTCACCAACTTGCAGGTGTCTGTCCCTCTAGCGACTGTAATGAGCGGCGTTTGATCCAGAATCATCCCTCTTGCATTCAAGATTCGCAGCGACACGGCTGTGCCTGCCGCGAGATTGACCTGCCAGCTCATCGCGGTTGCCGTCGCCGGGGCGGTGCCGATCTCATAGGTCGAGCCCTCTACATACGCGACCAGCTCGTATGGCCCAACACCGCCCTCCCATGAGATTCTCTGCAGCTGACACTGAGCCAGAGATGACGGGGTATTGAGCGTGACGATGTCCTGGGCGACGGCGAGGGGCAACACCCCCAGCAGGATTCGTGCCAAGATCATAAGTGAGTGTCGTTGAGTCGGAGGCCGTCGTTCGAGTATGGATTGTTGACTGTCGAAAAACAGACCATCGCAACACCCCTCATCATCAACTCTTGAAGGCATCAGTCATGTGAGCTCAAGCGCATCGGCCCACTGGTAGGAACCATCAGTCGCCGCCGCCGTCGTTCTCTGCCCCCATCAGCAGAGATCTGTTCAGTGCTAGCGCCCACGGTTGTTTGTTTTGAGCCGGTGGCAAAGCCAAGACCACGCATGGACCTCAGCCACCCGACGGCGGTGAGGAATTCTGAAGACCGTTGGGCTTGCTCAGGGCTGCTCAGGCGGTTCCTCATGGGTTCCGAGCGAGGCCCCTCCTGCAGAGAGAACTATGCATTTCGGAAACTGCTACCTATCTGCTGTCAATTTGCCGTGAGGGTTCGCTGAGTCGGTCGTGCACACGGGCATCCGCACACGGGCCGCTATCGACTCGACCTCAGAGCATTCACCTGCACCCCCTAGGCTTCAGAAAGACTTGGGTTGCTCGCGGGACCAGTTAGGATCGTACTGTGGTGGTCTCTGCTCTCTGACAGGGCCTGCATCGATGGCGTACTCGTCCGTTTGGTCCGGTGGCGCCGGCGCCTCCTTCGTTACCAGGAGCGGTGATTCCTCTGGGATCCCCGTGTGGTCGCTGCTCGCCGTAACGGTCGGCGTGTAGGGCGTGACGGGGTAGGATTCCGGCTCCATCATCGCTTCTGTGGTCTCTGCCTCGAGGTCGAGGACATTGGTCGGCTCGTTCCGACGCCGGCGGCGAGCATGTAGCCACGCATAGAGGAGAGCGCCGATCAGGGCCAAGCCAAGAATGCCGCCCACGACGCCGCCAACGATTGCGCCGATATCGCGCGAGGAACCTCCAGCGCTTCCCCCACCTCCACCACCACCGCCAACGTTGTCTCCGGGAGTACCGGTTGTGCCGCCATCAGAGCCGCCTGTGCTGCTCCCACTGGGTTGATGAGAGCCCGAGATAGAGGCCGTTCGATCGCTGGAAGTGAAGTCGGACTGTTTCAAGCGTTCGTATTCCGATGACGATAGTGATAAGCTGTCGCGGGTGGTGGAAGTCTGTAGCGTCTCTTCTTCTGTGGTGCTTTCCTCGTCAGATGATGTACCAGTGAACGCTGTAGCGAAGACGGTCGAAGTGGCGATTGTCCTGGGAGGAGTGATTGTGATCCTCGTAATGGCTGGTGTGGCTGATGTGCGAGTGGTGGAGCTGCGGATGGTGGCTGGCCGAACGGCTCCGTAGAGGGTACAGTCATCACTGCCTGACAGGACAGATACAGACACGGTAGGATAGTATCGCGCCAGGGATGGCACAACGGAGATCGTCAGCCGAGTACCAGCAGGGTAGTCGACGAGCCAGGAGTAGGAGCGCCCTGAGATACCACTTGACGGTCCCAGCTGTCGAGAGGTGCCGCTACCAGAGGTCACTCGGAGACGGAACGGCCCCGCTCCCCCGCTCCAAGTGAGAAGCGTCCGTTCGCACTGGCGAACCGAAGTGGGCCCCGTCCATGTGAGGTCTCCGGTTGTTGACATGGTGGTAGAGTGCTAGCGATGATCTATGGCGAGCGTCAGGTGCTATAAAGATCTCAGCCAGCAAGGAAGTGCCGAAGGCAGGAACGAGGAAGCATGTCCGCACGGCCTCGACCCTAGTTGCACTGGGGCACTGGTTTGAGGTCCGTTCCTCTGTCTGTGGTGTCTTCTGGACCTTGGAGGCTCGGAATTGTGTGCTTGGGCGCTGCTCTGTATCACTGAAGCCTCCCCACCAACACCTCAACGGCGCTTTCGGTTCTCCCTACAAACGAGTCTGAATATGGCGTCGCGGAACCCTCCCCCAAGACTGCGTTTGCACGAATAGGCTCTGAAGTCTCCTATCAATGTCCTCAACGCTTCGTCCCGCACCTTCTCTATGGCTTTCCTGGGCGCTGTGACCACCTCGGGTCGTACCTCGGCGGGTGCTGTTCCCTTACCGGGCCGGCGTCTACGGCGTACTCGCTGGCATATTCGCTCGGCGGTATGCGCGGAGATGCTGGGGAGTACGGTCCCGGCATAGCGAATGGTGCATGCACCTGCTGGGTCTGCAGCGAGTGAGGCGACAGAGCGTAAGCCGTGGGCGGCTGCGCGTCTGAAGGCAGGAGCGGCACCAACGTCGGTGTGCCCGGACCAGTGCCGTAGCTCGATTTGCTCTCGCCCCGATACGGTGTGATCGGGTGCACGGCAGTCTCCATGGCTTCCATGGGCTCCATCGCGGCTGCCGTGTCGTCAATGACGAAGTCCTCTTTCTCCTCTTTGACGCGCTGTCGCCGCCGCGTGCAGAGCCAGATCCCCACCACGACGCCTATGATCAGGGCGAGACCGAGCACCCCGCCCACAACGCCGCCGACGATGGCGCCGACGTTTGTCGAGCCTCCTTTACTAGAGACCAGCTGCCCAACAATTGTCGGCTGCGCGAGACTGCTTTTGGCGACGGTCTTCACCGGAGAGGCCTGTGAGGGGGATTTGCTGGAGGTGGTCGACTGAAACGCGGCGGAAGAGGATGATGACGAGGGGACCGGTACCAGCTCGCAGTCGCTGGTCCCGGAATCTATTGCGAGGGCGCCGGCATACGAGCCTGTGATGCGTTTTGGATTCGAGCTGTCCTCGACGCCGAAGATGATGCCGTTACCGGCGGCGTAGTCGACGCGCCAGACGTAGGACGACTCGGTGATGTTCTCGGCAATCCAGCGATCCGTCTCTCCCGCTTTAAGCATCGATAGGTAGTCGTCTGGGTCGACAACGCGGATCTGCAAGCTGTACGGCGGGGTGCCGCCCGTCCATGTTATCGTCGACTCTTCGCATTGCTTGAGAGGCGTCGCGCCACCCCAGACGAGACGTTCGACGGCTCCCACTACCGGTAGGAGTAGCAGCGGGTAGAGCATGGTGACGGAAGAAGTGACAAGTGAAGGTGAATGAGGTTTGTGGAGTGCGGGCAACCTCCAAATGTTATGAGGGAGCTCGTTCTTATGCACGCGCACGTTACGAGCCTTCTGCAGGCTTAGCAGTCCATAGGTAGAACCCACCAGGCCCTCTAGTAGAGTTCGAGCCCTAGCTTGGCGAGAGGTGATGCTGTTGAGGCAGCCCATCGCAAGTCGCACATCCATTGTAAGTCGTGCCTCAAACTCGTGACCTGATATCGGCTCCTATCTCGCTTCCCTTCGCATCGCCCTCAAGCAGCGTTGCGTATCATTCATGTTGCCGGTGAAACCAATCGTTTACCAGCCATGCATGTAAAGCTGCTTGCTCCCATGTGTTGCATGGCGTGAAGACGGCTATGTTTATCGCACAATGGTGCGTGCATGTCCTGTCTGCGGTGTGGCCGCTGGACATGGATCCCGTTCCACAAATCGGTGTCCCCGGGCCGGTTATCCCACCGTCCGTATCCTGAAGTCGGGCGACTTGTTACGGTATGCACAAAGCACGAGTGTCACTGCGTGCATTCATCAGCGATCAAAGCGGTCAGTTAGGCGGAAGCAGAGAGCGGGCTGACTGAACCATGGCAGAAACCGGCAGCCAGATTGCGCTGGTAGTCATGCTCCATGGTCGACTTGGCAGGCAATTTTGGCATTCCCCCGATTGAGTTCTCGGCTCCGAGCCTGTACCTCTCCACTGTGCGTAAAGCTTAGTAGACTGGGCCACCGTAGGTAAGCCGGAGGAGGGATGGAAGTCGGTGGAGGCTGCCACCTGATTGTGTCTCTCGACAGCGCAATATGCTCAGTATTCCGTTTTCGGTTACTGCTGATATCGTGTCTGTCTGTCTCCGCGGGTCGTGTTGGCTTGCGTTGATGATGGAAGAGGCGAAGGAAGAAGAGGTCTGGCATTCTGTCCTCTGTGAGCCCATCCAGCTCGGTGTGAAGCACATCACCGTGCTTCAACCACCGCTACCGCTGGCTCGTAGACGCTGGACTATGTTGCTGTCCTGTAATCGTGTCTGAGATTGGAGAAAAGACGCCTTGCTGGTTGGTGGCAAGAAGGTAGAATACTGGGCGACCATGGACGAGTTGATAAGCACGTGGTATTTGCCACCCAGTTGTCGACTGCGCTGACGCGACTGTGACACGGCTACGCGACGATCAAGGGACACGGCCCTGCTTGCGCAGAAATCTCGTCCGATGCTCCACCAGGAACACAGCACACAGACCTGTCAACACATGTGGACTGCACATGTGCAGGATCGAGCAGCGATGAGTGGGTAGATGCAGACTGGAATGCGATGTACGTATGCGGAGAAGCAATGTTGCTATGAACACGGTCAGACAGCTGGAACAAGTTGCGGACAATTCAGGCAGATACGAGTGGACGGCCTCCACCGGCGGCTTAACACTCCACTTGTGTTGACGCCTGGCTCCGGGCTGCGGCGATGGGGGCTGATACCTGAGAGGGCCTGGGCTAATCGGCGGCGACATGGCTGGTGGGTGGGCACTGCTTGGCGTGCGTCCCTGGCGCTCAGACGTCACTTCCGGGCCTGTCAGTGGAATATTTAGACCACTTCAACAGCAGCAACACAGCATACAGCATTCAGCGTTAGCAGCGAGCGTGCGGCGGCGTCTCATCTCACCCACACAAAAGATCACCACCATCGCATTCCAACGTTCCCAATTCACCTCTGCATACACCCGACAATCACACCCATACCGTCCTTCCTTTCATCTGACTCCACTTCCCCCTCATTTATTACTGCATGGACCAAGCTGACTCCGCCCACGATGCCGACATTCACAACATCGCCAGATAGCTCGCGGAACGCAACCCCAGCCTCCAGCAGGCTCGACCTCGCCGGCATGTCTTCCTCGCTCGGTGGCGCATCGTCCTCCACTCCTGTTCCCTCCGTCCGCATCACCGAGTCCTCCCGTCTCATCGAGCCCCCTCCGGCAACCTACGGCGCCCTGTCCGACGACGAGGACGCTCCGAAACCAAGCGATGAGCCGCAGAACGGTACGTTTGTTTACGCCATTGTCTAGCTAGAGCTAACAACAGGTTCGGGCAAGAAGCGCAAGAAGATAGGCGCCAGGGTGGCCAAGAAGGTCCGCCAGCGCTCCAAGTACTACGTCCCCGTCACTGAATGGCTGCCCCAGTACTCGTGGTCGCTGTGAGTCTCCGCCTGCTGCACGGTGGTCTACCACGTTCGTGGTGATCACCGGAGAAGCTGCGTAAGAAGTCACGAACGGCGTCGCACCTCTCGACGCAGCTGCACATCGCTTCTGAATTCGGCTGACGACGTCTTAGGTTCTCTGGAGACCTTGTTGCGGGCGTGTCTGTGGCTTGTCTTATGATCCCGCAGGTAGGTAACGAAGCCGTGGACGACAGACGAGGTCCGAGCCGTGACTAACCCACACAGACCATGTCGTATGCGTCTGCTCTGGCTCACCTCACCCCTGTGGCAGGTCTGTGGGCAAGCGCGATCCCGGCCTTCGTCTATGGTGCTCTTGGAACCTGCCGGTAGGACCCTAGCTTGAAGCAGCAACTAACCTCAGCCAAATGTCGATGGGACCTGAAGCATCGCTGTCACTTATGATGGGTCAGATGATCGATAACTTCGTCTACGGTGACCCGCACAGCGTTCCCGAGGACCCTGCTGCCGAAGGCATCGCCATTGCTGTCATGACGACGTTCACTGTTGGTGTTCTTACCTCTATCCTCGGCCTGCTCAGGCTCGGGTTCCTGGACGTGGTGCTCAGCAGAGCCCTTCTGCGCGGTTTCATCACTGCCATCGGTGTGGTGAGTCATGACGGATAATCCGTCTGAACGTGCGCAGTCTAACACCGCAGATCATTCTTATCGAACAGCTTCTTCCTCTCCTAGGTCTCAACCATCTCGTCGACGAAGGCTATGACGTGCCAGAGCTCCCGATCCCGAAGTTGATATTCACGATCCAGCACATCAAGCTGTTCAACCCGTACACGATGACCTTGTCTCTGTCCTGCCTTGCCTTCCTCATCCTCTCCAAGATTGGCAAGGGCGTTGCTACGAAGCGCCCGGGCGGCAAGTGGTTACGCTTCGTCCCGGAGATCCTGGTCGTCGTCGTCAGCACGACTGGTGAGTTATACCGGAAGTTTGTGCTGACATGCAGTGCTGAACAGCATCTTCCGATGGGACAAGCATGGCGTTGACATCCTAGGCCGTGTCAAGACGGACGCTGGGCTTCCCTTCGGCTCGCCTCTCACCAAGAGCACCGTCAAGTACTTCACCGCGACTGTGAGTTGTGGAGCAGTCATCTTGTCAACTAACGACAGTTCCCCACTGCCTTCGTAATGGCTGTCGTGGGTGTCGTCGACTCCATGGTTGCCGCGCGAGAGAATGCTGCCAAGTACGGTTACCCCGTCAGCCCCAACCGTGAACTCGTGGCGCTCGGAGCTACCAACCTCGTTGCGTCCCTCATCACGGTGCCCGGTACTTTGCCCATTTTCGGGTCGGTCACTCGTAAGTCACGTACAGTGTTGTCAGCTGACAATCAGGCTCTCGCCTCAACGGTCAGACTGGCGCCCGCACTCAGATGGCGAGCATTATCACTGCCATTATTCTTGTTCTTGCCGTCTTCTTCATCGTGCCGTGGCTGTTCTTCTTGCCCAAATGTGTTCTCTCAGCCATCATCACAACTGTTGTGTATTCCAGTGAGTTGGTGATCGAGTAATAAGCTGACGCCAGTCCTCACCGAGGCACCTCACGAAATCATCTTCTACTATCAAACCCGAGCTTGGACCGACTTCTTACAGATGGTCGGCACGTTCGTTATCACCCTGTGCTTCTCCATTGAGGTGAGTTGCTTCTTGACAACAGAGGAAGTTGACAACAGATGGGCCTTGTCATCTCCGTTATCTTCTCGCTCATTCTTGTCATTCAGCGCAGCACCCAGCCTCGCATCAAGATCATCGGTCGCAACCCTCACAGTGATGAGTGGGTGCCTATCGACGAGGACGAGGAGGCGCAGGAGGAGATCCCCGGCGTGGTAAGTCTGAAAACGGTCGATCACATACTGAGTGCAGCTCGTCGTCAGGATTCGCGAGAGTCTCTCGTTCGCCAACACGGGTCAACTGAAGGAACGACTTCGTCGAGTAGGTTGCACTACGCTTTTCATGCTAACCTCCAGCTCGAGCTCTACGGCCCGCAGAAGAGCCACCCCTCCGACGTTCCGCGCCGCGACAACGCAAAGGCGATCATTCTTCACATGGGTGATGTAAGTTTGCGGCCGCTTGTCTAAACTGACCCTCGCAGGTCGAGGAGATCGACGCCAGTGCGCTTCAGATCCTGAACGAGCTCGTGCGTGCCTATGAACAGCGCGGCGTAGGCATCTACTTTGCCCACCTGCGACCGGCCCAGCTGGATCTGTTCCACATTGTCGGCATTCCCGAGCTCCTTGGGCCGCACCGGTTCCATGCAAACCTCAGTTCGGCGATGCACGAAGTCGAGTCGCTCGGCTTTGGTTCGCGCATCTTCGGGTCGCGCGTTCGCCTGCGCGAGGCGACGACCTCGTCCCTGAACGCGGCGTGAGGGCGTACCAGATGCCCTCCATGTCACATAAACCCTTGTAACTGTACGACGGCAACGAGTGCGCACGACATCGCGACGACAGCCCCAACCCTCTCGAACAGTAACGACTGCAACGAATACATAGACCAGTAGATAACAAGTGTTAAATGTGAGCGAATGTGTGTATATGTCATCGGTGCGAGGCACACGGCACCGAGGGACGTCTCACCGAGGTCACCGAGACATCGCTTGTCGTCAAGCACGGCACGGTTGTATCGTCAGCACGGAGGCATGCGTGGACGTCAGCCGGCGCGCTCGCGCACGCACGGGGCGCTCGGTGGCGTCCTCGGTCGTGATAAGATAAGATGTAACAACAGCCATGCATTGGAAGGTGGCGATTATAGAACCCGGCACGGCGTCTGAACGCTTCCGTTCAGCGCCGTCCAGCTAAAGTAGTTGCTGTGCTGTCTCTCTCAGCGCAACTGGCTCACTGTGCTGTCTCTCTCAGCTCAACTGACGCGTCCCCTCCTCCCCCATTCTGAGGCCCCTCCTGAGGCCCCTCCTGAGGCCCTTCCTGAGAAGGCGAGCGACGCTCCTATGCGTCAACGTAGAGGTTCTGCTTGTGGACGCCGCCCCATCCGCGGGCCTTGAACGCGATCACGATGAGGTACAGGAGCGCGATGAAGAGCATGATGGTCGTGATCCAGCCGGTGACAACAGAGGCCTTGACCATGTTGCAGCGCTCGAAGAGGTCCGAGACATCGCCGCAGTTGATCTTGTCGGTCAGAGCGGTGAGAGACGCCGAACCAATCATGTACAAGATGAAGCCGATGATGACCCAGACCAGGTGCGGGAGAATGCCCCAGATCGTGCTGTGGCCGAAGAGCTGGAAGCCGACCTGGAAGATGACTGCGGCGTTAGCATTTGACGGGCAAGTGTGGAATAGAGAGGGGAACGTCGCGCGACAGAAGTTGAGGACGCCACACCCAGGAGAGAGGGAGGAGCATAGAGACTAGCATCCGAACTCGCGAACAGTGGCATGGCGATATCCAGCAGGCCAAGAGTTGAACCGCAAGCGGCAGGCAGGGGAGAGAGAGGGGTCAAACGGCGTGCCTCGGCAACTCGGCGGAGGACTCCACTCTCGCCACCTACCGCCGAAGCCCAGCTGCGTCCAGCCTTCTCTTGCACGTCTGCGCAAGGCGCGCACAGTCGTCGCAGCCCGACCTCCATAGCAACGGGGCACACGCATCCATCGTCTCCCATGCCCCGGATGCGCCCATCTCCGTCGGTCCCGCCGCAACCAAAACGCCGCTGACGCCATATGGCGGCCGTGTCCGTGGAATACTCACGAGCGAAGAACGTCGTCCAAACCGAGGCGACGAGGAGGAGGCGGATACGGTCACGGTAAGCACCGGTGTGCTCGGGCGGGTATCCGTCCTTGTTGTACTTGCTAACAAGCGAGGCGGAGATACCGAGCGTGATGATCGAGATGATCAGCGTGATGCCGAAAATGATCGTGTACGAGATACGGATGAAGCGCTCGTTCATGGTGTCGACAAAACTCTCCTTGTTGGTGGTGCAAGAGTGTAGAGTTAGTGGTGCTGTGTCGAGGGGCAAAAAACAACAAGACGAGCGGCGACTCGGGCTTTATATGCTCGTCCCATGGCTCGAGGACCCGCAGACCCGCAGAAAAAGACTTTGCTCCGCGGAAAGGTCTGCGGTCTGCGGCCCTGCGGTCGCGGGCTGGGGGTTGCGGGAATCAGACCATATGGACCCACGCCCAGGCTGGCGGCCGGCGGGCGGCAAAAGACGTCATATTACACCCCTTGCATCCTTACGCTTTTCGTGCAGGCGCTCTTCTCCGCTCGTGCGCTCCCAGCTGCCCGCTCACGGCGATCTCGACGCTTGGCACGGGAGCGCGTCAGAGGCTCAGAGGTGAGGTGAAAAAAGAGTTCATCGTTCGAGCCTCTTGTTTATGACGGACCTGACTGGGCAATGGGCTAACCCAAGTGAGCGCATGGGGCGGTCACAGTCTTGCGTACAAGTCTCGTCTTTCAGCAAGGGACTCTCAAGCGCGGAAAGCAGCAAAAGCAAGGGCCCAAAGAAGGGAGCATAGGGGGGCGTAGGGACGTAGGGGCCGATCACGACTGCTTGCTCGTACGCTCGTGCTGATGGAAGATCTTGACGGGCTAGACCAGGCACCGGAACGTGCTCCTGACACTTCCTGACACGCCTTGACGTCATGGACGCAGAAGCCTCGGTCTTATACCCTACCCCCACTTTAAGAACACGTACACTTTTTGCTCCCGCTGCGGCGAATTGTCGGAGGATTGCCACGCGAAAACCACGCACTCACGTGACTCGAGAGGAGCGGGAGTAAACCAGAGGAGACGCGTGATGGCTGGTTGAACTGTTGATCCGCGCCCGAATAACGGCAGGAGGGGACGCGTTTAGTGTGCCGGTTTCGGAGCACGGAGTATCGTTTAAATCCAAATACACAATTCAGACTCTGGCGTCTGTGCTATTCAGACCCGTGCTTAGCGTGCACTTGGGATCTTTCCTATGCACGACATTGCGCTTCTGCATGCATCGGCCGAGCTAGTCTTGCCTGGCCACAAGTGCCAGCATGCTAGCAGTGCCAGCACCGCCCGTGTTCTAAAAAAATTGCAGAACGTTAATTCGGGACCCAGGTCCAGGCTGGGCAGGCTGGAATCTGGGGTGGCCCGAGCAAACGCGTTGTCAAAAGAATGTCGCACTGACCCACTGCTCGCCGCCTGCGCCGCGCTCTCCTTTGCGTGAACCATTGTAAACAAGGCACTCGGCACAAGCCGGGCACCACCGGGCACAACTGGAGGCACAGAGGGCACAAGAGGGCACAAGAGGGCACAAGAGGCGCCAACTAGCGCAGCGCACTGCAGCGGCCGACTGCAGGAAGAAGCACTCACTGGTTGGCCACCACGTACCCCGCACACCCCCGCAGCACAACACTGCATCGCTTTCGCGCCCTGTCTTGCATTCCTTTCTTGACTCTCCGGCCTTGCTTTACACACACACACACACTCTCTGTCTGTATCATTTACTCATACCTGCATTCATCAACTACGGCATAAGCACGACCTCCATACCTCACGACCATCGCATCACACGCATCAGAGCGGTGCAAATCAGAAGACAAGACCCAAGAAGCTTAACAAACCTCCGAACGCCAGCTGTGCCAGCCGATCGAAAATCTCAAAGCCGCACCGCACCGACCCAGATCCCCCCCCGACCCCCCTCCCGCCAGCCAAAGCCAAAGCACAGCATCTGGCTAGCAAACAGCCCCACACGGCTCACACGTCCCGCGCCTGGCCCACGACTACTGCACGGGCGTTATTCGGCAACGCACACAGGACGTACAACAAAAGAGACAAGACTCGCCCAAGACCTTGCGTCCTCTAGACTGCATACTCCTGTTGCACAAACCTTGCTCCGGGACCGGCCGACTCGGTTCTTGCTTTCGGGCACCTTATCAGTCAAGGTCGGCGTGCCTTTCGCCCCGACTCTAACAACAACCCTCACACTCGACACTCGACTGATCAACCATGAAGACGCCAAGCAGCATGGTCGGCAGTGCGCTCCTGCTCGCCCTCGCGGGACAAGTGTCGGCGCAGCAGGCCGCGGGCTCGTTCAAGGTCGTCGCGGACACCCTCGCCAGCGCCATGATGCTGTTCCTCGGCCCGGCCAACAAGCTCTACGTGCTCGACAAGACGGAGCGCAACCCGACGATGGCGCCCGGCAAGAACCACCCGGCATGGGCGAGTGTGATCGACCTGGACACGTTTGAGTCGGTGCCGCTCGACGTGCGCACCAACACGTTCTGCGCCGGCGGCACTGTCCTCGGCAACGGAACGTGGCTCAACGCCGGCGGCAACAAGGCCGTGAGGGAGGGCGGCCAGGACGCCGGCCCGCTCGGCTCGGCTGCTCGCGTGGACGGCGACAACGTGTACGGCAACGTCGACGGCGGCAAGGCTGTGCGTGTGCTCGACTGCGACAACGCGGGCGAGTGTACGTGGTACGACAATGCGCGCAACTACATGAAGTTTGAGCGGTGGTACCCGACGCTTGAGACGCTCGAGGACGGGAGTGCGATGATCATGGCCGGGTGCATCGACGGCGGCTACGTCAACGACCGGAACCAGGACAACCCGACGATCGAATACTTCCCCAAGCATACGCCGCAGAACGCCAACTGGTTCTGTGTGGACCAGGAGCTGATCGAGCTGCGGATTCTCGACCGCACGCTCCCGCTCAACCTGTACCCGCTCATCTGGCTGCTTCCGTCCGGCAGCGTCTTCATCCAGGTCGGCCTCGAGGCCGAGATCTTCGACTACAAGCGCGGCATCGAGATGCCGATCGGCAACATCCACGGCGGCGTCCGTGTCTACCCCGCGTCGGCCGGAACAGTGACGTTCCCGCAGACGCCGGCGAACAACTGGACGCTGACGATCCTCTTCTGCGGCGGGACGGACAAGGACGGCTCGGCGCAGACGTGGACGGCGCAGAACCCCGAGCCGATCGTGAACTGGGCGACGTCGCAGAGCTGCGTCAAGATTTCTCCCGACGTGGACGTGAACTGGGTCGACGACGACAACCTCCCGGGCGGCCGGTCCATGGGCCAGTTTGTCAACCTGCCCGACGGCCGGTTCCTCTTCCTGAACGGCGCCGGGCGCGGAACGGCGGGCTACGGCAATGGGTCGGACTGGACGGTGGGCCAGGCGTACGCCGACGACCCGCAGCAGACGGCGTACTACTTTGACCCGCGTGCCCCTGCCGGCGCGCGATTCCAGGAGGCGGGCGCCTCGCCGATTCCGCGCATGTACCACTCGACGGCGACGCTGCTGCCCGACGGCAGTGTGGCGGTGGCAGGCTCGAACCCGAATGCCGACTACGTGGACCCGAACAACTTCCCCAACGACCCGCACCCGACGTACAAGTACGGCACGGAGATGCGGATGGAGATCTTCTACCCAGACTACATGGACAAGGCGCGGCCCGAGCCCAAGAACCTCCCCGAGCAGATCACCTATGGCGGCCCATACTTCAATGTGTCGCTGAGCAAGGCCGATCTCGGGGGCAAGACACTCAACATCAACGCGACGCGCGCCGTCATCATCCGCACCGGGTTTAGCACACATGCGATGAACATGGGCCAGCGCCATGTCGAGCTCGCGACCAGCTTCACGACGAGCCCAGACGGAGACGCGACGCTGCACGTCGCGCAGATGCCCCCCAATCCCGCCATTCTCGCCCCGGGACCAGCGCTCCTCTTCATCGTCGTCGACGGCGTGCCGAGTAAAGGCTCCTATGTCATGATTGGAGACGGCATCATTGGGAACCACCAGATTCAGCCAGAGTCTGTCCTCCCCCCGAGCTCCATCTCGTACGACCAGTGGCATATGGGCGCGTAGCGCGGAGTGGACAGTTAGTTATCATGTAGAAGTTTCTCTGTTTTCTCATTTCCTCATTTCTCTCTCCGGACAAATCCTCATCATCAACTCCATCGTAATCCCTGTGTGTGCAGTAGACGCCGTAGACAAAGTATATATTGATCATGCCCTCGTGCTAAATACTCGTGGTCCGACAAATCCCTGCATTCAAATATGCTAACGAATCTACTTTTCTCTCATCTCGGTGAATGTCTCGCGCCTCGCGCTTCGCCTGCGGCTCGGCGTCTCGACGCTCACTGCTTGGAAGCAAGGTAGGCCTTCTTGGCCTCGTCCATGGCGGCATCGAGCTTGTCGACATTCATGCCGACACCGGTGGCGGCCTCATCCTTGCCGCCGCCCTTTCCGCCAATGATCTTGGACACGTCCTGGAGCCAGGTCTTGGCGTTGAACGCCTTGGACACCTCGTCCTTGGGGAGGAAGTTGAGGTGGGCGACCTTGCCGCCCGCCTCGTCGACGGAGAAGGCGTACACAGCCTTCTTGGCGGCCTTGGCCGCGGTCTGGGCCGCAGAGAGGATCTTGCTGTTGCCCTGCGCCGAGGGGAAGGAGGCGACGTAGACGTTCTCGTTCGGGTGCTCGGCAAAGTACTGCTTGATGTCGTCCGTGACGACCTTCTGCGCCGCGGCGGTCTGCGCCTTGGCGGCGGCGGCGAGCTCGGCAGTGAGCTTGTTGTAGCGCTCCTGGTGCGCGAGCTTGTTCAGGACCGAAATGCCAGACTGGCCAAGCTCCTGCGGGATCGGCTTCAGCGCCGCCTCGCGCTCCTTCGGCTCCATGTTGGCGATGCGGTCGAGCTTGCGGCCAAACTCGGCGCTCTTGCGCTGCACGTCCGCCGCCTCGTGGCCCGTCACGGCGACCATGCGGCGGATACCCTTGGCAATCGACGACTCCTCGACAATGACAAAGTCCTTGATGTCGTCCGTCTTGGCAACGTGGGTGCCGCCGCAGAACTCGATCGACGTCGTGGCCCACTTCGGGTCCTCGATGTTCTTCTCAATGTCCTCGAGCGGGAAACCGATCGAGACGACACGGACCGGGTCGGGGTAGCGCTCACCAAAGACGGCGCGGAGACCGGGGATCTTCTGGGCCGTGGCGAGGGGAAGCTCCTTCGAGTACACCGCGAGCGCCTTCTTGATCTCGGCGTTGCAGAGGTCCTCAATCTTCTTCAGGTCAGCGGGCGAGATGGCCTTGTTGTGGCTGAAGTCGAAGCGGAGCTTGGTGGGGGCAACAAGCGAACCCTTCTGGTCAATGCCGTCACCGAGAACGTCACGGAGAGCAAAGTTCAGGATGTGGGTACCAGTGTGGTTGTTGCGGATGGGCCAGCGGCGGAGCTCGTCAATCGTGCAGATGACCTCGTCGTTGAGCTTGAGCTCACCCTCCTCGAGGCGACCGACGTGGAGAACGTAACCATTGTAGACCTGGACGTCCTCGACCTTGAACTCGGCCTGGCCGTCAATGGCAATGACACCAGTGTCGTACTCCTGACCACCAGACTCGGCGTAGAAGTTGGTCTTGTCGAGCAGGATACCGAACGGCTCGCCCTCGGGAACGTCCTTGGTCGACTCGTAGAACTTGGACTGGTGGTAGATGGCCTTGATGGCAGCCGAAATGTCACCCTTCTTGTACTTGAAGTCGTCGTCAGTCTTGGGGACGGCGTCGTTGGCCTCGAGCGCACCGAGGTCGTGGACGTCAAACTTGACACCGCCAGCGGCACCCTTCTTGCCACCAGCCTTGGAGGCCTCGAGCGACTCGAGACGGGCCTTCTCGAAGGCCTCCTCGTCAATCTTGAGGCCACGCTCCTCGGCCATGATCTGGGTAAGGTCGACGGGGAAACCGTAGGTGTCGTACAGGCGCCAGGTGTCGCGACCAGCAAGGGTCTTGTCACCAGCAGCGGCGGCCTCGGCGTACTTGTTGAAGAGAATCTCTCCGCGCTTCAGGGTGCGGGCGAACGACTGCTCCTCCTCATCGAGAATCTCCTTGAGCTCGGGGATCTTCTTCGTGACCTCGGGGAAGATCTCCTTGAGGGTCTCGACGGTGGTGTCGACGAGCGACGAGAAGAAGGTACCCATCTCGGCACCAAACTTGGAGTTGGCGTAACGGACACCACGACGGAGGATACGACGGAGAACGTAGCCACGGCCGTCCTTGTCGGGGACACCGCCGTCCGAGATGGCGATCGTGAGGGTACGGATGTGGTCGGCAATCACACGGTAGGCAGTGTCGATGCCGTCCTTGTCGTCGGCGCCGAGCTTGCCCTCGTAGGGGCGGGCACCAGTAAGCTCCTGGATGCGCTTGAAGATCGGGGTGAAGACGTCAGTGTCGTAGTTGGAGCTGACGTTGTGGAGGACGGAAACGAGACGCTCAAAGCCCATACCGGTGTCGATGTGGGTGGCGGGGAGGGGACGGAGAGAGCCGTCGTTCTCGCGGTTGTACTGGATGAACACATTGTTCCAGATCTCGAGAACGTCGGGGTCGTCCATATTGACGAGGTGAGCAGCCTCACGTCCACCGATGCGGTCGAAGTGGATCTCCGAGCAAGGTCCACAAGGTCCGGTGGCACCCATCTCCCAGAAGTTGTCCTTGGCGTTTCCGGGGAGAATGTGGCTCTCGGGAACACCGAGGTCCTGCCAGATCTTCTTGGCCTCGAGGTCGGGCTCAAGGCCCTGGGCGGCATCACCCTCGAAGTAGGTGACGTAGAGGCGGTCCTTGGGGAGACCGTAGACACGGGTGAGGAGGTCCCAGGCCATGGTCAGGGCGCCGAGCTTGAAGTAGTCGCCGAACGACCAGTTTCCAAGCATCTCGAAGAAGGTGTGGTGGTATGAGTCCTTGCCGACGTCGTCGAGATCATTGTGCTTTCCTCCGGCACGGATACACTTCTGCGAGTTGACAGCACGCGAGAGCTTGGCGAGGTCCGACTTGGGGTCGGCAGTTCCAAGGAAGAGCGGCTTGTACTGGTTCATACCCTGCGAAAGAGGTCAGCGTCACTCTTGATAAGCGTAAACGAGTCGAGACTTGTGCCGGCCGATCATCGGCCAGATCCGACACATCCACACTGCTTATGATTTTTGACTTACAGCGTTGGCGAAGAGGAGCGTGTCATCGTCGAACGGGATCGAGCCAGACGAGGGCCAGAAGGTGTGCTCAAATCCGGGCTGGTTGACAAAGTAGTCGATGAAGGTGGAGCGGACCTTGGCGGCGGGCCAGTCCTCGGGAGAGGGCCACTTGGCGGCGGCGGTGGTGGGGACGGTGGGCTTGGATTCTCTGCGGGACATGTTGCCGGCTGGAGCGAAGGAACGGAGAGTGAAAGGAGTTGTGCGATGGAGGTGCTGGGATGAAATCGAAAGGGGGCGGACTGTGCGAGCAAAAAGCATGCAACCCTCGGAGATTGAACAGCCTCTGGGGGTCGAGGTCTTTGGAGGGTCGAGGGAAAGAAGGAGGAAGGGGGAAGGTGTGTTTAAGCAAGACCAGAACGGTGGCGAGAGCTGATGAGCGCTCACTGTCAGCGCCGACCTTCCAACTTTGGGCATGGCACAGAGATTGAGTCGAGGTCGCTCACGTGACTCGTAGCGACCCAGAACATGATAAGGTCAGCCACGTGGACGCCTTGTCTTGCCTCCACCAAGCCATTTGATCCCGTCCTCAGTCTGAGTCTGGCAGCTGGCAAGATCTCGTTCTGAACAAAGGAAGAGAAGTCGAGGTCAGCCACGCAGAGGTCCAGACGTCCAGGATCCTTCGAGTCCCAGCGGCGTGCAGCGAACAATAGTCTAACATTGATGCAGTAGTGTGGAGCGCAGATAAGTATTATATGTCATGAAGCTAGATGCCTGCTTTATCGGTGGGAGAAACTTTTCATGCAGTGCCAGTCTAAAAGTGTGAGAAGATGCACAGTGTTTTCAATGTGAGGCAGGTTGAAGGCGATGGCCGCAGTCCAAACCAGGCTGGACAAGGCTGGATGCCAAACGATACATGAGAATGGGGCAAGTGTTTTGAGCATGAGCTAAGGACCCAGGAAGCATGGACCAGGGTGGACGGGGGTTGAGAGCTGAGAACAACAACAGGGCTACAGGGCAGCCGGACAGGGAGTGTCCAGGGCGAGGGGGGGTCAGACATCAAATGGACAGAGCCTGTCGAGTACGCGCCATGGTTCCGGGTGTCGGACACCTGGGACATGCTTTTTGCCAGTAGCAGTAATCCACTGCCAAATCACGTTGATTAGGCCTGGCCTTATTACGGCGTACCGGATGGGATAGCCTTTGTGCTAAACGGCAGTTCAGCATCCCTGGAGGACCTGGACCTGACTGCCTCGAAGCCGGACCCTGGACAGCCCTGCCTGAGTAGTGAGAGAGTGAACGAGTGCACAGCGCACGACGAACAAGCTCCCGGCCAGACAGTCAGACGGTCAAACGGCCGCACGGCACACGGCCAGCGGGCAGCGGAAAGGGTGCAAGGGACGGAGAGCAGTGGTGCGATGGGTTGTGCTGCCGTGCCGAGCGGAGTCCATACGAGCCATGCGAGCCATGCCGTGGTCGCCGTTGTCGCTAGTTCTTCACATGCATTACTCAACCTCGGCGCATGCGCTGCGCTCGGCTGACTGGATCTGCGGGCTGTGACCATGGACAAGCTGCTTCCCCGATCTCCCTATCGTTGTCGCTGGTCTTTTCAAACCTCCGTGCTCTGTCCTGTAAGGTCCTGCCTCAGCCGTCGGGTTTTCCTCGCTGCGTTCCCTGGGTCCTCGTCCCTCTCATTCCCTTCCACAGCCCAGGCGCAGCTTGTTGCATGCAAGGAGCGGCCCTCGGCTGATAAACGCTGTGATGAGTGTAACAGGTATAGGGATTTAGTGCATTGTGGGTGAGAAAAGGTAAACATGCATGCATGACAGCAAGGAAGATTGCGATGTGGAAGTGCTGGCGGCCAACCGAGCGAGTCTGCGAGCCCAACAAGCCCGTTACACTGGCTGGCTGGCTGGTCGGGCCGGCTCCGTCTCCTGTGTCTGTCCTGAGTCCCTCGCTCGACGTGCAGCCCCTCTCCCATGCTCTCACCTGACACCTGACCACCCGCGCACTCTTGACACCCTCACCCTCACCCCGACCCTCGTACCCTCGCTCACCCTCACTCTGCCAGCCCGTACGCCTGTACCACCGCAGACAACCAGGCAACCACCACACGTACCCACCCCCTGTACCACACACCGAACTAGCTTCCTCCGACACCTCCAGCCCGCACCGCACGCACACACACACACTCACTCCCTCCCTCACTCACTCACTCACTCGACCACATCCATTTACCCATAAACCATCCATCCCATCCTCTTGCATACTTCATCCCCCAAACAACACTCTCGCCTGACACACCACTGCATCGACACACGCCGCAACCCCTCCATTCACTCGCACTCAGCATACCCCCATTGTGTCCATTCCTCTCCTCTCACTCCCACCATAGCGCCCGACCGTCGCGCCCTCTCTCCACCAAGCGCTATCCTCAAAAGAGATCCGTGCATCAGTTGCCCAGCACACGGTCGCTCCCCAGCTTGAGACTCCACCATTCGCCCATCCCCCTCTTCCCCCTGTCCTAACGTTTCGTACGCCCAGAAGCAGCAGTCAGCTTGCTCGTCAACACAACGCAACGTTTACGAGTCTCCACGCAACTTCCTCGACTACCAGATCGCACTGCCCCCTCCCAGATCCGCTCTGATATCGGTTCGACCCTGCCCACATCGCTCTCATCCGGCATTGCCCTCTCTCGTCTTCACTCGAAGGCACCTCCGCCTCGCCTGGCTCCAGCTTTGCAACCTGCTGCCAGCGAGTCACTCCCTTCAACCTTCACCCTCCCCCGCCGCCTTGACGTATGACAACGTCCAGGTTCAACACCCGTGACGCGACGGCGAGGGGGACTGGATCAGGCGTCGCGGGCATCGCTAAACAAACAGGAGCGCTGGATCTCGGGCCCGCAGGGACTCGCTCATCGCTCGAGGCTGGTACACACCAGGTGTTTGAGCGACGGCCATCCAACACCTCTGTTCATTCCATGCACTCCACGGGCACCAACCACTCGTCTTCCACCCAGCAGCTGCGTGACAGAGAGCTCGCCCAGTCGCCAGCGTCGGTGTCCTCATCCGGCACCCTCCCGTGGATGACCCCACGAGAAGCCTTCAATCAAAGTCCACAGTTTGCAACATCGTCTCTACCAGCCCTTCCAACCGTCCCCGGATCAGTCCAGGCTCATCCGACTCAACCGGGTCCTCCGGGGGGCATGGCGCGGCCATCATCTCACACTCAACTTCCTCGCATCGCACGACCGCCGTCAATAGACGGGGTCAATGACATGTCCAGCCCACGAAGTGCGCCTTCCAGTGCCAGCCCCTTATCGCAGAACGCCCAACACGGACCCCCGTTCATGCAACCACCACCTCGCTCGACTTCTTCGCCAGACCCGCGGTTAGGCCCTGACGGACCAGGCTCATCGAGGAGCTCGCCGGTCACATCGCCCCGGCCAGCCGCATCGATTCCGCCATATGCGCACATGCCTGCGACTGGAGCAGGAGCCGGAGCACAGACCAACTTCGCGGTCCCTCCGCCAAGAGTGTCATCGTTCACCAACGCCGCTGCCCTTACTACTGGTAGCGGAGGCAGTGATGGTGGCATCACTCCACGCAGGAGCGAGACTCCCACGTCGACAACTTCATCGCATGCACCGCCCGGATCTGCTGGGCAGGGGGCTGTACAGAACTACCAGCCCACGCAGCAACCAACTGCCCGCCGATCTGGATCCGTCACGTACTGTGCCAAGTGCGGCCTTGCCGTTCGAGGACAGTTCGTGCGTGCTTTACAGCAAGTCTACCACCTGGACTGCTTCCGCTGCCGAGTGAGTTTTCCGCGTTGTAGGTTTACTGACGCCATCAGGACTGCGACAAGGTTGTTGCCCAGAAGTTCTTCCCTGTCGAGGACAACGAGGGCAGACAATATCCGTTGTGCGAGAGAGACTACTTTGCTCGTCTCGATCTGATCTGTGCGAAGTGTGACCAAGCGCTGAGGTCGTCGTATATTACCGCCTGCGGTGAGAAGTTCCACGTCGAGCACTTTACTTGCTCAGTGTGTGACACGGTCTTTGGCGCCAGCGATTCTTATTATGAGCATGACGGTAAAGTTTGTGAGTACAGTTCACGAGCCTTGTGATGGGCAGGACAGAGCTAACGTGTGCAGACTGTCATTATCACTACTCAATCAGCTTCGCCAATAAGTGCGTCGGATGTGAGACTGCTATCTTAAAGCAGTTCGTGGAGATCAACCGCAATGGCCGAGACGAGTGCTGGCACCCCGAGTGCTACATGATCCACAAGTTCTGGAACGTCCGTCTCGCCTCGCGCAACTTCACGACACCCGCTTCCGCAACTCCCGCGTCGTCGAGCCTGTCACTGCTAGAGATGAGCTCCATGCCTGGGGCAATGCCCGGCATGTCTCCTCAATCCTCGTTGTCTGCGAACGCCAGTCCAGGTTGGGATGCTGAGATGTCCGCGAAAGACCTCAAGGAGCGCCAGATTGCGATGGAGCTCAAGGTGTCCCAAATCTGGCTCGTGCTCTCCGGCTTTGAGGAGAGCTCAGCAGCCTGCATCGGTGACATGCTCCGAGTTGTCAACGAACGTAAACTCCTCGACGTGATCCTACTGGCGGAGAAGTTCATCTTGCACGTTGAGACGCTGTTTGCGGTTATCGACGACCTGGAGGCCCAGTTCGCGCTTGCTGGCGTCAAAGGTAAGTTTCCTATTACACATGGCCGGTGTTGCAATACTGACATGCGCAGGAATGTCTCATGCGAGGGAGGCGAAGCAGCTTTGCCGCAAGCTCGTCAACTTCTTCTCGATGCTGTCTCAGATCTCCCCGCACGCCAACACGATCCCCAACATGCAGGAGTTGTTGACGCAGGTGACGCAACTCGCTCACTACCTCAAGATCCTCATCCGCATTGCTTTGACCGGTGCCATCAAGCTCGATAGAGAACAGAACAATCCCAAGGCCATGACCAACGCTCTGGCTCGTCTACACCTGTTGTCGCTTGACAATGCCGAGCCGTCGCTCCGAAAGCGTGGTGATCACCCCAACCCCACGCCGCCAAGCGATGAATGGAATGGGAACGAAACGGCGGAGGAGATGGCGAAGCGCAGCTATGACCTGCTGAGCAGACACCCTGAAGGCTTCATCCCCAGCACGAAGGAGATTGCGTACGGTTACCGAAGTCTGGCGTCGGAGGTCACCGGTGAGACAACCATCCGGGGACCGCAAAACGATACCTTTGTGCCGAACGATGGCTGCATCACTTGTAACGGCGCCATCGAGGACGATTGTGTGCGTCTCGGCATGTTCAATCGCTGGCACTCGATGTGTGTCGAGTGTGGAAAGTGTCACGACAAGGCGGGCATCCACCACGACCAGGAGAGTGCTTCGGACCGAACGGCTGAACTTGGATCCGAAGGTACGCACGACTACATGGTGAAGGCTCCTGCCCGAAGGTTGCCACCCAGAGTCGACGACTTCTGCTTCGAGCCCCCCAAGACTCAGTACGGACCCACCGACATCATTTGGTGTGTGACTCATCGCACCGCCACCGCCGAGACTGGCTTCCAGTCTGTGTCTCGTCTGGAGCAATTCGCATTCCTCCTCCACGTTGCCCTGCGCCGTCTGTACCTCCATTTCCGCGAGCACCACAAGATTCCCAGCGGTAAGTCACCCACTTCAGGACCCCACGCTGACGGATTCTCAGCTTTGACGCGCAGCGATGCGAGCACCGATGTCAAGCGTGTCAAGTCGGTGACGCTGGATCGCAAGTTGTCCTCCACTGCCCGACTGCCGCAGCGCTCAACTGTGGTGGAAAGCCCAGCAGGCAAAATGGCGGACGAGAACGGCCAAGTTGTGCCTGCGCGGTCACCGTCTGGATCAGTGCCACCCCCAACGATTGAGGAGGGCGGCAGTACTGAGAGTGGCGTTGATGTCCTCCGGCCTGCGTTTGCACGCAACAACACTCAGATTAGGATTGTCAAGGACGAGCCACCCACGCAAGAGTCTCAGAACACTGAGCTCAGCAACATGATGCTGGCTGTGCCTCAGGCCCATGGCAAGGAAGACGACGCAATTACTCTCAGCGATATTCCGACGCTGCTCGCGAACCAGCAGAACCAGCCTCGATCGGCTTTGAACAGTGTTCCTCTGTTTTCTCAGTTGACGCCGCTCGACGCCAGCATTGTCCGACACTTTGCGCTCATCAATCTGACCAAGACTGGTCTCGGACACTTAATCGACGTCGATGACATTCTTGAGCTGCTGGACACGCGTAAGAATCAGTGGTGGAACAAGATTTTCAAGAACAATGGCAAGAAGGATCAAAAGAAGAAGGGAATTTTCGGAGTTCCGATTGAAGTGCTTGTCCACCGTACCGGATCCGACTCGCAGCAGGGTTCCAACCCGACGACGACGCTTCGTGTGCCAGAATTCATCGAGGACATTGTGTCGACGATGCGTCAGCAGGACATGGCGGTCGAGGGAATCTTCCGAAAGAACGGCAACATTCGTCGCCTGCAGGATATTTCCGACCAGCTCGACAAAGACTCGTCCATTGTTACGTTGTCCGAGGAGAACCCCGTCCAGCTTGCTGCGCTGCTGAAGCGCTTCCTCCGAGAGATGCCGGAACCGCTCCTGACGTTCAGGCTGCACAAGCTGTTCTGTGCGGCCGCCACTCTGCCGAATCCGGAGGACCGAAAGCGATGCCTGCACCTGCTCGTGCTTCTGCTTCCTCGAGCTAACCGTGACACCCTTGAGGTTCTTTTCGTCTTCCTCCGCTGGGTTGCCTCGTTCTCGTACCGCGACGAGGAGACTGGATCGCGCATGGACATTGCCAATCTCGCCACCGTCATCACACCAAGCATCTTGTACGCTAAGAGCGGCAACCCTGCCCGTGAAGACAGCATGGTCGCCATCAACGCGGTGCAGCAGCTGCTGGAGAACCAGGACGACATTTACCACGTCCCTCTCGAGCTCATGTTCGTCCGACACGACAAGGTCGCGCAGATCTTTGCCAACTACAGCGACTACCTACCGCCGAAGGAAATGCACAAGCATCTGCAGAACTACCTGCAGCGCCGCTACCCGCAGGGCAACCAGTCCGGCCAGCACCAGCGCCAGCCGCCTCCGCCCGGCGGTGGCCCGCACATGGCCCGTGCCGATTCGAACCAGAACCAGCCGAACCGTCCCGCCGACCTGCGCCTGTCGTCGCTGCCCCCGCCGCACCCAACTGAAGGCAGTGCGTCGGGCAGCCTCCGCGCTCCGCAGAGCAACAACAACTCGCGCCCGACAAGCTGGGGCGCTGTCGCTCCCCCGCCCGGCCCAGGAACGCCGGGCAGCTCTGGTCTGCCGCCCGTTCTTAACGGGAACGCGGCGCAGGGGCAGCCCTTCGGCCCACCAGGGGGCCAGCAGCAGCAGCCGGCCATGTCGATGCCGATGCCGGCGCCGCAGTTCCGCGGCGGCCCCTTCCAGGGCGCAGAGCGCAACGGCTCCCGCCAGAGCTCGCGGGGCAGCGCGCCGAGCTCCCCCGGCCTGCCCGAGGCGGACCGGCGGTCGTTCCAGATGGAGCGCGACCGCTCGCGCGAGCGCGCCTGGACGCCGAGCGAGCAGCACTCGCAGGGACACGCCCAGGGACATCCGCAAATGTCGCAGCAGTCGCACCAGATGTCCCAGCAGGGCCACGGGATGAGCCAGCAGTCGCACCAGATGTCGCAGATGTCGCAGGCGCACGGCCGGTAAGAGTCGGCATTGACTCTACATATCTTCCTTCTTTGTCATTTCTCTCTCTTATTTTTTCTTCCTATCATCAATCAGGCGACGCCTTCCTTCTCTCTTTCCTATTCTTCTCTTGTCCTCACCTTGGGCCCCATTGGATCTTTGGATCTTGAACGACTAGCGTCTTGCTCTGAAGCAAACGAAAATGAGAAGGACTCCCTCCCCTCCTCTTACCCCTTCACCCACCTCGACATCCCTTATCACCACCCACCCCCCACCACCCGAGCAACCATAGTACCACATTGGCGAAATAGGCTAAGCTAGTAAAGTTATACGCGATACCCCCCCTTTCCTCTTTCCTCTTTCCATTTCCCCCCCTTTCCTCTCCCCTTCTTTACCTTCTTTTTCTCTGTATTCGTATTCCGGCGAGTATGCATTATACAATTCGGTCAAGCTTCAGCGAGCGAGCGGAGCGAGTGAGCGCTGCGTACAGGGTTGTTAATACCGAGTGGAGTGAGTGAGTCTTGGTAAGGCTGGATCTACCGCCACTCGTCTCCATCGAGCGATTCCTACTTGGTAACGAAGTATGAGCTCTGCCAGAGGATACAACAGTGTAATACACAAGTGTCAGATGCATACACAGTTTATGGGTGTGGGTCTAGTTCTAATTGCTGCGTGCGTCCGACGAGAGGCGATGGTTTCTTCGCCTTCGCGCTTTTAAACTCCTACGCTCCTACTTTCCTGCTCTCTCTTCGCCTGTTACTCCTATCTCCTGACCTCGTGACACTTTCCCTGCCGTCGTGGCCCCTCCGGTCGTTTCTCCTCTCGCAATCTCCGCCGTCCTCGCTCGGCGTCTGAGCCTACGGCTCAAACGCCTCGGGGCAGTAGGCCTACCACCGCCTAGCCTGCGGCGGCCTGTACACGTTCGGATTGCTCGGTGTCGTGGGCCTGAGTCCGCTGGGCGTCATGGCGCCCGATCCGGGTCCAGACATCCCACCCATGGACGCATGAGATCCCATGGCCCCACCCATGTGTCCGCCCATAGGGCCACCCCGCCCCATGCCTGGGGTGACGGGGCGCGAATTGGGCCTCGAGTTGTACGTACTTCCGCCCTCGCGCTCGGCGGCGTACGCGTCAAGGATACGCACAATGTCGGTCGTGAGCATGCCGAGTTCGCGGATCTCGTCCTGACTCAGCGGCTCGACCTTGCGCGCATTCCTGCGCGCGAGCTCGGCCTGGAACTTGATCTGCGACGAGGCGTTGCGGTTCGGTCCGTCAATGTCTGAATCCTCGTCGTCGGACTCGTTCTCGTTCTCCTCGTCGAGATCTTCCCGGTCCCGAATGCGAGACGAACCGTTGCGCACGTCAACCGCGTTGCGCGCGTTGAAACGCTCGTCCCTTCCTTTGGTCAGCGCCTTGCCGACACCCTCGAAGACGCGCAGCATGCACGTGTCGAAGAGCGTCTTGAGGCGCTGCAGGTCGTCGAGCGCGTGCAGGTTGCCCGTGATAGGCAGCCAGCCGTCGGCCTCGAGACCGCGCGAGGCGACTTGGAGCTCGTAGGCGCCAAAGAGCATATACGTCAGCGGATCGAGGCGGGTCACGCTGCGGATCTGCGTGAGCGCATTGTTCGGGTTGCCGCCTGGCGGAACGTTGCGCGTCTTCTCGCCAAAGGCGTACAGCCGCTTCTCGGCGGGGTTGAACGACGCACTCGGCTCCTCGGGTCCGCCGACTTCGCGCCGGCGCGAGTTGACACTGCTGGAGTGGATCCACACCATCTTGTCCTGCGACGTGCGGCATGCCTTCTCGCTTGTTCGGATCGCAAAGTTGGGCGCGGACGCCATCGCAATAAGCGCAGCCAGCAGCGGAAGCGAGTGGTCGTGCTGCCTGAGCTGGGGGGGAACTTCCGTCCGTCGTCCGATACGTGGGACGTGCCCGCCTGCGCTGACGCTGATGATACCAGCCTGCTCCAGGCTCTGCAACAGCGACCCCTTGACCTGCTTGATCTGCAGCAGCGTTGGCTTCGAGAGGAAGTTGTCGCTCGCGAATCGGTTGGCTGCACCGTACTCGCCCCGGTCGTCCATGAGTGACCACTGGTTGAAGGCGGCCACGACGGCGAAGGGGTCGGAACGGAAAGCAACTGGGCTCCAGCTGTCCTTGACGGCGTCCGCTTCCTGCTTGACGAGCAACGGGGCGATGAATGGGTCGCGGTTCGTCAGAACCGCCGCGAGGGTCAGGGCGCTGTCGAGACAGCGGAAGAAGGAACCAAACAGACACAACTTGCCGATCGCAGCATCGACGGGGAGCTGCAGCAGCACACGACCGAGCGACGTCAGGTTCTGGTCTCCGTCGAGGGCGCCGAGCATGCGCAGCGTGTCCATAGCGGCCATGACACGCGGCGGCTCGGGCGGCTCGATCGTCTGCGCAAGCACGTCCTCGACCTCGCCGAGGTTGAGCGCCTTGACGTGCATGACAACGTTGGACAGGTCGGAGCGCTTCATCTCAACGAGCTGGTGCGGGTCAAGTGACTCGAGACGTCGGCGCGAGAGCAGACCAAAGTACTCTCCTTCACGGTGACGACCGGCACGACCCGCACGCTGGCCAAGGTTACTGCTGCCGACCCAAGCGGACACGAGCGAGCTCATGTGGCGGTCCGGGTCATACCGCTTCTCCTTGACGCGCGCCGAGTCAACAACGTACACGACATCGGGAATCGTGACACTGGTCTCGGCAATGTTGGTTGCGAGAATGATACGGCGGACGCCGGGCGGTGGCGGCTTGAACACCTCGCGCTGCTCGGCGGCCGGGATCGTGGAGTGCAAGTAGTGCACGGAGAACTGGGACGCATCGTTGAAGTTGAGCCCGAGTAGAGGGTACTTGCCCGAGTTGTCGAGCAGAATATCGGCGACCTTCTTGATCTCGTCCCATCCGGGAAGGAAGACGAGGACGTGGCCGTCGTCGGACTGGCGCAGGACGTGCGCAATCGTAAGCGCCATGAGCGGGTACGGGATCTCGAGCTCGTTGCTCGTGATACCCGACGTCTTGACAAAGTTGGCCGGGTCACGCGACAGCTCCTTGTCGAGGTACTCGATCGTTTTCTTGTCGTCAAACACCCATCCGCCCTGGTTGCGGGGAATGTTCTGGAGCTGGCCTAGGAACTCGTCGAGATAGTGGCGCTCGACAGGGAAGGTACGTCCGGGCACCTCGGCGACGGGGGCGAGGCCGCGCTCGTCGGCAAAGTAGCGCTGGAACAGCGTCGGGTCGATGGTGGCGGACATGAGCACAATCTTGATCGGCTTGCGGCGCGCCTTGCGGTCCGCAAGGAGACGCTTCAGCACGACAAGCAGCAAATCCGTGTCGACGTCACGCTCGTGCACCTCGTCGACGACGACGTGCGTGACCTGGTCCATCGCAGCGACGCTCTCCGGGTTCGCGTTAGACCCGAGTGCGCTCTGCATGCGCTTCAGGAAGATACCCGTCGTGCAGAACGTGATACTTCCATTTGGTTGGGGCACCTTGACGTCGAAACGGACCTGGTAACCGACCTCACGTCCGAGGGGCTGTCCACGCTCGTCGGCGACACGCTCAGCGACGGACATGGCAGCGAGACGACGCGGCTGCGTGCACACAATGTTGCACTTGGCACCGTCGCCGCGGTTGATCCAGTCATCGAGAATGAGCTGGGGCACCTGTGTCGTCTTACCCGATCCAGTAGCGGCCATCACGATCGTTACGTCGTTAACTTCGATGCGGGCCAAAATATCGGTCGCCTTGGTGTGGACGGGGAGCGCGGCACGCGTGTCGCGCATCTTCTCGAGCTTCGGGTCCGTCTCGTAGTCGGCCAGGCGGTCCTGGAGCGCCATGCTCTTGGCCTGCAGCTCGGACGCCGAGGCGTGGAACCGCCGTCCAGCGCTCCACGCTGGCATGGTCTGCTGAACGTGCGCAGCAGCGTCAGGCGGCGGAGCGTTGTAGTAGAGTAATGAGTGCCGGATGTCGCCGCACAAGCCCTGGACCTCGTCACAGAGAGCATCGCTCATGCTGAACACGAGGTGCGGGGCCATTCCGAGGTTCAACGGATCCCGCTTGGCGTACTCGACGAACTCGGCCCAGAGCCCTGGGTCGCAGCTCTCGAGGTACTTCGTGACGTCGAGATAGCAGCGGATGAGAGCTCCCTTCTTGTTCTGTCCACTACCCTGGCCAATGTGCCGGCCAGAAACGCTCATGACGGCCTCCCACGTCGTGGGGCCGCCCTTCTTCCGTCCCGGAATGCGCTGCACGGCGCTCATGTACTCGACGTCGGGCTTGCCAAACTTGAACTTGTTGCAGTACCACTCCATGAAGTTGCGTGCGCGGTCGTACGTGAGCTCTGAGCCGTCGGATAAAGTGGCCGTCTCTCCACCGCCAGGGGCATTCGCGACGGCAGCTGACGCTCCACTGCCGCCAGCCTGTGCCTTTGCCGCGCCGCCTTTCCGGTCGAGCTGAGGTCAGCCAAAACAATCCATCCGCAACCTCACTAGTCCATTGGCCTGCAGCTGCAGCACGGCACTGAGAGCCGCGAGCTTCTCCGCCTCCTTCTTATTGGGGCTGTCTCCGACACCGACGATGCCATATTCTTCGTTCGCAGCCACGGAGCATCTGTCGTTAGCTTTGGCATAGCTGCTTCGCAGCTCACCGGAACACTTTCTGACCGTTAACAGAACCTTCGGTCACGACAAAGCCCTTGCCGCCTTCTCCGAGGTTCTGGGCTCCGCCGCTGCCTCCACCGAGGTAGTTTGCGAGGGGCGCCTTGGGGTTCTCCTCCCACTGCTGTTTCAGTGTGACGGGGAACCGGCGCAAGATCTCCTCGCGGTTCAACAGGGGCGGCTCGAGTTGTTGTAAGGGCGGAGGGGGCGGTTTCCCTCCTCCGCCACGCCCGTTCTTAGCGGGTCTTCTGGGATGGCGCCTCATCTTCTTGTGCTGGTGTTCGTGAGCGTCACTGCCGTGAGATGCGGGCTCGGCGTGGGTTCGCTTGCGGGGTTGGGACTGAGCCGCCGAGGAAGACACGGAGCGATCGTCGTAATGGGAACGGTAGCTTCCAGAGGGACCAGAGGAGCTGGAAGGGCGAATCGCCGAGGCCGCTGATCTAAATGCGCGCGAGGATGAAGCGAAGTGACCCGACGCCGTAGGTGCGGGGTCGAGGCGGCTGGCGAGCGAGCGCGAGGACGGAGGAGGGGGAGGGGAGCGGGGGCGGGACTGGGACTGGGACTGGGACTGGGAATGATAGTTTGCAGTCGCGTTGCTGCTGGGCATGAATCTGGTGATGTGTCCGTAACCGAGCGGCGCTCGGGCGCGAGGGGCAAGAGTCAGGCGAGCAAGGCCAAGCAAACTGAAGCCGGTGGTGAGCGCGGTGCAGCTGATCTTGCTGTAGCTAGGGCCTGGGCGGCCTGTCAACAAACGGTTCAAGCTGCCAGAAGAGGGCAGGGCAGGGAGCCGGTGCGGACTTGTGATTTGGCGGCTGCTAGATACGCTCGACTTTGGTAGCGTGGACACGGTCCGCGCGCCGACGGATGTTGCACGCAGGGGCAGACCCGACAGGGGTAGCCGGGGCGGTATCGTCAGAGGGGTCGAGTTGGTGCACCACGTCCTCGTGGGTGAGGTGGTGGTGGTAATGTGAGAAGGAGGAGGGAAGGAAGACGAGGTGTGGTGTAGAGTGTGCGAGGAGGTATAGGTATGACGCGGTAGTCGCATCGATGGCCTCGATGGGACTGCTCGTTGGTGACTGGTGCCGCGATCCGCAAGCTGGATGGACTGGAACTTTTTGAGACCGAGCCTGCTTGTTCCTTGCGCTCCAGTGACCCCGCCTTCCCTGCATGCCTTGCACTTTCCTGGCATGAGCCAAGCCACGCGGTTGATACAGTCGCACACGTGACCCCCACCAACATGTCGCTCACTGTATGACGCAATCTACAAAGGTCTGGGCTGGCTGCCGACTGCCTGTTGTGATGGGCGTTATCCACTTGCTCGTATCAGTGGTGAGATCTGAGAGCGATCTGCCTGCTGCATACCTCTCGGCGGGTGAGCCAGACACGGAACAGTGCCTGGAGACGTACTCCGTCCGGCACACACAACTCAATCGGCGACTCTCGGACTCCTCGGGTCTTCTGACGTCCGCTTCGTCATGCCATCGGCATCAACCTCACGCCTCTGCGCCTTGCCGCTCTCATCTGAATCCGGGCATTCACAAGGTCTCCGGCACGCCCATATAAAGCTTGCCTCGATGGCGGGACGGAGCCCACCACTGATAACACACCTGCGCACCTTACCACTACACAGCAGGTCATCCCCTTGGAGGCTCTTCAACGCCACCGCTTCATCTGATCGTCACACCATCACCTTCTGAAATCCATCAGCACATCCGAACGCCTGTAACACCATGTCCGCCGTTGGCTTCTCATCGGAGGAGTACCGCTCTCTCAGCACCGCAACATATGCGCTCGTCGGTGCAGCCAGCGCGACCTCGTATGTGCTCTACACCCAAGTCGGCCTGAGTCAGGGCGGCGTCATCCCGCTACTGCGCGGCACGCTCGCGCCCAGCGTCCGCATCTCGTCTGCGGATAAGGTCAAGATCTGGCGCGGCTTCTACAATGCTGCCAAGGTATGTCTGGTTGGACTGACTGCACACACTGTAGCAATAGCAAGCTGAGTTGACGAAGCTGTAGCTGACACTCAGAAAATGGCACTCGGCGGCACAGCAGCGGCTGTCCTCTGTGATGCAGTCGTGGTGGCGACGCACCCGAACAAGTGCGTGCGCAAGCTCTCCCTCGCCTCTGGCATTGTCGGCGCTCTGATCGTCCCCTTCACTTTCGGCTTCATCATGCCCACGAACAAGGAGCTGTTCGCGCTCGACGACGAGAAGCGCCTCGAGGGCGAGGTCACCCCCGAGCTTGAGAAGAAAGCAGACACGCTCATCGGACGCTGGGAGACGCTCCACGCCTGCCGCTTTGCGATGTACGCTGGCGCCGCAATCCTGGCGACGTGCGCGCTGCTCAAGGACGGCCGCTCGACCTATGTCTCCGAGGCTGTGGTCTTCTAAATTGCGTCCGCCAGTTGTAGTGGAGAAGCCGAGCTGTAATTGTAAGGAAGCATGCGATGGATCGCGATGGAACGACTTGACCGATCCGCTGCGCAGTCAGAACTTGTGTCAGAAGTATGTTGAGTCCGAGGGATCGTCGCGACTTGTTGCTATCGGTCCATGAATGCATATATATTTAGTGGTGGGCGTGCTCCTGCTCGTACCGGGCACCGCTGCATGTTAGCTCGGACAACGCTCAATAGCTCACCAGTATCCGCACACCCGGGCTCCGGGCTTGTCGAGGTTGATGTAGATCTTGGGGTGGCCGAGGGGACCGCCGCCTGCAAGTTAGCTTAGAAGCACTCTCAAGAATCAGCTGCCAGGAAGACAGATTGAATGGGACGGCTGAACGAGGAGGAACCTGGCTGACGCATTGCCTAGCACCTTCAGAGGAAGGAGCCTCTACGGCCCCCGGCCTACTGATGATTCCACATCCCCGAGAGGCCGAGGGACAGGCGGTTAGACCTCTGAGAGATCAACTCCGGAGGACTGAAGGTGGATGCGATCGCCGTCTCCCCCATCCTCCGGACATGCCTGGAAACGAGCGCACTCGCGCTCTCCTCCCAGCCGAGCCTCCTTCTCGTTTTAGTCCTCTCCTTGCGTCTCCATCGTCGCGTTCGTGCCGAGCCCGAGATCTGTTTCTGTCTTCCTTCAATGTCGACTTACCGCCGTTGCAGACCGCCCGTCGTCCCTGAACCTTAACGATAGGCTGCTCGTTAACGAGGCCCATGGCGGAGAGCGAGTCGGGCTGAGTGGGAACGTAAACCTGCTCGAAGCGGGGGTTGTTGAAGGCGGCGTCCTTGGGCTGCTGGTTCTGCGACCAGGTCGAGGGGACGTTGGGCGACTGGCCGGGCGCGGCCTCCTTCGGCGCCTTGTCGGAGGGGTCGAACTGGACCTTCGGGACCGAGGACGAGGCGGCGCGCGTGAGGGCAGCGCGGGGGACGAGGGAGGCGGGTCGGACCACGGCGCGGAGCATTTTGTCTAGAGTGGGTGTCGTGTTATTGAGCTGCTGGTAGGCGAGTTGGGTAGCCTCAGCAGCGTCGAGCCGGCCCAGCGCCGAGCACACGGTGGGTACACTGGCTACGGTGAGCAAGGAGACGGAGAATTCGGAACTTCAGGGCGTGGCACGTCGAGCCGCTCTCAGCCAACCGGAGTCGTGCAAAAAGTCATTTCACCCACTCTCGCATGCATGCTGACCACAGATCGCCTTATGCATGCATATACGTCTGGAAGAGGTTGGGCTGTTTGTCATGAAAGTGCCAGGGAAGACTGCATCGCGAAAGCTGCTCGGACGGCCGAAAGAGGACGAAACTGAGGACACTGGGCCATTCAAACTGTCTGAGATCTACAATAACAACCTAAGTAATAACCTTCTCCTTCTAATGGCTCGTCGACGTTGGCGTGGCCTGCGCGTTCCATGTCGGCGGCACCGTCACACTGGCGGGCGCCATAACCTTCGCAGTAGGGTCTTCCGTGCACGCAGGCGCTGTCGCAGACTGGCCGCGGGTAATGGATGAGAACGTTGCTGTGGGGTGGGACACGGCCTTGATCTGAACTGTCAGCTGACCGCGACACACATGTAGCTGAAACTCACGACAACGGGGACAAAGCCACCCGTCTGTACCTGGAACTTCCTGTGTCCGATCGCGAGGAAGAAGGCGTTGATGACGCCCGAGTGCGCCGTTATGGACACGAAGGTGGAGGGGTCGGTCGCGAAGATTTCGTTCAACGCCAGGCGCGCACGCACAGCAAGCTGGGTTTGCGTCTCCTCAAACTCTGGGTCCCAGAGCGGGTCGTGCTCCGTGAACGAGGGCTCGAAGTCGAATCCGGCTGTGGTGTCAGTTTCATGAAGCTGCCCTCCAACTGCCGGTCTCGAGCGAGGCACACTCACGATATGTCTTCGCGATCAGGCTCTTGTTACTCCGCTCGTCGCAGGTATGCAAGCCGATCGTCTCACGCCACATCTCTTTTATCTACTGGTCAGTTCGCCACGTTATTCTCGAAACTCACGACGGGGCGCACACCCTTGTCGAGGGCGATGTCGCGCCAGGTTATCTCCAGCGTACTGGCGCTCCGGCGCATGGGAGAGGAGTAGAACGTCTGCGGGAGGGGCACGCCATCTTTGACCTGCTCCTTCCAGCCTTGGTTAGCGGACTTGGCCTGTGACTCGCCCAACGGGGTAAGGAGCGGATCCGGTCCCTGCGTATTAGCATCAGTCTGGCATATGTAGTTGGGATGATGAGCCAGAGTAGACATACCCAGGTCATGTTGCCATCAGTGTACTGCAAGCTCCAGTAGCAGTTCCACGCGGGCGTGCCGTACACGCTCTCGGCCTGGGGTTAGCGATAACCGACGACCATCCCCTTTGATAGGGTCTACCCACGACGTTGTGGTACCCCTCGCCATGTCGCGCGATGAAGACAACCTTATACGTCGTCTGGTCGTCGGCCTCCTCGTTCAGCTTCTTGATGTGTCTGCCGTCAGCTCAAGATCACACGAGACCCAGCAGGGAGTGCCTGCCCGCCTGAAGATGGAGGGTGGACTCACCTCGTGAACTTCTTCCAGCGGTCAGGAGACTTGTCGAGCAGCCCAAAGCTGTCCTTGAGCATGTCGTAACCCTCGGGGTCGAGATCCGGGTCATCCTGCCTGAACAGGCCAGTGATAACGGTCACATTGGACGGCGCGAGGGTCTTGCCCCCGTACTTGTCCTTCTTCCCCTTCTTTCCATGGTGCCCACCGTGACTACCGTGATGCCCATGCTCAACCTGACTGTCGTTGTCGATGCCGTGAGAAACGGAGTTGTTCCTCTCATTGAACGAGGACAGCCCGCGCGCCAACAATGGCAAGGCTGAAAGGAATGCGAGGACGTACATCGCTTTGAGTGCGAGAGGAAGGAGCGTGTGTCGGTATCGAGGAGGGCGGCAGGGGCGCTCCTGGTGTAGGGAGTGTGTTGAGCAGTCGGAGTGTTCTGATGGGGCCAGGAGGGCCTCCTTCACCTCATCCTCGTCCATCTTGCCGGCCGGGTCGTCGATTGAAATGAAAGCTAGAGGAATCGCCACCCCAGAGTTGTGACTTGCTAAGGTGGAGGAACGTGCGCGTCCAAGTTGATCAGATGACGTAACGCGCTCATGTCCGAGTATCGCTCAGAGCATGCCCGATCGCGCTCCCTCCTTCCTTTATGTTCTTTCAGCTATGCACTGCAGAACTTTGACACGTTGGCCAGATCGAGAGAGTGCACTACCTTTGCAAGATCAGACAGTTATCCAAAACAACAATGATACATGCTTACAGCACGCACAGCGGCTACATATCTACGTGTCCGGGGCGGTGTGGGTCTTGATTGCAGGACATGGTGATCATGAACAGAAGGATGTGTAAATGTGTAGTGGCTAAAATGTGTACAAAATGAACAGATGAAGTTGCGTTGGATGTATGCACAGTGAGAGATGCTTGTTGCTCAGTGGAAGAGCGGGGAAAGTGTCGAGAGATCGGCGTGGGAAAGCCCGATCTACATCTTCGCACGGCGCCTGCGGCTCCTAGTCGTAGGTCCGCTCGAAGGTCCGCTCGACGACGGGGCGGACGGCGGCGCTGGTGTGGCGGTCCTGCGGCCGGAGCGCAGGAGGTGACCACCCTTGTCGTCTTCGGTAGCAGGCTCGGGGTCCTCGCGCTCACTCTGACTGCCGAGCGGGGAGGTGGGTGCGGTGCTTGCCGAGTCGGACGGGCTGGCGGCATACTCTTCGCTGGACGGCGTGTTGAGGCGCTCTCGATAAGCGTCCTTGTCGCTGAGCATTGCCTCGACGTGGGCGCTCGAGTTGCTGCTCTGCGAACCGGCCTCAGCCTCGAGGTCGATGTCCTCCAGGAGTATCTCGACGGCCTCACCGATATCGCCCTTCACGCGCGCCAGAACGCCGGCGACATGCTCGTCGCTGAGCCCGTGGTTCGGCGGCAGCGAGGCGTACACTTGTGCGAGCTTGTCGTTCTTCCCACCCGATCGGCGCGACGGCTCTTCCGGCGGCAAGTCACCACGTTCTCGGCGCGCGAGTTCAGAGACGTCACGCGAGTGCGGGACTGCGAGGCTGTCTGGGACCTCGGCGGGCCCAGAGCCGGAGCCCTTGCGGATGCTGTCGTAGTGCTCGGCCTCGGCGAAGAAGGCAAGCCATAACATGCTGTGGCCTTCCTTCGCGTCGGGAACTGAGACGGGCGCACTGTCTGCGCCCTTCGCCCTGCGCCGGCGACCTGAAATTGCCGTTCCAGAGCCTTCCTTCGCCTCGCTGTCAGCATCGTCGCCCTTGGGCTTGCTCTTCGGTGCAGGAGACGTAGACTCGAACTCGACAGTGTGGCTCGTCTGCGAGAGCACGAGGCGAATGCTACGCCGGAAGACCTTGCACGCGGCAAGAAGCTCGACATGGCTGCCATACGTGCCCTGCTGACGCATGTTGTCCACGTACCGCGCGTAGCTCTCCTCGTACGTCTCGTTGCCCCGCGGGTCGAGGAAGCCGGCCACGAAGTCGCCGACGTCTTCGGGGTGCTGCTCAAGGTGGTCGCAGATACGCTTGCGGACCTCGACGTGGCGACTCTGGTCGCCCCAGAGCTGGTCAGACAGCGCGCGGAACAAGCAATTACCGTCCGGAGCAACCTTGCGGATTGAAAGTCCTAAGCGAACGACCTCGGCCCTGACGGCGTCGGACTCGGCGGCAATGCTCTCGAGCGACACGGGCGTAGCTGAGCCGCGCCGCGACCGTGTCGCACGAGGCCGCGGTTCGGCGCCGCCGGTTCGTCGCTGGCGGCGAGGCTTACCTCCACCAATCAGGAGCGATGGCGTGGGCAGGACAGGGTTCATTAAGCGTGCCCTCTTTGGTGGCCGGAGGCTGGTTGAGGCTGGTGTCCGGCTGCTGCCCTCGCCATGCAAAGCGGGGTCCGGGTCATAGCCGAGAGGGAGGCGGGGCATGAACGACTGTGCGCTGTGTGTAGTGTGGAAAAGAGGGGACGTGTCGGGTGAGGTCGAGGGACTGCATTCCCGCGTTGGCACATCAGGCGTCGGGGTCGGGGGCACAATGGAGATCCTGACAGATTGTCTGGTGTGTCGTCGTGGCGGGGTCGCGTGCACACCGGTGCGAGTCGTGAGGGCGTTATGTTCGGGGGACAGTGTGGTGTCTGTAGAGGGTATCGAGTGGTCGAGACCGACGGAGGGCTGCTTCGCAACGCGTCGTCGACCGCCAGGCTTGGTGTATGAGACGGCCATGCGGCGTGGGATGGGTGGTGGCCAGCACGCTGATCTGGCCGAGTAAAGTGGACTGGACATCTCGCTTATCTGGGCGGGCCGGATAACGCAAAAACCTGCTATGCCTTCTCGCGGTCGTGTGCCGGGCACCATGCATCCACCCGCGCCCCCGCGCCCGTACCTCCCCGCCGTCAATACCTTTTCAAGTTTGACCGTCGGAGTCGATGCATGTCACTAGCATTCACAGTCATTCACAGTTGGTGGAGCTGGCTGACTATGCTTACTGGAATTTGCCAGCTCTGCAGCTTCGGCACAGGGCTCCAAAACTTCGTCATGCAAAATCGAACCTCGCAGCCCAATGGCATTGACCTCCCGGTCGCTGACGTCAGGGATCGGCGCCGTCGCTTGTTGGGCTCCAGGTCGACCAGGTCTTGGGATCTTATCTATGCTGCGATCAATATGGCATGTTGATTTACACAATCATTCAGAGCCCACCGGGCATGTGTGGCTCCACATTGCCCTTCCTCGGAGGAAGCGGAGGTGGCATCCTCTGGGCAGCCTGAGTCAAGCCAACATCGACTGACCCAGAGACACCGCGAACATCGCTGCTGGCAGGTGCACCCGCGGACCTGCGAAGGTTGTCACCCTCGCTCATCTCGTACGAGGGCGGTTGGTCGTCGATTTCCTCGGAGTCCACGGTCACCGGAGCATAGGCTGGCCGGTGGCTCCATTTCGCATGGATCTCCTTCTCCTGACGAACCACCTCCAGGGTGATATCCAGAGCTGTGCCGGATCCGAACATTCCCGTGCGGTTGGGCGGGAGAGGCTTAAGAACGTGGTGACCGAAGAGGTGTTGGCGCTTCTCGAGGTCGTGTGCCCTGGATGTCAGCCATGCCGCCGACCTGGCAAGAACGAGGCGACCCGGTCACCTTGCGCCTCTACTTACCACATAGCAGCACCGATACGGTTCGATACCGAGAACAGCAAACCGATGATAGGCAGGCCCTCGAGCCAAGAGGCGACGAAACCGAACGCTGAGGTCAGCCTAGAGGGGTGCGCTGAAGCTCACCTCGGTATCCCCACTTGCGCTCCTCGATCCAAGTCCATGTCTCCTGGTTGTCCATCTTCTTCATCCGGAAGTACGGTTGATGCAGGACCTCGGCGGCCTGGAGAGCACGCAGGGTGGAGAAGAAGATCGGGGCAATGAGGGGCAGCGTTGGCGACAGAGGAAGTAGAATGACTGTATGTCAGCCTCAGATACCCTGTGTAGACTCACAGTTCTTGATGACGATCTTGCTTGGCCACCACAAAAGCCACTTGACCCACTTCTCCTGGTGGTGTGTTGGGCCGCGCAGCCGGCCAAAGAGCTTTCTCTCCGAGGTCGTGGGCTTGGGAGGATCCTGCCACTCTTCGACGTAGCCCTGGTTCCAGAACTCGGCAGGCTTGCCCCTGCTCTGGACAGTCAGGTTGAACGCACGCGACCGGGCGATGCGGAGATTCTTGATAATGAAGAAGCGCATGATCGATCCAAGCTGCGGAAGCAAGATGAGGAGGTGCGTGTCTGTGAAGTGGTTAACGCATTGAAAGGAAAGCACTTGGATCATGCACTGAGTGGTGTTGCCTAAAGCCAGTACTTCAACTCACAGAATAAGAGATCGATGTTGATCGAAAGAGAGCCATGGCCGAGTGTTACGGTGCCCGTCTTCCCTCTCAAGACGAACTTCTTGACGACCCAGTCCATGATACCCCATCCTAGGATCGCATAAGCGCCGCTCACGATCGCACCGCGAACAGACGCATGTTTGACCTTGGCATAGACGGGCTCGCGAATGGACGGATCCGTCAGCAGACGGTACAGTCCGACCACAGAGTACGCCGGAGGGAAGCTCAAGAGCTCAGTCGGCATGTTGTCGACCTTCGATTAAGGTGGTCGGTAGCCGGTGTAGTCGCTCGTTCCCTGTGCGGGTTTGGCGTCTTCAGGAGAGGAACGATTTCGAAGTCCGGGGCAAGTCGACAGCCTGGACGCTTGCAACTACGTTGGTACCCGGTTAGGTTGAGACGGAGTTGACAAGTTCAAGCTGATAGCTGTGCACCAGAGGTGCGAATGTTGCTGGACACAGGGCAAGGTCCGCAGCAACGCGCGACAGTGTGCGGATCTCGGCACGTGATGTCAATGACGCGTCTAAGATCAGCCGGTCCCGGTTCCGCCGATCGTCGTTTCGTTGTCAACTGCCGTTCTTCTCTCCAACTCCCATCTTCATCGGTAAGCTTAGCTGATGGCACGCGGAAAGCTCTGTCTCTTATGTCCACTCTTCTGAAACACGTCCTATTCGATTTGGAACGGATTTCACAATCAGATTGCGGAAGCAGCAGCAAAAACCCGTGCGTCTCGGGGGCTCGCTGAGTAAGTTAACTTTCGAAGCACTCAGAACAGGCAAGCCAATCGTCTAGCACGTTCAATGTGAAGCACTCCCCCTTCGAGATTGAGAGTAGGCTAGAGAGAAATCCTTGGCCCGTTTGCTTATGTGCGGGGTGCGGTTTTCGATCGACTGCCTGGCCGTATGTAAGCTGCCTCGCGGAGGTCTATACGTGATAACCACTGCAGATCTGCGCTGCCCATGCGATCGAGGTCATGCCGTCAGCGGACGTGCGGCATCCGCATTTTGCCTAAGTAAGGTTTGCTAACGGGTCGACGCCCGCCGGCTCGTTGGAGCTGTTCAGGACATGTTCTCGATGGGCAGCATATTTACCATCGTTCTATGACCGCGCGGCGGAACAGGTGCTCATTCTGTATGACTAATGATCACGAACACCCGTGGTCGGAGTAGCAGCCGATTCTGATCAGAGAGTGGAGAGAGTGTGGGGCGTATAGTTTCTGACAAAGGGAAGCTGACTGACAGCTGGCATCCAACAGCCCCTCAGCAGCCTGCTGGCACGAGATGGGTAGCATGGAGAGGTTGAGTTGTTTAGGATCAAGACAGAGTTTGGAGAGGGTCATAAGCATCTGCACCCGTTGCCACATGCCGAGGAAGGGATAGTTTCGTCGCTCTTGCAGGAGCAATCGTCTGAAATAGGCAGAATCTCTGCCTCTGCTCCGAAATCTGATATCCCCGCACCACCTGAACAAGCAAGCCTTCCCTGCGATTGCGACTGGACGCCTAGAGAGTTTGGATTCGTACTATCGTCTGCATCGGCCCCATTGGAGCAATCAGCCAACCGTTGCAGTTCGGGCTGTCGGGAGCGAGCTCGCTTGCTCCAAACTGCGAGCGTTAGCGCAGCGTACTGCCATTAGTCATGATGTGATCGCAGCCTAAGTGCTGTTGAACTCTGTCTGCTCGCCGCTCGGCGTATGCCGCTCCGCTGCTCCGCAGACACTGCTCTCGTCACCAACGATACCTGCGGCAGTCACTGCGTCACGTCCACCTATGTCGTACATAGCATTCCCAGGACTGGCTATCTTGCACCTACCGAATGTGGAAGAACACGAACTGGGCTGAACCGAAAGGGACAAGGGGCCGATCGAGGCACGATGCATCACTGAGAGCCTTGACTTCGGGTTGCCCTTACCTAGAACGGTGCTCTGCAGTCTCTGCTCGAAGCCTGAGCACGCCCTGCTCTGCTCGCACGTAAGTGGCAAGTAGGCGCTGCAGGCCGCTGCAGGCCGAGCAGCCTGGTTCGTCTACGTCAAGGGTCGAGCTACTCCACCAAATGCTTTGGCGAAGATAAATCGCTGAGATGAGAAGGGAGAGCGCTGCTGAGCTGACAGAGAGCAGAGGAAGCCACTCTTGGTATTGATTTGGGGCAGACATGGCCGGAGCATGAGATTTTGCTCCTCTGAACGTGTGAGTTCGGATCATGGTTGATTGTGGTCACCTGATCTCGCAATTCTCAGCCTTGACCGATGACACGAGAGGCTCGAACATGGTGAATAACCGTGGCGTGCGCCACTGTGTCGTGAGGACACCGCGAATGCCTTTGACTTTCATCGGCTATGCGTCTCAGCACTGGCAGCGCGGTTGGTGGAGCGAGAGCCGGGCTGCAGCGTGCACGATGCACCACCTCCAGTCCGGCCAGGCCTTATCTGCCTTTCGGACTTACTCTCCCTCGTACGTTAACATTAAGCTCCCCACGCGAGCTGCTCCATCACTCCCTATCGCCCCAAATCTCTGACCCTGTTGGTACGCTGTTCGTACCCTTCTTCGTTCGTCACATCATGGCATCGAACGAGCACACGAGGCGAGACAAAAGCCGAACAGCGGCCAAGGAGGTATGCGACTGTTAATACGCAACCTGCATTCGATACGCAGTGCGGGCAGCCAGCGTATAAGAGCGCGAAACGGTTCCCACGTTGTTAAGCTCAGGGTTGTTCCTCAGTTCATTTCCTGACAGCGACCTGACAAATCCCTGAGCGAGAGTCTGGAGGAAGCGAGCTGACGAGACATGAATTGGTTGAGATGACCCCCGTATTCCTCGAATGCGCATTAGCGTACGTTAGTGCTCAAGGGATTGGAAGCTGGAGAAAGCGGCATGAGGAACGCGGAGGGTCTGGCGGCCAACTGCGATCGGAATCAACCTTACGTTGAGCGTTGCGGACCCTCTACCCCGATGCATCTGACGCCGCCGCCGCATGGTTGCGGGTTGCGGCCGATTAGTGACGGTGTGATTGCGTGAGCAGGTAGGCGTGAGTGTGCCCGTGAGGTATGAGGTATGATGTAGGTCGGTGGCACAGAGTTACGAGTATGCTGAGGTGAGCACAGTGAGCAACGTGAGCAGTGATGGCATGATACGAGTCACGCTCCTCACGCAATCAGAGGCGATCGCAGAGGCGTCCCACCGCAGAGTCAACGTTCAGTTCCTTACGAATCGTAACGCAGCTGCACGTTAATCTCCTGCATCCCCAACAGGCCCTTCAGTTACGCTAAGTCAGCTGGCTAATTGGGATGACGTCCCGCGTCCATGTGCGCGTCCAGACCTTCCACTCTGCTTCTGAAGTCACGTATTGTTGCGTCAGCCTGCTGAGACCAGGGCCCTTGCATGCATGGCATGCGGCGCATGAGGAGCACCAACCTGCACACGGGCGAGTGCTTATCATGCGCCGTACTCCCAATCGGACGTGCTTACGGTATCCAAACGTTCTGCCGTGCGTGCATCATCTGTGGGGATCAATCGTGCCTCGGCCGTGATGGCCCTTTCAGACCCTTGAGATGGACCCTCGACGGGCGTCAACCCGCGCACCCTATCATCTGGTGCCCCAGTGGCCAACAACCCCCTTGGCCGCCTCTCTCGTACACTCGGGTCAACGGGCTTCGGGATATAATCGTCTACTCAACTGCATTGCTGCGTCTCAGCATTGTCAAACTCCTCTACTTCTGCATCCACGCATCTCTCGAGCTGCAGAACTGCACACCATGTTATCCTTGACTCGTCCTCTTGACGTCCCAACACCCACGACAACCCCTGAGTCCTGGTCCGACTACGACTACTATGTTGTTGGACTGTGAGTCGTATTCCTCCGGCAGCTCGCTAACATTCAAGCTCCCTCTGGGTCCTTCGCGTGCCGCCTCCAACCTCGCCTGGCTTTACTCTGCACCCCCAGTACCTCGACGTGATGGCGCAGAAGCACCCGACCAAGTCCCGCGACGACATCCAGAACGTCCTCTCCCTCTACCCTGCGCGCGTGGCCGCTGCGTACGAGCTCGCCAGGCAGACGTGCATGGCCAAGGGTGCCGACGCCCTCGGTGGCGTTGGGGAGAAGATTATCGCCAGTGCGAAGGAGCACGGTGTCATTCCTTGACCACTTCTCAGCCCTCACAACAACCTTCACATAGACACACGCCTCTCAGCATTCAAGCGTCCTGCTCAAGTCGACTTTCTCACCGACCACAACATCATCGCCCGCATGCTCCCACACAGCCACGCATTGCGCACCGGCGTCAACGCGACGACGGCACCGCTCACCCCCGGATGCGCGCTCGCTTCCCCGCCTGCATCGCACATTTTTGCTCATTTTGTTCGTGTACATTACTCTGTCCAGCAATCTTTTGCAAGTTGTATCCTAGATATCCTGATTTGGTCATGTTTCATCATTCCGGGAGGCCACCGCATGAGCAAACTTGTCCCGCCGTATGTGCACGTCTGCAAACCCGCATCACCCGCACAGGTCGTACAGCGCACGCGCTCCCACCGTCAGTTACGGAGCGCTTCCCAATCTGGTTATTCTCCGCACATCGAACACGGACCGGGAACCTTACCCCGGCTCCCCCCCCCGCTCAACGCCCTCTGCTCCCTGGCGGCATGACTGACGCAAGGTACGCTGGTGGGAGCATGCGATTGCGCAAGAGAGCGCGACTGTTCGTAAGCGAGCAGCGAGAGGAGGCATGCTGTATGCAGTAAGCTGTCTGCAGGGGCTGACTTCCCTATGGGCCACTTCTATGCTGCAGTAACTGACCTGCGCTCCTGACAAAGTGGGCAGACGCTGTGGGACGCATCTAGGCAGATACTGCATCCTTCAGCTGCCGTTGGGCGAGGGGCGCTCTTGTCCTGAGCTGCGGCGGGATCGACGCATTACGCCCAGAAGCAATGATGATCACTCACTCTCCGCTCCACGTCTTCGTGCCTGCGTGCAACATATACCCCTGGCTCTTTCGGCATCGTTCAGCCACCTACTGTCCACCGCCTTTGCGCAGAGCGACGGCAGCAGGCCGTTGCCGCACCGGGAATCGAACACCGAACACGTGTTATGGCTGTGAGCCTGACCTCGCAAGGTCCTGACTGCCTCCTGAAGGCTGAGGATGGCAGGGAGGCAAAAGGGAAGCTTAAATTGCTTCTTTCTCCGCCGGGGAATCGAACCCCGCTCGTCCGCGCTCAAGATATTTGAAAAGCGGAAATACTAACCGATGTACTAGCGAAGATCAGAAGATGCTTCTGTTCGGTTGGGGAAGCGTCACGTGATATACAGACGAAGGCAAAGCCGAGCGTTTTTCGAGCTCTGTTTGTCTGCATCGCCAAGTGTTCAGGGCTGAAGGGCCGTGAGGAATGAGTGGCCTGAAGAAGAGCGAAGGTAGGTGTGTAAGGAAGGGTGAAGCGTGTGGCCTTATCCATTTGGTGGGCGCCGTTCGAAGTCGGGTTTTCCCCTACGCCACGATCATGTCGAGCTTGCAACCTACCTAGATCTAAGCGGCCAGTGAGCTACCAGCAGCATGACACTCTTGTGCTGCGCAATAGGAGCTGTAGATTAATATGAGACCTTCGTATCCTCGTGGAAGCGCCTTGGGTGCTCTTGTTGTGCTCCAGGAACATACATGAGGCAAGAACTAAAGGCATTGGCCAGATGGTGTTTCTCACCGAGCAGTGCCCAGCCAGTGACGAAGAGCAGCTCCTTCTGCAATTCCACAGACTTCATCAGAGTGCATAACTGGGTGTTTGTTACTTGGCATCCTGAACCCCCCATTCTGCCTGCTACGCATCCCTGTGTGCGTACGCAAACCTTTCGCACCCACACCGATGCACACGGGCGCCGCGCTCCCTCTCAATCATCTAGTTGGCAGTAAACGATGACTGTACACCCTTCATCATCACTCATTCCCAAGTGCGTCAAAACCTCTGCTCTGGTCGTCTCGACTCCTTGATCGTCGCTAACAGCTTGCAGGGCACACATGTCGACAGTGGGTGAGAGCTCCCATCAGGCCGCCTCTTCCTCCTTCGACGGATTGGATCACTTGGGTGGCAACGCCCAGCCTATACAGTGGACTCTCCAGCACCCCATCCTCGATGAGAGCAGCAACTCTCCCGATGTCCTCTTCTCCAAGCTAGTGAAGCTTAAAAGGAAGATCCGACTCCTCAAGAAGCGCGCCCTGTTCATCCAACGCGAACTTCGCTGGCTGAAGAACAATGACCACTCGTCTCTCGCTTTCCACCGTATCCGCTTCTACAAGGCTGAGCTCGCCAGTCGCCGGGACGCTCTGGATGAGGCCGTGACGGCCCATGAGTACGCCCAGTGGCATCTAAACGCCGTCGTTGCACAGACCATCTAATCTTATCGCCGGCGCTTCGTGCATCAACAGTTGTCGAAGCTGCAGTAGCTCTGAGTAGCAGGGCCACCGATCAGAACAACGACACCTCGATTAGCACTCAGAACAATGGCAACTCGATTAGGAACTTCAGTGACGGGGATTCTCACGAATAGCAGGGGCTGCCATTTCAATACCATACTCTCTCTGTAACGCATCTCAGCGCCGGTCACTAATGGAAAGGGTACAGAAAGGCCGTTGCAATCATCCGCTTGGCTCGAGGCTTTCCAAACGGAAGTCGAACTCAGTCGTAGTCGAACGGCACGGCCAACTTGGTGATGAGGTCACAGTTAACGTACTGATCAATCTGGTCCATCTGGAGGTTGTACTCGCTGATTGTGGCGCGCAGCGAGTTCTGGAACCGAGCGCAGATCTGCCAGCTCTGTTCTACTTGAAATCGAAGTTTCATGGCAGGGAAACCGAGCCCTACAAGTGGCCACAGGTAAAAGGGGTCGGGGAATCTTGGGTTGCCGATCGTGGCGCACGCAACGCGCGCGGTCTCCGAGGAAACTTGCTCGAGCTCATGGCGTAGTGCTTTATGGTGGTGAGACCAACCGTCGGCCGCATCCAGCAGTTGCGCTTGGAGATTGCTGATACAAGCGTTAAAGCTTCGCCAAAGTGACCTCGGGAGACACTGTGACTCGATGAGCGCCTCCGTAACCAACTCCAATGCTTCGTATCCAAGCTCGACTTTATTGATTGCGCTTTCCAAACGCAGGAGAAGAGCCTTCACCAGGTTGTCCCCGGGTAAGTCGAGGTAGTCGATGGCGTAGGAGGTTGTGTCGGAGTCGCGGGTGTTCATTGTTGGTCTCGAGCAACGGAAAGGCGAACCTGCAGATCGGCGTTCGAAGCGTGGAATCAGAGGGTAGGAGTCGTTGAGCCCCCAACGACGGTGTGGCTAGAGGTTCTTTATAAGCAGCGTACTAACATCGAAACGGAAGATCTCTGATGCACACGACATGTTCATCATTGCTCCGCATCGTAGCGTGTCGCGTGCAGTCCAGGTCCACCGACCAGGCGATCCGGCCAATGTGGCAGTTCTGGTGAAAATGAGAAATAATTTTCAATTCTCATGAGGTCGAAAAGCCATCTTCTGTGTAGCTCTGGGGGGCCTTCTATCGGCCAACAGGGAGTGTATTAGCAGTTTAGAAGCCTGGGAACACATTAATTTTGGTCTTGAGAGCTGGCTGTGTCTGGTAGCTGCGCATCGCGCCACAACGTGATGGCGCTCTTCGCACCTCTACACCCTGACTTGGGGTCGACGAGCACCGTTCTCCGAACGTCCCTGCTTCCTGAAAGCACCAACAGAGGAGCAAAAACGTACATCCAGGGGGAATCGAACCCCCACCGCATCGAATCACGTGGCAACGATGCATGATACCATTTCACCATAGATGTTTTGGATGTGCTCCTTGTCGAGACCAGCAGCGGCGGCCTGACGTCGACTCAAGGCTGAAAGAAGCACGAGAGTGCGCGAGAATGGTGCAGGGCCGATAGCAAATCAAGTAATCACTGTCATCAAAACGCTACAGTTCTGAGTACAGACTACGGATGACGCTGAAGCTGATGGGAGAGTATGGCTGGGCAACGGCGACCCCATCCGGGGACGAGAGAAGACAATTTCCCGATTAGCTCTGAATCACGGTGAAACTACTGGGAGTCCTGTCAAGAACCGACGAATAATCTTGCTTTTGGCCTTGGGGTGCGATGGGAGAGCTAGCACTCCGGCTCTGTCCTCCCCCAGACGAGATCAGTGCGGTCTGTGACAGACTTCGCGGACTTCTCTTTCGAGTCGACTGCACACTCGTGCGACACAGCGGCGGGGCCCATCTGAGAGATGATGTTGTTGTGGCCCTCATCGTTACTCGACTTTGAGCAATTAACAGCTTGATTTGAGCCGATGGAGACGTTGGCGTGGGTTTCATCCGTTGGCAGACCATCAGAGGTAAGCTGTACTAGAGCTTCAAGGCGACGCTCAATCGCTTCGGCGTGGTCGGCAGGAAGAAGTCTCCTCTCAAGAGTCTCAATGCGACGAATGAACTGATCCGCATCGAGAGTGGCGAGTCCGGGAGTATCAGCCTCCTCAAGGGCATCGAGACGCGCGAAGACATCGGCTGCCTCGAACTTTGCCTTGAACTTCTCCAGAGCCTGAAGACGGTACTCCATCTCGTCCAGGTCGACGGTTGTGGTAGCCTTCTCCTGGGCAAGATCTTCAGAGACGAGCTAGGCTTAAGAGTCGGAGAGGGCTGGAGGCCGAAGCAAATGCACATAGTGAAGCGAGAGTTGGCTAGGATGTTGCAGGAAGGAAATGAGATTGAAGTCCTGTTATACTAAGCAAGATTGCCACAGGGCTGCTGCGAGCATCTTCCAAGCCATGTCACTTCAGTAGCAAACAACACGGATAGAAGGCCACCACTGCGCATCACTGATTGGGACACGAGCACCGCCCCTTGTTCACAGCAGCGGCAGCAGCTAGCTGCCCATCACCCCTGCCATCAAGGACCACCACTTCCGAGGGTTTGGGGGGCCACAAACATCGACGTATCCGCCTCAACTCGAACGCGCATCAAGTATTCGGGTTTCTCTGGAACTGCATGAGGGCCTTCCCACGTAGCATCTGGGAGAGCACCGATCGCTATCAACTTGCATGAACAAAAAGGAAGCTATCAGAAGATGTGCCTTGCTGTGCGAGTGGCCTCCTCATCGCCGAGCACCTTCTGGCAACTCTCAACGACTTTTTCAGCCTTGGCGTCCAGCTTCTTCAACTCCTTAAGGACTACTCTCCTCTGCCGACGGAACTTCTTGAGGCTCGCGATATGCTCCTCCAGAGTTTCACCGTACTTTGTGTTGAACTCGCTCATTGCCTCGGGTGTGCCCTCGTTTTTGGCTGCCTTCTCCTTCTCCTGCAGCTCTCGAATCTTGGCCGTCGTGTCGTCAATGTCAATCTTGACTTCCTCCAGATTCGAGGCAAACGTGTTGCGCTCCATCATGTATTTTACCGACTTGTAGAGGAGCTGCTGCATTCTCGTTGTCGCTTCGCGGAGGTTTGCCAGCTCGTGCTGTACGGCGTATCGGGAGTGGTTCTGGGTCTTCAACGAGGTATCGATCCGCCTGACGGAGCTGAGAATGTCCATCGTCGGATTGGGAGACTGAGTGCGGGAAGGGGGCATGGTTCTGTGGCTTGGGTCTTGATTTGGGCAATGGTGAGAGGCGGATATCCGGCGAAGTCGTGAAGTAGACCGACCCCTTTATACGCATCGGATCGTCGCAAGACTTCGCTACCGATGCTTCAACTATCAGGGAGTGGCTTCATGACGATAGCAGAGGATTTTCTGAGCAGTGCAAGCACAGCAAGCATGCTCGATGGTCCCGTAGAGACAAGGCATAGCATTGGCGCTTTGTTGTGGCATGGATAAAAGCGAACCAGGACAATGCCTTTCGCGCCATTCAACAACCCCGCCGTCCACGATGGAATTGGAAGTAGAAGGAGCTGCCATGAGTAAGCCCCACATTGTGCTCGCACCAATGGACCACCCACATCAGTGCATAGCCAGTGCACCTCAACATCGCCTTGCATCTTGTCAATAGTTTCCGAGTCCTTGTCCCACCTGCCGTCCCATTACCAGAGCTAGAGTGAATTCTTCGTTAATCCTCCTCCTCAACCCCATCCAGCTCGACACCTTCCTCCCCCTCCTCACTCCCCATGACAAAGAGCGGCCCGCACAGCCCACACTCGTCGGGCGAGCCGCAAACGCCGTAGTGCCAAGGACGAAATCCGTCGTGGAGCTTCGCGATCTCACTGATGAGCTCGGCGCGGCGGTGCATCACCTGCTGCAAGCTGTTGACACCGTACGCACGCATCTTCCAGGCAAGGTCGATGGAGAGGTCGACCGTACTCTGGCCCAAAGTCTCGATGTGAAGCTGGGCGAAGTTGGCGTTGCGCTCCGCGGCGACGCGGTCGAGATGGAGAGCGAACTCGGCATCTTCCTCCGCCGTCGAGGGCGAGTCGGTGTTGGTGGAGGCCGGGGTGTGGGTGTGGGAGGCGTCCCATCCGTCGTCGTCCGTGTGGGCCCCGACGTCTGCAGTCTGCTGCTGCGGGAAACAGGCCACGATCAGCTCCCGGAGCCAAGCCGCCTGGTCGCGGGGGTTCTCGGCGAGGATGTCGAGGTGGATCTGGATCTTCTCATCGACCTCGCGAAGAGCGGCATGGCGGCTGGCCAGCGCAACGCTAGCTGTGATGTGTGCAATGCGTGCCAGCTCCTTCAGGGCCATCTCGATCTCGAAGTTGGCGTAGGGCTTGGGGGTCTTGATCTCGGGCTCGTCACGGGTCCAGACCAGGAGATGGGAGATGTCGCGCGACATGGTGAGCTTGATGAGCTTGACAAAGTTGAGAGGGCGTGAGATGTTGAGATGCAAGATCGAGCTTCATATGGATATCATGACTACTTGGCGAGGTGGTGGGCGTAGGGGCAGACGTACGTCCGCCAGATCACATAGAGAGTGGTCAGAGTCTGCTTCGTGTGGATAGAGACTGCGCACTGACTGCAGACGGTGTGGAGTGTGAGACGCGGACACACAGCGACGGCTATGGGACGAGAGGGATCCCTGGTCACTAAGAGGTTGAAGCAGTCGGGCCGCTTGCAGGAGCAGCGTGCTCTGTTAAACGGCGCGCAGGCATGAGACGAGACTGCATCACATACTGCGGCGTCCCTACTTAGTCCAGCTTCATATCAACCTCAGTCCACATACCCTCCCTGCACAGCTTCTCCGCCTCCTTCTCAATCCACTCGATGTTCCACCTCAGCTCCTTGGAGTACTCAACGAGAGTGGGCTCGTCCATTATTGTCCACTCAGCTCTAGGATTGACCAGCGTCATACCGCCCTCCTTCCAAACGATGAGTTTCGCAAAGCGGTTGATTCGACACAATTTCTCGCCCGCATGCCGGGCTAACGCGAGGGACAAGTCGCAGCGACCGAGCTCGTACCAGAGTTTCACCATTTTGGTCACAATACGGTCCCCGCGGCTTTGAACGCCGGTGTACGTGTTGCCCCCACCGACGGAGTAGCCGTTCTGGAGCTCGTGGTGAAGCATCTGGCCCAACTTCCACAACTTGGCACGGAGCCCTTCAGCCTCTGTTTCGATTTCGGCGTACCGCCTCGCCAAGACTCTGATATTGTAACTGCGCACATACCGGAGGGTGTAATAAAGCCTCTCCGCGGCCATGTTCAGGTACTTCTCCGCCACGGAGTTGGGGAGAATGAGGTTGACGGGGCCAGGGAGACGATAGACCGTTGCGGCATTATTGTGCAGAGACTCTAGGAGGTCGGAGTACAGCCAGTCTGCGCTAGAGTGGATGGAAAGATATGGTGACAGCGGCTCGAGGGACTCGTGGGGCTCGAGGGAGGCTGGGGCGTCGGCAAGGGTGCACTTTGCACCACGTGCGGCATCTGTTTGGTTGACGACATCGATAGGCGAGGAGTCAAGCTGGATGATGGTAGCGAGCTGACCGGGTTGGACTGGCAAGGGAAGCGACGTCTGCGCGGTAGCTGTGTCGACATCGGCCGTGGCTGCTTTTGAAGGTTGCGCGAGAGGAACAGCCTCGATTTTCGGCGCGCCGATGGGGGGACTGCACCAGCCGGGGGGATGAGCGCTTTCCGTAGGCTCGAGTTTGGCTTGAGGGAGGTCACGCGGGGCTTGGTCCTTGTTGAGCGCGCGGCAGGTGCACTCGCCGAAGCAGAAGCAGATGGTTGCTAGCCAGTCTTCTCCATCGTGTGTGGGATCGGAGGCGCCGGACGCAGTCGAACCGGTAGTCAGCTCTGGCGTGCTGGGGGTGTTGGTATCGTCGTCGGACATCGTGGGGGATACGGCGCCGGGGAACGTCGCTGTTAACAAGTAATTAGTGGAAGGAAGTGTCAGTCAGGGCGACACGTCAACGTCAATGAGCTAGGGCTGGGAAGTCGCTGACAGCGAGAGCAACGGAGGCGAAGAAGAGGCACGCTGGGGTGTGTGCTGTGTGCTGTCGCCTCTGGGGAGTCGAGAGGGATCAAGGTGCTGGGTACGGCGTGGAGCAGTACGATGGACGGCAGGTCTATCGTTAGTAGTAGTGTAGCTATCTATATGCATCAGCTGAACGGTTATAAGGGAGTTGTTGGATAGAGATGCTTGACTTTGCGACTGCCCAACTCCTTGATTGCGTCAGTAGACGCAGGAAACAGAAGATCGGTCAATCGCATCGACTGGAAGGATGGTGGCGGAGCTCATGTGGGGCTCAAACTGGGGCCCGTAGCAGCGCCTGCCTTTCTCCAGCTATGGCGGGCCTTCTTTCCTGGTCTGAACCAGGTAGCCGTGAGAGATGGTCTCGAAGGACGTCAGGTACCGCGTATTGTGGCTGTTGTGAGTTTAGCACCTTGCATCGGCCCGCCCCTACCATTTGTGCGGTGAAGATCATGGGCAGTCACATTTCTCGCCATGTGAGGGACCAAGATCGACAGCTCTTCAGGCTTGCAGGTTGGTGGCGAGCATGAACGCTCTCTCTCAGGTATGGTGATCACCATTTCGGTCTACCCAAAAACCTGGGTTCCCAACACCGCCCAACCCTCAGCCACCAGCACCGCCCCGCTCCCTTCTCACGTCATTCTTCTCCCTTCAACAACCTCCGACCGCTCCTTTCCAGTGCCAAGAGCCAAGGCGTCGATCAAGTTCGAGCCCCAACGCTCGCCCCAACCGATCGTCGTTTTGCATTGTTCGAAGGGCAATGGAAGGGTGAGGAACAACAGTGCACAACGATGCCACCCTAGATTCGCCAGCTCGGCCAGCCATGGCCAGCCACGGGCACGGGGCGCTGATCTGCTTGATTGTTTCACGGTCCTGTGCTTGCGCGTCGTTTCTGGTCCTGCTTGAGGTTGTGCCACTGATGATCTGAGCCGTTGGACGGAACATGAGCGGTGGTGAGCGGAAAGTCGGAATCGCGATGAGTGAGAGTAGATGTCGATCTTGGTCTCCAATCTGGACAGACTCGGCCGACTCAGCTATGGTCGACACCATTCCGTGACAGGATGAACCATAGATATGGACCAGCTGAAAGCCGAAGAACATTATCGAGTGTTACTCGGGTGACAAGTTGTCTTGGTCTAGTTCCTTTCAGACCCCAAGCTGGTGGCTGTTGTGAGCGCCATGAAACACTCCGCCTCAATGGCGGGGCACCAAGTTGCACCGCCGATAAGGCTGAATGCAGTCGCAGAGATAAGAGGTGGAAGGCGGTGCTGGCGGTGTGCGCTGGAATGCGAGTTGAAATGGAAGACATGGGATGTATGCTTAACGCCGTATGCAGTGGGTCGTCCCCGATCGGTCGGTCGGGTCTGGCCACTGCTTCCAAAGGGAGATCCGCGATCTGCAGGAGACGAGTGCTTTGCTTAATGTCGCAGATTGTCCAGGTGACCACAAAATGTGATCAAATTATGGCCGAGGACGGGGACAGTGGTTCGCAATTGTTGCGGTCGCTGGCCGAAGAACGTGGGTATGCAGAGTGAGACGTGATTGAGATCAGATCGATGCATTTCGATCTCTTCTGGCTTCGGAGCCTACAGAGCCGCCAAGACGCTAAGCTGGCTTGAGGCGAGTTGCACGGTCATGGGACCAGTGTCTAGGTATTCTGCACTGCCTGTGACCCGAACAACAACGAGCGCATTCCTCACGGCCTAACGATGAGCCGGGTCACTGGAGGGTCACGCGATTCTGAAGGAGAGGGTCGACAGTCTTTGCAACGTTGATCCGGAGGTTCAGGGGCAGGGCGGCCAAGGCACTCCACTCACGTACTCGCGGCTGATCGGCTCTCAGTGAACAGCGAACAGGGCAGGCGGCCGCCCGAAGCACTGGCCCGGCTGACTAATGCTCTGTAGCATGGTGCGCAATTGTGCGGTGACCTGCGGGGTTGGTGGAGAGTGCATCGGTGTTGGCCGATACGGTTCGTATGATCGCAATGTCGTTATGCAAACGAAGCGCGCAGCCGGATCGTATGATCGGGGGCTGGCAGCTGAGGCAGCCGAGCAGATGATCACGACAGCCCAAGGGGTTGGGGCGATGTTACATTTGAGGTGTCACAGCCTTGATTGCTGGGGTGGCAGCGCTCTCAGGTGAATGGGATAATGCACGCTCACCTCTACTCAGCTTCTAGGGCTGTCGGAATCCACCGGTTCGTCAACAAGCCGCACAGCCGACCCAAGCGAGTTTGCGGAGTCAAGAAGAAGAGAAGACTCAACAGGCGGCAAGCCCCGAGGCTCCTGGCGCTCCGCGGGCAAGCCAACTTGAGCCGACCGTCCCAAAAATCCAGAGCCCCAGATCCGGTTCAGCGGCTCTGTCGTCCACCGAAGGAACCTCAGGAGGGCATAGCGGCCAAGGTCGTATCGGGCCAGATGAGTCATGTCAGTCGCGACGTTCAGGCCGCCTGGTAGATCGCAGGGCGCCCGAGCGACAGGGAACAATCAACCTGGCCGCACACATGCATGCAGCCTGTCTGGTCTGTTTCCCGGCGGCCCAGCCCATGGGCATGCATGCATGCTGAGGCCATGCTGAGGCGTCGAGGGACAGGACGAGACGCCGCACACGGCATACGGCGCAACCCAACAGGCAGGCCAGGCAGGGCTGCACAGGAATCGGACAGGAATGCATGCGCAAAGAAGCCGCGCGCCCCCTCTCAGCATCCCCTTGGGTGCCCTGGACACGGAAGCTAAACTGGGCAGCATTTGGCCGTGCCTGACGCCCTGACCTTACGATGACGCTCCTAGGCCAGTTTCAGCAGTCTTGGCATATTGGCATCCTGGCGGTGGCTCGCGTCTATGAATCGATCAAGGCATCTCACCGCAAGCACTCTGCAACGGCGCTGGACACACAGTGACGCTGCCTCTTGCACTGCTCTCCGCTGCTGTCTTCGTCCTCTGCCCCTTCGCCACCGTCCAGACTCTCACATCTTCCTTCGCCTTCTCGGCACCCCTTCCGCGCCAGCGACTCTCTCCAGACATACGCACGGATCACGCGTCCACTCATAGCACGACCTGCGGCCCAACCTTTATAAAGAAAACATCCTCCCCTGTCCACTCGCCACCCTTCAACCCTTCAAACTTTTTCCGTTAAACGCTTGCTACATCAAACCCGTGCGACTCCATCACCCCATAACACGCAATGGCCGGTCTCTCCAGAATCCACACGTTCTTCCTCGGCGGCCTCGCTCTGTGGGCTCTCATCACCTGGTGCATTGCCGCCGGTCTCGTCAACAAGTACCGTGGCCACTACGACTCGGCCAACGCTGTCCTCGCCTGGGGAATCATCTCGTGGCTCTGGTACCTCGTCTAGTAAGCTAATGCAACATTCCGACACCAGCTAACTAGTCCAGCCTCGGTATCCTCCTCTTCGTTAGCACTACGACATGGGCCACTGCCATCATTGTTGAGATTGCCGTCGGCTTCTTCCTCTTCGTCTTCGGCATTGCGGCGGTCGGTTCTACCTCTTCCGCCGCCGATGCCTTCCGCTGGTGGGGTGGTTCCCTGGGCAGGTGAGTCAAAAAGTTGTCGGGAGCGGCATGAGCGACTTTGGAAGTCGGTGCCTTCCTCCTCTGGGCCCTCGCAGTGTCCGTTGTGTATATCGAAGTTCTCAGAGACACCTAGCTGACATCGCACAGCCTCGGGCAGGCTACTCTTGCGTTCGGATGGATCCTCGTCATTGCGCAGCTCGCGTACATCGTCTTCCTCATCGTGTACCTCGCCAAGGGCCACGGCTTCGCTCAGCAGACTCTCCGCACGTCCTTCCACGACCTGTCCGAGTACGGCTCGGGCGCTGGTACTGGCGGCGGCGTCGTTGAGAAGCCGACCGAGCTTTCGACCGTCCCTGCCCCTGCGCCGGTGACGGCCACGGTCTAAGAGGGAGGGAAGAAGGATCTCTGTACTTCGAGTCGTCGACGTGTTTTCGCTTTCTATCATACGCTGCCCAACAAGCACATCTTAACATTGAGTCAGGTCTGACCCCATATAATACATCTGGCCGTCCGCTGCGCACCAGCAGACCAACGTCTATCAAGGCAAGAGCCCGTAATTCCCGAGCAAGGTTGTGGTACCAGGCAGAAAAAGGCAGGTCATACACGCGCCGCCATAGGTACCAGCAGATTATGCATGGAGATGGAATAGAGTCACTCGTCGCGTTCACCTCGGTGACAAGACCTGACATTCGCGACACGACCTCCGGCTTCCACGTTCGGACAGCCGAGCCAGAACGCAGAACGATTCGACGAGAGTCGCGTCTGTCTGTTATTGTCTGGGCGTGCGTCGCCGCAGGAGGGAAGGTTGCTTGCGGCCAAAACAGGCTCAGGCTCAGGCACTGACCCTAGGCACGTTCCGGATCCGGTACAGGGGGGCACAGGGCACATCGGCTCCTCCGTCGGTTCTCACCGGGTCCGACAGCTCGCGACAGATTGATGGCCAGGGGTGTGCTCACCGGGAACGGACATTCAGGTTGATTGGACTCTGCAGAGCGAACAGAGGCTAAGCCGAGCGTGGAGCAGAGAGGCGGAGGAGAAGGCTGTGGCCACTGCGTGGTGGAGAAACGACAGTCCGCAGCTGTGAAACTTGAAACCATAGTGGGGCTGCTCGAAGAAGGTGAGGTGGCGAAAGCACGTGAGCTCGACGGAAATGACCGACAACTCGTGACCTTGTTTGCGCAGCGAGAATGAGAACAAAAGAAGGCAGTCGAAGACACAAGTTGACACTAACGCTAGCCCCATGCCCATCACTCATTCCCCGAGCACATGGTGACATCCCTCCGTGCCCTCCGAGGAGGTCCGCATCCGCCTCCGCCCCGCAGCGACGGACCGCACGGCCTCGATTCTACGGACCAGCGGACCTTCCTTCTGTGTTTACAGTGGCTTCTTTGTTTGACAGCGCCCCTTCCTCATTCTTCTCACTGAGCACAACATTGACTTGACTTTATACCATTGCCAGTATGACCATCAACACGACGCCCAAGCTGTCAGAGGAAGCTAGAGCCGCCCTCGACGCTGTTCTCGTCCAACACTTGAAGACCACGCCCGCCGTCGCCTTCGGCGTCACGACCAAGGATGGCATCATCTACACTGGATACCGCGGCGACCGCGTGTACAGCAAACCGGAGGAAGGCCAGGTCGACGAGACCACTAGTACGTCGATATTGGAGCATCTTGCTGTAATGCAAAAGCACTTGCCCGAGCTCCTGAGACGAGATTGATCAACTGACTTCCAGCGTACCAGATCTACTCCATGACGAAGCTCGTTGCTTCCCTTGCTGTGCTGCAACAAGTCGAAGCAGGCGTACTGTCCTACGACGATCCCGCCATCGTCCAGAAGTATGCCCCCGAACTCGTGAAGCAGAGGATCCTTCTTTCCTACAATGAGGAAACCAAGGAAGCCAAGTTTGCCGACCTCGAACGTCCCCCAACGCTCCGTGACCTCGTAACCCACACAAGCGGGCAGGTGTACTTCTTCTTCGACCCCAAGCTGTACGCATACGACAGAGACCACGGGTTGCTCGCCATGTTTGGATCTGAGACGGGGCAGTTCGCCCAGCCCTTCCTCTTCTCTCCAGGCACCAGGTTGGCGTACGGTACCGGACTTGACTGGGCTGGTATCATCCTCGAGCGAGCGACGGGACAAGACCTCGAGAGCTACTTCAGGCAGCACATTTTCGACCCGCTTGGGTTGTCTCAGAACACAACGTTCCACAACACCCCCGAAGTCGTCGCGAAGAGACAACACACCGTCTTCCGCCAGCCTGACGGGAGCCTGGTCCTCGGCAAGCCGCAACGTCCCATCGATGTCGAGGTTAAGGGGCAGCTCTCGGGCGGCGCCGGGCTTTGGTCAACAATGGACGACTACCTACTCCTGCTCCGAGGCGTGCTTCGCGCCAAGCAGCCCGGGGGCATAGTCTCTCCTTTTGGCTTTGAGCTCTTGTTCAAGGACGCACTGCCCGCCGATACGCCAGGAGGGCCCCAATGCCACGCCGAGCTCTCCGCGTTCCTGGAGGTGCTTGCGTCCTTTTCCTCCCTCGAGCATCCCGCCAGTGTGGGACACAGTATTGCCTGCGTCGTCAACTTGTCTGACACAAAGGGACGCAAGGCAGGTAGCGGAGCGTGGGGCGGCGCAGCCAACACGCAGTGGTGCATCGATCCGACTACAGGCATCGGGGTAAGCTTACAGCATGGAGTCAGCTGACACCAGTTTGTGGTCATGACACAGATCGAGCGCGCGCTCGTCAGCGGGCTCGCGACAGAGATGGGGACAGAACCCTTTGCGGAGTGCTGGAAGGAGCTCGAGCAGGTGCTTTTCCAGCATCTGGCGTGAGCGGAAGACGGGGTTGACGAGCTCCGCACATTCTTCAATGGAAGTTTGGGATATTAGTCGGTGACAGAGCGACCTTGAAACATTCGTGACAGCTCAGAACCGCAAACTAGGAACAGAAACACACATGCAGAGCCGCCCACGGTCAACTATAAGACTTGCTGACCGATATCATGTTGTCATTATTAGATCCGCAGCATTCCGCAACGAGACTGACATCGGCAAACTATCGCGTGCCTGCGCCTTATCTGGTATCCAAATTGACATCACACCCCCCATACCTCCCGGACTGACTCTCATGCATATAAAGGCCTAATGCATGGCTCCATCTCTCATATACACTAACTGCTCATCTCGCCACTCTACGATAGTACACAGCAACGAAGGAGTGAAGCAATATGACCGCAGCCACGGCCCGTACAACCGCGCCGGCCCTCGGCACGACCGTCCCCGCCATCAGCAGCACGGCCAAGGGTGACCGCGCCCAGCCCCTCAAAGTCAACCTGCAGAAGAAGGAGAAGCTGAAGGCTGCACTCGACGAAGTGATGGAGAAATGGGCGCCGCACCTCCCCGGCGTCGCCTTTGGAATTACCACAGGCGAGGGGCCGATCTATGCTGGATACGCTGGAGAGCGGGTGTATGGTGACCCGGAGAGCGGACAGGTGGGGGAGGATACGAGTGAGTCATCCCTTGTCTCGCTCGCACTCATCCTCGAGTGGAAGTGGGGGCTGAAGGGGTTCCGGCTGAGCCACAGAACATAGCTGACACCCAGCGTACATGCTGTACAGCATGAGCAAGCTCATCACCTCGCTGGCGGTGTTACAGCAAGTCGAGTCCGGCGTGCTGTCCTACGACGACCCCGAGACGATCGAGAAGTACGCGCCGGAGCTTCTCAAACAGAAGGTACTCGTGTCCTACTCTAACTCTGAACCCGTGTTCGAGGAACGCGAGACTCCACTCACGTTGAGACACCTCGTGACCCACACGTCTGGATTGGTGTACTGGCCCTTCGACGCAGAACTCAAGGCATACCTCGAGACCCAGCGCACGCCCGTCATGTACTCCGCCACTGTGGGGGACCTGGAACAGCCGCTCCGATTCCAACCCGGGTCCAAGTTCGCCTACGGCCCTGGTCTCGACTGGGCCGGCATCATCCTCGAGCGCGCGACGGGCAAGAACCTAGAGCAGCTGTACAGGGAGAAGATCTTCGACCCCCTGCACATCTCACCAGACACGACCTTCGAGCACGTGTCCGACATGCTCGAGCGGTGGCAGAGAACCGTCCATCGCGACCCCGAGCTGAAGCTGGAGGATCCGCAGAGGCCGACGTCGGGCGATCTGAAGCAGAGGAAGGGCGGCGACGGGCTCTGGTCCACTCTGCCCGACTATCTCGGCATTTGTGCTGGCGTCTTGGCTTCCGAGAATCCAGGCGGCATCATTAGTCCTCCCTCGCAGGCGCAGCTGTTCCTCGACGCGTTGCCCAAGGCGACAACCCCCGACGGCCTGGAACAGGCGCACCAGGACCTGGCGGGATTCCTGCACCATGTCGGCGTCAACGACCTCGGGCCCGAGGACTGCGGACACAGTGTTGCCGCAATGGTCATCAGGCGCGATGCGGAGGGCAAGCGGCGCGCGGGGAGTGCGGCCTGGATTGGCGCCGCACGGACTGAGTTCTGTATCGATCCCAAGGCTGGACTGGCTTTTGTTGCCATGACACAGATCGAGAGGCCGGAGGGCGGGCCGTACGACTCCCCCGAGCCGTTTGATGAGTTCGTGAGGGAGATGGAGGCGAAGCTGTATGAGCGTCTCCACCTTGCGTGATGCTCGGCATTAGTTGTTTTCAGTAGCTTTGTAAGACTTGTTTGCCGTAAGGAAATGAGATGTGATCGTGCTCATCATGACCGTGTCCGTCCTGAAGTCAGTTTGACGGTCAGTGCGAAAACTAACTCACTCCTTGATGTTGCTACAGTGCTCGCGGATGTGAGGAGAGGAACGGAGTGAAAGAGTGTGTGGAAAGTGCACGCGATCAGCGTCTGTTGCCAGCGAGGGAGCTGCGGGGAACCGTGGGAAAGTGACTCACCCCACATCTCCACCCGAGTGTGTAAACAGTCCTGGGTATGTCATGTTGCCTCGTTCACCTTCCCTCGTCTTGACCGCCCCTCCGTACACTTTTCCTGTCCTAGTATCATAGACCTCCTTCGGTCCGTCTCAGCTCTCTTCGATCTGTCCGCGGTCACGCTTCTCCATTCTGCATCGCGTGCTCGCCTCCTCCACTCCACATCCTTCCGCCACCGTCGCGGTCTTCTCCGATCACCACCTTCCGCCATGCCCTGGCTCATGAAAGCCGAGCCCGACTCGCGTATGGTGAAGGGGAAGGATGTCAAGGTGAGCAGCGCGCTTCTGGACTTTCAGCTAACTCTCAGTTCTCCGTCGATGACTTTGAGGAGATGGGTGAATCGCCCTGGGACGGTGTGCGCAACCACGAGGCGAAGAAGATCATGAAGGAGCGCATGAAGCTCGGCGACCGGGTCCTGTTTTACCACTCCAACTGCAAGGTTCCCGGCGTGTTTGCGCTGGCCGAGGTGGCCAAGGAGGGATATCCTGACTGTGAGTATACCTACGTCTTCACCTAGCCGTGGCATTGTGTAGCAAGCTGACATCAGACACGGCCTTTGACTCGAGTCACCCGTACTACGACCCCAAGTCGGACAAGAATGCGCCGACGTGGTACATGGTCAATGTCCGGTTTGTGTCCCGGTTGAAGCACCCCGTCACGCTCGCTTGGGTTAAGAAACTTGCTGGGGCCGCTGAGCCGCCGGAAGGCGTGAGCTATATCGGCGCCAAAGGGCTGAAGGCGATCAAGGAGATGCCCCTCGTTAACAGGGGACGACTCAGCGTGCAGCCTGTCTCTGACGAGGCGTACGACGCCATTGTGGCCATGGGCGAGAATGGAGGTATGGACGAGCTGCCAGCGCCGAAGAAGGGGAAGGAGAAGCGCGTCAAGGAAGAAGACGAGGAGGAGAAGCAGCCGGCGAACGGCAAGGTCAAGAGGGAAGAGCCCCAGTCGAAGAAGACCAAAACCGAGCCCAAGGCCAAGGCTGAGCCGAAACCCAAGAAGGAGCCCCCACCCGCGCCCGAGGGAACACGGCGGAGCTCTCGCCTCCGCAAATAGTTCAGGTCATTGGATGTCATCACAGACGTGGTATATGTACTACTACTCTCACGCCGCGGGGGTCGTCGACTCCAGTTCGTTTTGTTTCATTAGGCTTTTATCGGGGCTTGCGTTCTGGATTCAAGGATCGAGATACAGTGGGATGGTGGTTCGTCAGTGCGCCGGGTTGCGGCCTGGCTTGGCAAGAAGGGAAGAAAAGAAATGGGGAGAGGGGAAGGGAGTGGATGCGGGTCAGAAGAGAGCTTAAGCCTCGCCCGAGATGAGCGGGGCGCGCTCCTCGTCGTGAAGCACAGAGGTGCCGGTGCGGATGGAGGTGCTGAGGTTAGTTAGGTTCGAAAGGTCCCAGCAGCTGAACTCACTAGAGCGCCTTGAGGACTGCGAACAGCGAGAGGATGAAGAAGGCGAACGCGCTCCAGCGGATGAACTTGCTGCTCTGGTGGATGACTGATGTCAGCTCTAAGGTCGCAGAAGGTAAGCTTACAGATGGAGAACAGAGCCCAGGCGATGACAGCGGCACCGGCGGGGTCACCCTGCTGGGTCGCAAAGGCGTACCCTGCCGCGGTCGACTCGAGGAAGACGAAGGCGAGGAAGACAAAGATCTTGGTGAAGACGCCAGGCGGCTGGGTCTCGGCATTCGTGCCGCAGGCCTGGAACAGCGAGATGACGATGAGAACGATGGTCCCTGGGCGTTAGTTATCCTCTGCGGGGGCCAACTTACAGCCGTGGAAGAGCGAGAAGGGAAGGTGGACGAAGAGCTCGGTCGCAAGCGATTCCCGGCTGTTGTGCTCGGCGTTGATGATGTAGTAGATCTGGCTGACGGCAGCGGCAACGAGCAGGCTCATGAAGAAGGCGCTGATGAAGTAGCCGTGAGCCCAGAGCCAGATGTAGATCGTGTTGAGGACGCCCAGGAGAGCAAAGCGGTACGAGATGCAGTCAACGATGAGCCTGGGAGTGAGCTGAAGTCTTGGAGCCCGCGACGTACTTCTTGCCGTTGTCGGTGAACTGGTACAGAATCATCCAGAAGAGGAGGAAGTGGATCAGTGTCCAGATCCAGACCGCGTACGCCGAGGGCGTCACGTAGGTTTCCTAGCAGTTAGTATCTGCGATGCATGCTCTCGTCGATCCGGCAGCAGGTGTCATCAACGGGGGCCGTCGCCGGAGGTCGGGCACGCGCTGCTCCAATGCGCCATTACCATTCATATCGAGGCGTGACCCTCGACCCCACTCAGTGGGCATCTATGGGGCGGCGGGACTCACATTAGGCTGGTTGTATCCATCGTTAGGACCGGCGACGCTGTAGACCTCCGATCCGAGGGACACGGCGTAAACCACGATGTTGAGGAGCTGCATATGACGTTAGCATGGGGATCCAGAGTCGTCTCCAACCGTTTGGCGCTAATGAAGTGATGGTGTGGTGTCGGGTGCGCAGCAGGGAAGTCTGCCTTGGCGCAGCAGGGAAGGTGGAGAGATATAGGACTGACCTTGATGGGAAGACCGTCGAGTACGCCCATGTTGTCGGAGAGTATTGCTGTGGGTGATGGGTCAGTAGGGGAGTGTTGGTCGGGGAAGATGCAAAGAGGGAGAGAAAAGAGAACGGCGATGAGAGCCGTCGGAGGGATGGAGAGGCGGGGGATGCATCGGAAGGTCAGGTGGCCAGGCCAGGCTTTGGATGCTCCAGGCTGACGAGCTCTGCGCGACATCTGACATCTTTGGCTGGGCTATATCCTCGATTTCATTGGGCTCGCCGTGATTTGATTGCAGGGCTAGGGGAGCTCTAAACGACTTTCAAGGGCGTCCTAGACTGGCTCCTGAGCCCCGACAGCCAGACACAACGCGCCCCAACCCATCAGGTGACGTCAATCCCGGAACTAGGCGGCACGACGAACGGCAGTGCGCGGACCTGGCCGTGAGCTTCACGTGACCGCTAATCCCTCGATTAGCACCAAGCTTCTAATCCCTCAGTCTAATCAAGGTGTAATCGAGAGGGTAATCGGACATCGCGGAATGCGATTCGTTGCAGACTGCGAGCGTGACTGGGTGAACATGAGCGACATGACAGGCACGGGTGCTGGACCCTGTCCCTTTCCGCCATTTCGACATTCCCTGCACTACCACGGCTTGGACGGCTTGGCCGGCGCTGTCCATCAAAACAACATCCGGACCACCTACCAGTCTGGGAGGTCCCCAGCCTGTGCACTCAGCCGCAGATCTGCAGACGATTTCAGAATGCCTCATTTCTCATCTTCGCATTCGTACCTACCCACCTCATCCCAGCCATGAGATGGCAAGGCGTTCGCTCCTCGAGGGCGATCAGCACACTTGCCATCTCCCTCACACTCCTGAGCCCGACATTGGCAGCCGCAGCGTTCACTGCTCAAACACCAACGCCGACTCCGCCTCCTGTCCCCGTACCAACTCAGTCCCATGTCGTCCATGAGCGAAGGCAAAATACTCTCGTCTCCCCGTCCCAGGATGACCAGCAGTATGCCCCAACGGTAACCACCACCTACGCCGTCATGGCTCAGACAGATGAGGACTCTCCGACCCCAGCAGCTGGTGCCGACCAGGCGTGGAACACTGTGCCTGTTGCAGCCATGATGGGGCTGATCATGCCGAACCCAGACTACGACATATACACAGGTGAGCTGAATTTCTGCAGCCATGTAGCTGACTCATAGGCGTCTCCTATACCTTCGGGTTCATCGACTACGGCAGCCGATACAACGAGATCGCCTGGGGTTGGTTGAGAGAAACGACGCCTGTGATGCTCGGGCCCGGACCGAAAAGCAAGGTGAGGAACGCAAAGCTCGACTACGGCTGACGTTACCAGCCGATAGCCTTCAACACAACGGGCGGTACCGACGTCAATGACGTTCCGGAAGGTCACCAGATGTGTGGGTGAGTGCCTGCGTGAGCGACCGGTGGCTGACGTGCTGCGCTCTGACCGTGTGGAACTTTGCCCATACCTACGAGATCAAGTTTCGAGATCCTGGCTGGTATATGCTGGCTGTCAACAACAGTTACTACCAGCCTGAGATAGTACGTACCCCTTCTTGGCACATCGCAAGAGCGTGACGCTGACTTGCCAGCGAGACGACGGCCGCTGTCATGACCCGATAGTGTACTCAAAGGCATTCTTCGCAACCAAGTCGTTCAGCGTCAAGGTGCAGCCTACCAACTATCACCTTCGCAGTGCCAGCTCCGTCACCTTCTGGGAAGCTGTCAGCACCGAGACGCCACCTCCCGTCCCTGCCGAGAAGCAGGGCACCGATCAGCGTCAGAAGACTGCCATTGCCGTTGGAGTTACGATCGCCGTTCTCGCTGTCATCATTTGGACGATCTTCTTCTTCTGCTACCGCCACAAGCTGTTCCACAAGCGCGAGGTAAGTTTAGTCCGCGCAATGCTGCTGACCCTCGTAGGCTGTGGCGCTCAACCGCATGCGCCCGGAGGAGCGTATGCAGTTCTTTGCCGAGAACCCGACCCACTGCCTCAACCCAGCGCGACCTCCGCGCTGGTACCAGCGGCACTCCCCCGGCCAGCGAGCGGCTATGAAGGGCGACTGGGAAGAGTACAGAGGCTGGGACTGGAAGAAGATGCCGCTACCCTACCCGCCGATGTACAACAAGAAGAAGAGGCACAGCAGGAAGGGCGGCAAGTGCTGGGGTCGCAGGAAGGGCAAGAGGGTAACGATGGCGCCGAAGGATACCGTCGTCTACACCCCTGTTTACTATCCTGGTATGGCAGATGGACGATACAACCCGCAGGAGCAAGCTGAAGCGGCCAACCTTCACCAATATGGCCGCCAAGCTCGAGCCGAGCAGCAAGCCTACCTCGAACAGCAGGCGCAGATCCACGCGATTCTGCAACAGCAACATGCGCAAGCCATGGCCGACCGACAAGCCTACATCCAGTATCTGCGAGAAACGGAGTCAGAAAGACAGGAGTACATGGAGCGGGAAGCCGAGGCAGCGCATGCCGAATACCTGCAACAGGAGGCCGAGGCTCAGCACGCCGCATGGGTGCATGAGCAACGGATGCAGGATCCGGAGTACCGGGCCTACGTCGAGAAGCAGCAGGCTGAAGCCCAGCACCAAGCGTATCTGCAGCAAGAAGAGCAGTTGCGACAGGCGCGCGTCGCCCAGAAGGCGGCAGAGGCCAGGGGCGACCGCAAGTCGTCCTACTACACTGCTTCTCAGGCGTACACGGAACCGATGTCGCCCGCCGAGAAGATCATGTCCACCTACATTTCCCAGGCGCAGGCTCATGCTGCCGAGGTTATGCGTTCGCAGGAGATTGCTCAACAGCAAAAGTTCTCCCAGCAGCCGTCCTACCGAGAGCCCTCGCCACCACCTCCGCCTCTCCCTCCCAAAGATCCCAAGCCTCCGAGTTACTCGGCCTCCCCACGCCGTTCTCGCCGGCATTAGACATTATACACTTTCTTCCCACTTTGTCACTTTGTTTAGCTGATTTTGTTGTACCAACGCTCCATACATGATGCCTTTCTTCCTATTACGCCACCATTTTACGCCATGCATAGCATTTGACTGTCCGCTGCGCGCTGCGCACAGCTGCGCCGCTTGGCACTAGTGACGACGGGGTCCCCAAACCTCCACCGAAGGTGGCGTTACGTAACGCACATTGTGACGGCATGTTCCAAGCGCTACTCTGGCTAACGGCGAGATCAACTAACGACAGAACACCATCGCAAGGCTCCCCTGCGCACTCGCCGACACATCGCTACCCACCTCCTACGTCGCAGCGATGGCACAGTGGGGGTCACCGGCGCGGCCGAGCGTCGAGCACCTGGGCTCGAGCGTCTCGACGCGCTCGTACCTAGACGACGACACCGACGACAATGAAACTGTGAGGCTGAGACCACATGACCTGCAATGCTGACAGACAGGTGGAGAGCCTGATGAGCAAGCTCGCTATCGAGAAGAGAGTGCAGTATGGCGCCGAGAAGATGCTGGACGTGAGCTGCTTCCACCCGGCTAAAGCTGACATCAGGTCATCGAGAAGCGAACGGGGGATGAGCAGGAGCAGGTCAAGCAGCGCATCACCGCACAGCTCGAGAGTGCGAATGGCAACATCAAGACGCTCGAAGATCGATTGGAACGGTTACGAGGCAGTGAGCTCGTCGCGTACCGACCTTAGCTGACATAAGGCACATCGCAGCACCGACGCCGACGGCCCGCGATGCTGAACGGTCTCAGCACGACGGGGACGTCGCCCACGTCGACTTTGCTGAGTGCGGGCGTGCGCCCTCGTGTGAACCGGCAAGGATCCTCATTCACAGAACGAGGGGACAGCCCGCGATCGACGCCGACTCATCCCTCGCTTTCACTCGCAGGCTCCCCGGCTCCAGATGTGGACGAGGAGCACCTCGCCTCTCTGCGCATCAGCGTGCGCGCGTACCTACGCAAACTCCGCGATGTCTCCCACTACGAGGGGAAGGGGAAGGAGGTCGACCGCGGCGAGGATGGGTGGGAGGCGCTGACGAATCTGGCCGACTTGTTCAAGAAGAACCCGGGACTGCAGAAACAGGTCGACATGCACGACGTGCTGCACTGCACTATGCCCTTCCTCGCAGACACCGCCAGCGTTTCCCAACGAGCAGCAGCATACAGGCTGCTCCGGTATACGCTGAGTCGGCGGAACTGGGGTCTGATGCTGAACGCTGGCATCGAGTTCGTCGTCATACGGTGAGCTAGATAACCCCATATGAGCTGACCGGCAGGACATTCACGCGAGATGCGAAAGCAGTGTGCGAGAGGGAACAGGCATTGCGTCTTATCCGTGCCGTGGTCACCCTCCCAATCGACGAGCTGCACGACCCATGCCCAACGTTGAACTATAAGGTCGCCCTGCGGCCGGGGTTCGTGCGCGCCGTCGTCAGCGCGGCGGAGAATCCGGACGATCCAATGCACACCGTGTGCATGGAGACGCTGACTGAGATTGCACTTCTGGATCTGGAGTGTCTCTTGCGCGCAGACGCTTTCCGCGTCATCTTGAATGCATTCAAGGATGGGCCGTTCGAGCTCGGACTGGGCATGACGGGGCTGATGCTGTATCTCGTCAACTGGCCGCATACACGCCAGCTCCTGGTCCCTGGCAGCGACCTTGAGGTGAGTTAGGGGAACTCCGGAAAACCTGACATTACAGACGGTCCTCGTCGGCTTGACGGAGCAGTACGGCAAGATCCCCTCGCGGCAGATGCAGAAGCACCTCGACAACTTGGACCACTGCGTGCGCAACGTCAGCATGCTGCTGAGCTCGTGGCCGGGTCTAATCTACATGTGCCAGAGCGACTTCCGGGCAATCAAGTCGTTGATCTCGTCGCTCTTCGTCCCCATGGCGGAGATGAGGGTGAGCTGCCTTCACCTGTACTTGAGCTGACGTCAGAATGCACTACTGGACTTGTTCTTCTCTGTGTTCCGCATCAAGGCACCGTCGTGGACTTCGGCGTTTCTCGACGGACGCCGACTCACGGTATACAATCGCGCGTATGAGGCGACAAAGGGCGAGTTCGCCCAGGAGGTCACGGACGACGATGAGATGCCGCACCGCCTCAACCTCGTTGACAACTACATCGCCTTTCTCCTTGCCGTGTTCATCGAGGCGGGACTTCTTGAGGTGGGTTCACTGACATTGTCACGCTAACCCAACAGGCTCTCATATCTCTGATTCAGGATGAGTCATGCACCCAGCCAGTGAACCGAAAGGCGACCCTGCTGCTGGGTGAGATCCTCCAGCTGGCGAGCCACATTCTGCCGCTCCAGTATGCGGCGAGGATCCAGGTGAGCTTTGGCTGGGTCATTCTGAGCTAACGGCAGGCACTGCCCGCTCTCTTCAATGGCGTCACCGAGTTCTCGAAGCCGACAGAGCGTAACGCCGCTCTCTCGGCTCTGTCCTCCATCGATAGCCTGTTCCGGAATAACAGGAAGCAGACACAGGCGTCGGATGGAGGAGTTGGGGGACACAATGTGCTCACGTAAGCTACAAGTTGTTGTTGTTGAGCTAACCTTTCAGCACGTCTACGGTACAGGAGTCCCTGCTCCGCAGTCAGCGGCAAGTGCAGCAGATGAAGCTGCGCCTCGGGCTGCAGATCGAGGACAAGCAGTTCCAGGCGATGATCAATGAGTCTGGGGTGAGCTTCATGTATTCCGCTTCAAGCTAACGCACAGGTGTTGCTGAGCCGCGACCACAACAAGTGGAACTACGACATCATCATGGAGTTGCTCCAGGGCCCCCTGCTGAACCCGAAACGACTCGACGAGGTCATCAAAGCGACCAAGTTCATCCGGCGCCTCTTCTCCTTCCTGCACCCGTACAACAACCGCTTCTCGGCAATCCTGCGGACAAGAGTGGGTGGTTGTGTGTTTACCTTGCTAACCCATCAGCCGAACTACAAATGGGTGCGGCTCGCGCGAGCGCTTCTCACGACGATGCTGATCAACCCCGAGGGCCAGAAGTTCCTCGCCGACGACAAGCTCCTGCGCCAGATTGTGGAGTGCCTGACCGAGCTGGACCAGTATGCCGGTCAGCCGGCGTCGCAGCCCTTCTTCTCCGTCGACAGGCTCGAGCACACCCTCTCCTTCGGCTACTTCGAGATGATTGGTATCCTGACCAAACACCAGGTCGGCATCCAGTGAGTTGCTGTTGCTAAGAGGATAGCTGACAAGCAGGTTGCTCGAGAAATTCAAGTTCTTCACGTGCTTCTACCACCTGTGCGAGTTGCGCAGCCGCGGCGACATCATCAAGCTCATCATCGAGTGCTGCGACTACACCATCAACGCTCATCCGCGTATCGTGCTGTCCAAGGCGCTGACCTCCAGCTTCCTGGTGAGCTACGAGTCGGCTTGGATTAAGCTGACCTCAGGAAACCCGCCTCTTCGCAACGCACCACCTCGGTCGACTGCTGCATGACGCTCCGAACCTGACAGATTGGGTGCTGCAGCTCCTCGTGACGCAGCTGTACGATCCTGCGATGGAGGTGTGCGAAATTGCAGTGATGTACCTCGAGGAGGCGTGCAGCAACCCGGACAACCTCGAGAAGGTTGTGCAGCTGCGCCCAACGTTAGAACATCTCGGCGACATTGGCGCAAACCTGTTCCTTCCAACTAACGACAGAACACCATCGCAAGGCTCCCCTGCGCACTCGCCGACACATCGCTACCCACCTCCTACGTCGCAGCGATGGCACAGTGGGGGTCACCGGCGCGGCCGAGCGTCGAGCACCTGGGCTCGAGCGTCTCGACGCGCTCGTACCTAGACGACGACACCGACGACAATGAAACTGTGAGGCTGAGACCACATGACCTGCAATGCTGACAGACAGGTGGAGAGCCTGATGAGCAAGCTCGCTATCGAGAAGAGATTATCTTTTAACAGATGTGCCGCCCCAGCCAAACTCCCCACCTGACAATGTCTTCAACCCGGATCAGCCCGTA